TTGCATTTCGCGAGTGCCCGGCTAGTCCCTTCAAACCACTTTAATTTATTTTGGTCTTTCCAGCCCTTCCCCCCCGTTTTTTTTTATACAAATTCCGGTGGATCGTTTATAGAGTACCGTATCCCGTAATTTAAAATGCCGTAATTTGTACAGGAGATTTGGTTGGAGGATCAGGTTGCACAACATAAACTCAAAATGATCACAAATTTCTGAATTATTCCTCTTCACTACTGTCGCCGTCATCCGTATCGACGTGTAGGGTCGGCTTGGTATCCGGCAGGGTCGGGAACCAGTCTTTGAAGGTTGGGAATGCGGCTTCGACCAGGGAAAGCCTGAAAATTCAGGGATTACGCAGCTGACATGGATTCTTTAGGAAAGGGCAGGCTAGCAGAGATTTTTTGGGAACTCACGCTTCTTTATTCAGCACGTAGCCAAGCCGGTAGTATTCCGTGTCGATGCCGTTGAAGCGGAAGCAGTTGTCGAATAGCCGCCTCAGGTCAGCGAGGAAGAGAATTTCCTAAAAATGAGGTTAGAGAGACAGAGAGAGAGAGAGAGAGATGAGAGAGAGAGAGATTGAACTTACATGAGTATAATACTTATTCTTCAGCCGTTCCTGTATCGTTTGCATATCGATCGGCTGCGTAATGAAGGAGTAGTAGTCCGGAACCTGCAAAAAAACGGAATTTATTGAATCTCTGCTAGCCTGCCCATTTCCTAAAGAATCTCTGCTAGCCTGCCTACCTGCACCGGATCCACAGGCTCCAAAAATGGCCACGATTCCTCCTCGTTTTTCAGCTTGTTGACGATGGATCGAATCTGAAGAAAAAAACATACTTGATAATGTCCTTAAAATGGGAATTCCTGGAAAATTTATAGTTTAGGAGCGTAGTCTACGATGAAGTACAGACTACAACTAATTTCGGTTTTTACCTGCTTCAGCATTTCTTGCTGGGCATATTTCTGTAAGGAAATTATCTTGCTCTGAGGTGAGCTCAAGCTAAGGCTTAGGCTTAAGCTTGGGCTTAGGCTTAGGCTTAGGCTTAGGCTTAGGCTTAGGCTTCGACCTTGGTGAGTTTCCAAGTCTTTTCCCTACAAAAGCCTAAAATTCACCTTATTTTCCGCATCTTTCCTGTGGACAATCTCCTCCTCGGGCTCGTTCTCGAGGTCGGCGATCTCGGCGAGCGGGACCGGCTCGTTCACTGAAGCGCGGCTTTGAAGGCTTGTTTTACTAAGGCTTAGCATAGGCTTAGCTTAGGCTTAGCTTAGGCTCCGCTGAGGCTGAGCTTGGGCTCGGACTACAAAATCGACTCACCGTACTCCTTGAACTTGTGCTCGATGCCGGCACGTGTCACCTTCTCCGCCTCGTTCGGGTAGACGATCTTGGCCACCTCGCGGATCAGGTCCCGCTCGACCATGCAGAATTGGGCGTAGTGCGTGTACGGGATCCTGAATCGTCTCTTTAAAATGCTGAAAATCTTACAAAGAATTTGCGTAAATTGCAAAACACATTGTTTTTCTCGTTTTCTGCGCTTACTGCCTGCGATGAAGCTTTCAGGAACCCTAACCGGCCTCAAAGGTCGACCGGAAGTGCCCCGGCTTCCCTTATCGCTTCAGGAACCCCCTGGCTGCCCGGAAAAATGCTCTCTCTCTCTCTCTCTCTCTCTCTCTCTCTCTCTCTCTCTCTCTCTCTAAATGCAAAAATCTATTTTCAGAGCCGAATGGCAGGGGCGGCAGCCGGCCCGGAGATTACGATCCAATGACCGGGAGAGGGAGGGCAGGGAGCGGAATGTGCAAAAAAATTGGTGTTGGCAAGCTAGCAGAGATTCTTTATGAAAGGGCAGGATAGCAGAGAATCTTTAGGAAAGGGCAGGCTAGCAGAACCCCCTTTGCTACCGTTCCTTGCGGGCACCATTCCTTTAAAACCACTAAAAAAGCCTACTGTGGATGCAAATGGCAAGCCATCAACGTGGCGCCGTCGTAGTCCTTGATGAAGCCCTTGTAGTTCTCTTGCGGAATCGGAATTTCCTGGAATTAAAAAAATTGGCGTAAGCGAGAGAGAGGGGAGGGGGGGGAGAGAGCGCGCGGGGGGAAAGGAAGGAAAGAGGGGGCGAGGGGGAGGGGAGAGAGAGAGAGAGGGAGAAGAGCGAGAGAGAGAGAGAGAGAGAGAGAGAGAGAGAGAGAACAGTGGCAATCACTTACCGTTGTAAAACCCTGCTTGCTGAAATAGCCGATGGCCAACTTGTCGGCGTAGGTCATCAGGTGGTAAATCTGGAGGCTTTGAGCGTGGAATTCTTTGACGTGGTTCATCAGATGGGTTCCGTAGCCTTTCACCTAAAAATGGGATTTTGAAGGGATTTGCAAGGCAAAAAAACTGACCTGCTCGTCGGCGGTGACGGCGCAGAAGACGATCTCGGAGAAGCCCTGCTTGACGAAGGCCCGGAAGCAGATTCCGCCGATGACGCCGCGGTCTGAAAAAGGGGTGGGTTGGTGGTTCTCTCTCTCGCTATCTCGGTCTCTCTCTCTCTCTCGTCTCTCTCGCCTACCCGGCTTAATGATAACCATATTCATATGTCGAGTATCGTAAATCAGCCTCGTAATGTACTCCCTCGGCATCTTCGGCAAGGCCACGCTGTAGAGTTGGAGAAGCTGAAACTTGCCGGTCCCTGTAAAATTCACGAAACGCGCCTGCGATAGGTAGTAGAGAATGTTGGACTGCATCTGGACGTCGACTCGATTCTGGATGACGCGAAATCTGTAACACAGTGCTGAGGTTAAGCTTAAGCCTAAGCCTAATCCAAGCCTGACCTAAGCCTAAGCCTAAGCCTAAGCCCAGGCCTAAGCCTAAGCCTAAGCCTAAGCCTAAGCCTAAGCCTAAACCTAAGCCTGAGCCTAAGCCTAGGCCTAAGCCAAAGGCTTTCCAGGACCTAGCCTGTCACTAAACGTGCAAAGAAGAAACTTACTGTAGATCCCCATTCAGCTCCTCCTCGAAGACGTCGTCCGCCCTGGCGACGTCGATCATCAGCGGGTCGCCATTTTTCTGCTGCACTTTCCGGGCATCGATTCTTCGCTGGCGGGCAAACTAAAAAAGCGTAGCAGAGATTCTTTAGGAAGGGCAGGCTAGCAGAGATTGTTTAGGAATTACCTGATAAGCCGCTGTGATCAAATTCTTCACCTCCAGATCCCCGGAAATTGTCGTTTTCTGAAAAAGGCCAAGTTTTGAGGCTTCAAACTCAATTCCAACCTCCCCATTCAGCCATTTGCCGTAGAATTTCAGGGGCTTCTCGAGGCGCTTTGCCCCCCGGAGCGTGTACTTGAACTCGACGTCCTCCTGCGGCTGATCATCTTCGGGGTCCATTGGCTGAAAGTGGGCAGTGGGCTAAAAATGGATAGGACATACCGTATCGTCGCGTTGGAAGGGCTCTTTCCTGAGGTGGTCGATGACGTCGGCGACGACGCGGGCGAATTTGGGGCCACGCTGGAATGGTTTGTTAAAGAAATTTGTGATCTTGCTTTTCTTAAAGAATCTCTGCTAGCCTGCCCTTTCCTAAAGGATCTCTGCCAGCCTGCATACCTTTAATAGTGCTTCAGCGATGAGGTGGTGCTTCAAGTGGCTGAGCGCCCGTACCGCGAAACGCTTCCCGAAAATCCGGACCGGTTGACAAATCGGGAGCACCGGAACCAGCAACGGTATTCGGCACCTAAAATTGGGAGATAGCTAGAGAGAGAGAGAGAGAGAGAGAGAGAGAGAGAGAGAGGAGAGAGAGAACAGACTGCTGACTTACCACCAAAAATGCCGAGCTCGCATCAGGTCGAAGCCCGCGCGGTTCAGCTGGTTCAGCGCTTCGCGGGCTTCGTTGGCTTCGCGGAGTTCTCGAGATTCTCCTAAAAAGTTAATTTTTAGGGGAGTCTAGCCGAGATTCTTTAGGAAAGGGCTACCCACCGGCCGCCTCCTGATCAACAATGATCTCCGCCTCAGCCCGTGTCCGTTTTGTCGCCACGTCGCGGAACGCCTTCAACGCGGCCAGCTGCCGCTTCCCGCGCTTGTGGTGGACTAAAAAAATGTATAAATTTCAATATAAAATTTTTTCAATATTAAATTGTATGAGAGCTAGCTGGCACTTCCCCTTTAAGCCCCCGATGCCACTCACTTTTGGCCGCAAATTCAGCGGGGCGCGGCGGGTTCCAGAAATTGAGACGCTCAAGCACAAACTCGCAGGCGGCGATGCGGGAGGCTGTTGAGGAGTAGTCGCTGAAAGTAAAAAAAGCTAAAAAATAAGCCTAAGCGAAGCCTATGCCTAAGCCTAAGCCTAAGCCTAAGCCTAAGCCTAAGCCTAAGCCTAAGCCTAAGCCTAATCCTAAGCTAAGCCTAATTCCTAGCCAAGCCCAAAGCCTAAGCCTAAGTGCAAGCCTACCTAGGATTCCTCAAGAATCTCTGCAAGTGTTCCTCCACCGAACACTCGTCCTGCGGGTAGAAGGGCGGCATGCCGGACCAGTGAACCGGGACTAAAATGGACTAGTTAGGCAGAATTCCAAAATATTCTCTGCTAGCCCACCCTTCCCAAAGAATCTCTGCTAGCTTGCCCGAAAACCCACACTCCAAGTCCGGGTCGACATTCTGGATTCGAAGAAGCAACAGGTTCAGCACCTCTCCAAGGAGCTAAAATCACGTTTTTTTCTCAATTTTGCTCTCGGATGGCTTCCCAATCCCGTTAAAATCCAAAACTCACGACAAACGTCTGCATGTCGAGCCCGGGCACCTTTTTTCCATAGCGTAATCGAAGGTCGGCACATCGCTTCACCCAGCTGCGACACTGCAAAAAGGACTGTCCGTATCCCTTTAAGAAAGCTTCCTAAAGAATTTCCGCTAGCCTGCCCTTCCCTGAAGAATCTCTACTATGCCCGACCTGCAAGAGTCGCATCCAGTTCATCCGCTTCGTCACCCTCTCCGACATCTCGGACAGCGCCAGCAGCTTGGCGATGATCACGTCGTCCTGCGTCAGTAGATGAGCAGAGTGGGCTACTGTAGGATTACGGTAATCGTACCAACTGCGAGTAACTTACGCAACACATGCCCACATCCTCGGCAAGGCGTCCCGAACTGCGGGTAGACGGTATCTTTTGACAGCTGAAAAGCGGAGAATTTTTTGATCCGAAAGGATCTCTGCTAGTCTGCCAAACTAAAGATATGCCTGCCCAACCTACCGTCACCACCCGCTCGCCAATCTCGCGTAGATACGTCCGCTTCTCCGCATTCCTCGCCAGCACCTCGACTTTCTTCGGCGTCGAGCTGCGCGCCATCGGGTTCCCGACGGCCGCGATCTTCAGTGGGTGCACGAAGTGGGAGCAGCCACACGGCTCGTGCTCCTGAGATTGCTTGTTTTCCGGGAGTTGCAAGCCTAAGCCAAGCCCATCCTAAGCCAAGCCCCTGCTGGCAGCTAATCTAGCCGCTAAGCCCAAGCGCCTGCTAAGCCTAGCTAAGCCTAAGCTAAGCCTAAGCTAAGCCTAAGCCAAGCCCGAGCTAGCCTACTAAGCCCTCCCACCTAAGCCCATGCCTAATCAAAGCGAGGCTAAGCCTAACAAGTAGGTCGAAGTCCAAACCCACCTGCTTCATCTGGCACGGGGAGAAAAGAGCGAGTCGTCGTAGCGCCCGCGATTTTGGAATCGCCTTCAGCCCTGCGGTTCTGATCTTCAGAAGGTCGGCCTCATCACCACGAGCTGAAGCTGGTGTTAGAGAGCTCGGCTTGGTAATTACCTGGATATTGGGCATCAGCGCGACGTACGAGGATACCTTGACTTACGCCAGGAAGTGGAGCTAAAAAGTGGTAAGATGCCTGAGAGAGAGAGAGCGAGAGAGAGAGGAGGGGATAGTGAGCGATCAACCCTACCATTCTCCTCCTCGTCGGCCTGCAACTGGTAGTACGTCGGCACCGGCACGTTCACCCCTTGCACCGGTTCTTTTAGGCGCATTTTCTGAAAGATACTTTAGTGGTTAGAATATTAAATATATAGATTTTAAGCGAAATTTAACAACAAAGCTGTCTGCTAAATAAATATAAAAATCGATTTAGCGTAGGATTTTAAAGTTTTAAAAAGCTTATTCTCTTAACATTGATCGCGTAATGCATTTTGGGTTCTCGCCACCCTAATCCCAAACATCCGCCACAGCTGGTACGGCCCTCCCAAATTCATATTCAAAGCGTTGTCACGGGGGCACGGGGTGGGGGTGTTGTTTGGAGCGGGGTGTTGCCGGGAATAGAAATGAGGACGCAATCGTTGCCCGTAGCGTCGCTATGGTAGGATCTTATTATTTTATTTTCGATTCCGATTGTTCATGAGTATAAATTAAATAGCTACACCCTATCATACTATTCATACGTGGTCATATGCGGTGTAAAATAAAATACAGATATATATGCAAAATAGAGAATAGGACGAAATCGTCGATCCGGGTTTGATATTCTAGGTTCATGCGGCGTAGATTAATGAAAAGCTTGGAATAAGGCTACTAATTGAACGCTGAACCACTATCTTATCTTTCTCGTACTTCTAATGCATGAAAAGAATGAGCTTGGTTCGTTTTGCGCATTAATAGATACCTCCCATCTGCCCCCTGAGCCACGTTTTAGCCGCGAGTCTTTCCTGAAGCTCAGGGGCAAGTTTTAGCCCCAGATTAGCTATTGTAAACTAGAATTAAATTGTACGCTTCGTAGAATTTTCCGCCATGATACTACTGTCATTCGTCGCGCGTGCGCTCCCTGCAACCATAGGCTCCGACACGAAAAAATTTTCGGGAAACGGGAAACTGAGTTTGTTTCATCACGGGATTCCAGTTTTTTAAGCGTTTAACGATGAAAAATAGTTTTAAAATGCCTGTTTATTAATTTCGGCACCCCTTGCAAGCGTTTTGAATAGTATCACCTTACTATGGTTATTTAAAGAGTTATTGAATAAATTTACCTTATCTCCAGTTTCGCGTTTGGTTTATGTACTCTAGAATATGCCACAACCTCTAATCATTTTTAGTGTCATTTTTAATGGTAAAAAATCTCTTTATCCATTCGTTTTCTTATGTCCAGTTCTTTCAAAACCTTATCACACGCTCAAAATCTCAAAAATAATTTTGTATTTCCAGATGACGAATCTCGAGCCGCCACGCCCGGGCACCGTCGCCGAAGAGGGTGAAGGTAACTTATTTTAGCTTGTACCCCAAGTGATTATTTTCTAGAAAAAACTAGCTTCCCGACGGCCGACGGCAAGTACTTCGTCTCGAAGCTTCAGTACGCGTCCGGCGACCAGACGTACCGGTGGTACGATTATGGGGATCATGTGAGTAGAGTTTGGCTTATTTTAAATGTTCCTTTTTTTAGAAAAACGTCTTCACGCAGGAGCAGACGCAGGGCGCCTGGTATATTTTGGACAGCGCGACGAATGCCTACACAAACTTTGACTGGGTGACAGGAGCGGCCGAGGAGCCGGAAATCAAGGTATTCTAAGGGTTTCATTTTTTTGTGGAGCTATTCAAGTTAAGGGTCAAGCTGTCAGCCTAAAAAGTTGTATAGTCTAGCCGCGGAGCTCAAATTCCAAATTTTTAGCCTCTAAAAACCTAGATTTCGACTGCAGACTACAAAAAGTCGAAAAAACCGCAAAAAAATGACACCGAGACGTCTTGCGTGTTGTGGAGTTTGCTTTTCTTTTTGTAGTCTGTAGTTTAAAGCTTTCGCGTGCTCTAAGCCCTTTTTTATAGTCTAAAACTTTGACGTTTCGCACAAAAACAGCGCAGAGAAGTTTAGTTTTTGAACGCGTGATGGATCTGACAAGTTTTTTTCGTCCTTGTGGTAATTTAAAAGCTCCAATTTTCTTAGTTTTTTAAGCCCTTAGAATTTTAACGATATTTTGATTAGCACAAATAAATTTAAATCACTTTCAGGACCCAACCATCGCCGCCCGCGTGGCCGCCGAGAGCAACGAGCACGTCATCTACGCAAAAAGTGAGCCGCCCGGTGCCAGTTCTATATCCCTTTAAGCCACCCCGGTTTACCCGAATTCCCCACAAAAACTGTGTGCGCGCGTGTGTGTGCGCATAAATTAGCCACACCCGGGCGAGCCACACCTATATTGCCTATGATCTCCGCCGGCCTGGTGTGCCTTGCTAAAACGATTTGGTGAACACAGAGCAGTGTTTGGGCGGTACCGTTGCCGGGTGGCCATGCTAATTGTTTTTTTAGTGAGCAGCAGCCTGCCCGTCAAGGTGGACAGCTACAACCGGATGATCATGCCCTTCAACAAGTACGGCCAATCGCTGGTGCCGCGCCGCGAGGCCGACGGCACCCCGGTGAGACCCCTGGCTGCGTAATATTGTTTTTGGTAGCCGGATGCGAGTTTATTTTGCGTGAAAGTTCGATGCTCCGCCCCCGATGTAACGTGTAGTTTGTTTTGCGCTTTGAGACGAGATTTGATTTTTTTAGATTTACCCAGCCGTCAAGGGGAAGGAGCCGCTGTTTGCCTTCGATTTGACGACGCAGAAGCCCGATTTTCTCTACAACGAAGAGGGGGTGAGCGGTGGTTTTGCGACATTAATTAATTTTTGCTTTCAGATTCCCGTCGTGCCCATCAACGAGGAGGGGCGCCCGATCGTGCCGACTGATGACTGCGGCGCCGTATTTCCCATCGACATGGCGGGCAACTTGATCTGGCCGATTGGTGAGGATGGGATGCCGTATCCGCCGCTGGACGTCAAGGGCAAGCCGTCCATCCGGAATGATCCGAATGGTGCGTTTGATTTTCTTCTAAAAAGCTCTCGAACCCGGAAATTATTTGTAGTTTCTTAACTTTGGATTTCAGGCCAACCCCTCCTCCCCTACGACGAGAACGGCGAGCAGCTCATCTTCTTTGAACAGGACGACACCCCGATCACGGCCCACTACTTTTTCTCGACGTACACGAAGGAGCAGGCTGACAAGTGGGGAGGCGGGAGGTAAAATAAACATATTTTTGCTTAATTTACGTTTTTCTAGGTTACCCCCGCGCCTCGTGCTCCCACAGAAGCCGAAAAAGCTCGAGATCGACCCCTACAACTTGGACCCGATGACCCTGATGAAAAATCGTCCTGCCGGGGAGACGGTGGCCGCTTCAGACCTGCCCGACATCCCTCCACAATACGCCATGTCCATCGCCCGCCACGCCCAGAAGCTTTCCGAGAAGATCGAGCTGAGCCACGCGATTGAGGAGCAGCAGGCCGAGCGAGAGCTGGAACTCCGCCGACAGCAGGAGCTCAAAAAGCAAGCCGAGCTCGACGCCAAGGAGCAACAGGCGGCTCGCGAGGAGGAGGAGCGCAAGAAGCGTCTCGCTGTTTTACTGAAGGTACTTAGGCCATTTTCAAAAAGATAGTTCTTTTTTAGTCAAATAAGCAGAAAGAGGCCGAGAAGGTGAGCCTGGTCGCCGAGCTGCGTCGCGATAAGCTGCTCGAGAAGGAACGGCCTAGTACGTGAATTTTTATTAGACTAAACCATTTTATAGAAGCAAACGCGCTGGAGGATGTCAAGAAGTTTCTCGAGAGGGAGGGACCGCCGCCCAAGAGACGCTACAGGGACTACGACCGGGATCGCGACGACTACCGCAACCGCTGGGAGTACGACGAGCGCCGCGACTACGACAACAAGGACTATCGACGGCGGGATGATCGGGATTATGTAAGGAAATCTTTGTGATCTTACTATGATTTTCGAAAAAGCCTGATCGAATAATCATATTTGAAAGTCTTGTTTTTTCGGGCGTCATATTTGTCTCGAAAATACGACTTTTCCTTTTCAAAAAGACATTTCGAAACTGATTCGGAAATGTGGTTTTTCGCATTATCGGGGATCAACTTTTTCTTAACGTTTTTTTTATAACTGCTAAACGTCTTTTTAAAAATTTTCGTAGAACATGAAAAATATCGAGTTTTTTCGCCCAAAATTCCAACTGAAATTTTCCGTTTTTTTTTGTTTCTTGTCCGCATGAAATATCTTGACATTATACTAATGACACTTGGAAAAAACTTACTATTAGGTTACTAGACATTTCTGGACGCATAGGAAAATTTGGTTCCCCCGACGACGCAAATTTTGCCGCAACAATTTTCCAGGATGAAGACCGGCGCCGTGGTGACTACCGCTCGAAGGGTGGGCGTAGAAGGGAGGACGAGGATCGCGACTACAAGAAGCGGTCCCGCTCGGGAAGTCGAGAGGACGAGCCCCGAAATCGGCGGCAGCACAGCGACTCCGAAGAGGAAGGGCGTGAGCCGCGCAGATCGAAGAAGCAAAAGAAGAGGACTAGGTAGATATCAGTGTTCTATATCTTTTGACGATTTTTGTTTACAGGAAAGATTCGAGCGACGAGGACAGCCGGAAACGTCGCAGCGACAGCTCGACGCCCGAACATAGCCGCCGACGCCGCGACGACGACGATTCGGACGGTGATCGACGGCCCGCCAAATATGCAAAGGGACCTCGCGAGAAGGGCAGGGTACGCGTTTTTGTAGTTAGTCGTAGCGAATTGCTCATAATCGCGCCTGAAGTTCTCGATCAAAATTCAAATTTTTAAACATTTTGCGACGTTCTCCAAATAGCTCCCCCCCTGAAATATGGCTTCAGTTTGCGAAAAAGGCTATTAAAAGGGGCGTTATCACGCTACTATGCCTATATGGAGCTGGTTAGGAAAAATTACTTTTGCTAGATGAGAAATTCAAAAATTGATTCAGAAAGAAAATTGGAAGGAAGAAATTGAATTTTTTCTAAATACGACTTTCCAGAGCCGCTCATCGTCCCGGGACTCTGCTCGATCAAACGAAGCCCGCGAATGAATTCTGAAGCCTTGCGAATGCTTCAACTTCCTCACCACACATTCAACATTTTCGTCGTCACGGGTCGCATGCTTTCCCCACCCCGCTGTTGTGCTTTTGTAATTTCTAAAAATGGTCTAGTATTGCCCTCCTCCATTCTACTAGTTAACTCTGTAATTCCTCGACCCTCTTGATTTATTTTTATATATCTTGCCCTCGATTTATATATCTGCACTTTACCCGTTGATATCTGGAATAAATTTATAAAATAAACTTTTCACGTAACTGCGCGAATAACCCGAAGAAGGATACGCATTTATCTGCATTATTAAAACATAGATCGGATCGCCTGTATGAAAGTACAAATTACAACGTACAAAATCGTGAACATAGGGTGGAAAAGTCTTCAAATTGCGGCCATTTTTTCTTGACGACCACGTCCCGCATTTGGAATCGCAAGTATGGGGGTGTACAGTATAGAAATGTAGGTATCAGAATCTGGGGTGGGCAGGGAAGAATGGGAAAACACGCAAAAGCGGAAATGGAACAATTTGAGAACAGGAAAAGGGCATGGATTTCGAGGATAAGGGCAACGTTTATACAAAGCTCGCTAGGAAAAAATTATAGCGAAAAATGGACTACCGGGAGGAGTTTAGACCTGAAAAGAACTAGCCAAAAATGACTATGGGGTTTGCGTGGGCTTAGGCTTAGCTTAGGCTTGGACTTTGCTTACGCTTTGGGTTAGGTTTCGGCTTGGCTTAGGCTTAGGCCCAGCTTTGCTTAGGCTTAGGCTTAGGCTTAAGCTTGGGCTTAGGCTTAGTTTTTTTTTTGCTTTGCTTCTGACTTTGGCTTAGGATTAGCTTAGGCTTAGCTTGGGCTTAGCTTAGGCTTAGGCTTAGCCTTAGACTTAGCTCGGGCTTTGCTTCGACTTTTCCTTGGCTTAACTTACGCCTAGGCACGATTATAGGTTTTTAAAACACTAGCAATTCCACAATTTGCCTATTTCCACTATAATCAACCAAAAATGAGCACTTTGACGAGAGGATTTTAACTAATATACACATTTCTTCAAACATAAGAGAGATATGTAAGAAATATAAAAACAAAAAACACGCAAAAATGCCCTATACATGTATTTGTTGTCGACAAAAGACGAGGCGGAATCACAAACGGTTGATATATACTTTGGATGATACGGTAGATTGGCTACGGCTACACGCTACGGCAAATTACGACTCGTTGGAATCGCGGGTCTCGCGAAGGGTGCCGGGGAGGGGATCTCTGCAAAAATCGGGTTAGTTTTCCGCAATGGTCTTTGCCAGCCTGCCCTATCCTAAATGGTCTCGGCTGGCTTGCCCCAAATTTCACATGATCTCTGCTAGTTTGCTCTGATTTCCTCGAATTATTTTTGTTAGACCGCCTCGTGAATGGTATCTGCTAGCCTGCCTGGAATTTTCTCTTTCTCTTTCTCTCTCTCACTCTTTCTCTATCTCGCTCGTTCTCTCTCTCTCTCTCTCCAACTACCTGTAAGCAAGCAGTGCATCCGGGCTGGCCAGCCCGAGCGTCGTCGGCCGGCCGACCGAGCTCGACTCCTCACCCTCGGGCACCGGCTCAAAAATCGGCTGCCTCTTAGCCGAGCCTGGAAATAAGCAAATTAGGGCGCGTTCCACTACGGTATTATGGGGGTGCGAAAACTTAGGGTGACACGGAAATAGTTGCTGCAAAAAGCCGAGTGTAGATGCATACAGAAGAGGAATGGAACGGAACTGAGAAAGCGCACGAGATAGGAAAGGCTTAGGCTTAGGCTTAGGCTTCAGCTTAGGCTTGGGCTTGGGCTTAGGCTTAGGCTTAGGCTTAGGCTTAGGCTTAAGCTCAGGCTTAAATAGAGGCGCGCCCTACTCTCCGGCCTCGCTGACAGACGACAAGGGCGTGCCGGGCTGACTATCTGCAGGATATACGGTAGCTGGGTTTGACTTGGTGCTAAGATTTGCCTTCAATGGACCCTTAGAGCCATTCAAACTAGAGAGTACGTCTTACACTGCAAACACCCGTCCATGCGTACGGTGGCGTGGCTACAGGAGGATTTGACGAAATTTACCTGCTGTCGGCCCGTCGCCACTCTGGCGTTTCTGCCCCAGGCGTCGCTTCAGAAGCGGGGCCGCGGCGACGTCTGAAAGGTGGAATTAAGCGGGCAGGCTAGCAGGGATCATTGGGAACGGGCAGGCTAGCAGCGATTCTTTAGGAAGAGGGAAAAACTCACCGAGTAGGTGAAATCCGTCCCGGTTTGCTGACAGGAAGGCCTGGAGCATCTCGTTGAAGGATTGGTCTGGAAGGGAAAGGGTACTTTATCGTTGTCTATCTCTCTCTCTTCTCTCTCTCTCTCTCTCTCTCTCTCTCTCTCTCTGTTCTCTCTCTTTGTCACTCTCTCTCTCTCACCTGCATGTGAGGGCAAAATGGATGGGGTTTGTAGCGGGGTGTTGATAGAGTTGGCGTTGAGCCAAGGGTGTCGGATCAGTTTGTCCATCGTCAGCCGCTTTTTCGGATCAACGGTGAGGAGGCCTGGAAAAAAGTTAGCTCAGCTTGTTCTTTCCTAAAGAACCTCTGCTAGCCTGCCCTTTCCTAAAGAATCTGTGCTAGCCTGCCCCGCGCACTTACCAGTGATCAGCTCCTTCGCCTCCGAGCTAACACTTTTCCACGATTCCGACTCGAACGAAAATGACGCCGCTCGAATGCGCTCCATGATGTCGGTGGCCGACTCGGTTTTGGACCGGGCCCGGAACGGCACCTGCCCGGACAGCATTGTGAACTAAAAAGGTATTAGACAACTTCTTTAGGCTTCCATGTTCCTTTAAAACGGAAAATGCTATAAAAAATCTGGATCATCGACGATAAAACGATTTTTAAGGTACTGTACGCTCCAATCGACACCAAATCACGCACCAAAATGACGCCAAGTGACCAGAGGTCGCACTGCTCGTTGTACTCGGGCAGCGAGTCGCCAATGTCAAGCACCTCCGGCGCCGCGTACTGTAGCGAGTAGCACGGGGTCCTGGAAACGGCGTAAATTTGCGTGATTTTTTCTTTTGGGGCTCGGACATGTTTCTCTAGTCTAACGGGCTGCTTCCAGGGGTGGAAAAAGGCTGTGAAAAACTCGGAAAATTTTCTTTTTCTTTTTTCCACCTATAGCACATCAAAATGCCGATAGACGGGCGCATTCTCAAGCGGATGGCATGCAAATGAGGAAAAGGAGGGATTTCAAGCAAATGAGACGGGTTGAGGTGAGTGAGAGCCGTGCGAAGCCTAAGCCGAAGCCTAAGCTTAAGCGTAAACTTAAGCCAAGCTAAAGCCATGCCTAAGCCAAGCCTAAGCCAAGCCAAGCCAAGTCTAAGCCAAGCCCTAAGCCAAGCCTAATGCCTAAGCCTAAGCCTAAGCCCAGCCTAAGCCAAGCCTAAGCCGATGCCTAAGCCTAGGCTTATGCCGAGAACACCATAAAAAGGAGACGGAAATTCCACACCGGTTTTAAAGGGACCGTGAAGTCATATCCCAAGTAATCGCTGCTAGCCTGCCCGTGACTTCACGATCCCTTTAAAACGCCGTAAAGTAGTAGAGCAAGCCCATGGTTAAAGCCGAAGAAAAGGAAGAGGTGGTAGAAGAACAAGGAGCGGATTACGTACAGCTTTCGAAGCGGTTGCGTTCTAAAGCGAAAATCGTCGTTATATGATGGATACGATAGGGGGGTACGGCAGTTTTCCGGTTTTTGGGAGATTTTCGGAAACCCTTTTGGAAATGCACATCACGAGAAAGGGCAAAATAAAAAATGGGGACAGCGGAAAACTCGAAACTCCGGGGAATTGTAGCTTGTAGTCTGCAGGGACTACGGTAGGCTACTGGCTACAAAACGCACTTCAGCTGCTGCTCGATCGAATTTGGCAGCAGGCGGGCAAAGCCGAAGTCGACAAGTCGAAGCTTCGCCTCGGGGTCGTCGCTTTCGAAGAGGATGTTCTGAAAATTGAGGGTTTAAAGGGGAGTGACAGTTCGGGCGGTTGAGAACGAGCCACCAAGCTTCAAAGAATTAGCTGCGTGAGTTCAGTCTTAGGCTTCGGCTTGGGCTTTAGTTTAGTTAGGCTTAGCTTGGGCTTAGGCTTGGGCTTAGGCTAAGACTGCTTAGGCTTGGGCTTAGGCTTAGGCTTAGGCTTAGGCATAGGCTTAGGCTTAGGCTTAGGCTTAGACAACGAACCTCCGGCTTCAAATCCCTGTGCACGATCCGCTTGGAGTGCAAAAACGAGACGGCGATGACGAGCTGCTTCATGATGCCGGACGCTTCGCACTCGGTGAATTGTTGAAGGCGTCGTATTCTGAATTTTTTGTTTTATATGGATTTTAATTAAATAGAGACAAATATAACTAATTTTGTAAAGTATGGCTGTGATGTTCAGCGAAAAACCTACCTCATCAACAACTCCTGGCCGGCCAGCAGCTCCATGATGATGTAGAAGTGCAGTGAATCCGAGAGCATCTCCTCCATGTGGACAATGTTTACATGCCCTGAATAAATTATATTTGAGTAAATTCCTAAAAAATCTCGGATAGCCCTTCCTCGAAAATCCCTGTTAGCTCACTCACCTCTAACCATCTGCAGAATCGCGGCTTCTCGCTGTGCCTGGGAGGCAAACTTCTGGGAGATGATCTTGACGGCAAACACAGCACCGTCAGAGTTCCGTGTGCATCTCCGGCACACCGAAAAGGAGCCCTTGCCGAGGAAGCCCTGGTCGGTGGTGTCGAGCTTGTACTTGTTGAAGAAGGGGGAATTCTTGAGGAGGTCCTGAAAGCGGATATTGTAATGATTACGTCAAAGATCTCCGCTAGTCTGCCCTTTTGTAAAGAATCTCTGCCAGCTTGCCCACCTGGACGTCCTCCTCCATCAGCTCCTCCCCGATGACGTTGTTGTTGGCGAACATCACCGACGGCGAGATGTAGGAGTAGCCCTGGAAAAATGGCTTAGGCTTAGCTTTAGGCTTAAGCTTAGGCTTAGGCTTAGGCTTAGGCTTAGCCTTAGGCTTAGACGCAGGCTTAGGCTTAGGCTTTGTGCTTAGGCTTAAGAGGCGTAAGCTTAGGCTTAGGATTTAGGCTTAGGCTTAGGCTTATTTTTTTTTTTTTGGTTTGGGTTTTTTTTTTTTTTTTTTGGCGTTCGCAATCTAAAAGCTCACCCTAAACAACTGGTTCGAGTTGATGGGCGCGTCGGCGGGCGAGTAGAGCGGCGGCTGGTTGGTGAACTCTTGGGCAAAGTAGGTGGTGTCCATCTCGTCGACGACGTTCGGCACGATGGCCGGCTTCAGCTCGTGCCGCTCCGCCTGGTCCCAGTCGATCGACTTGAGGAAAGGGGTGCTCCTTCAGCTCGTGGACGCCCTGCAGGAGTGATTTTGGAATGGGAGCTTATCAAATGGCTCTGCTAGCCTGCCTATGGTCTCCCTAATGATTTCTGCTAGCCTGCCCTATACGAATTCTAGGACTCACATTAAAGCCAAGCCGCTTCTCGAGCTGCTTATCCAGCAGGGCCCCGATGAAGCTCCGCGCGTCGTTGTCCATATTTTTCGGGAACGGCACCTTTTTCGTCAGGATTCGTCTGAAATTTTGATTTTAAAGGGCTATTGAAGGCAGCTCAAGCCCCGCCCATTTAATTTTTTGCATCTAGCCAACCCCAACTACAGAACTGTTCCTTGTAAATCGAAAAAATGGCTCGTGGACAGCTGGTACGTCCCAAACGCGAAAAGGGGATCAGTTGGTGATTGCCAAGGGTGCAGAGGCTATGGATTGGCCTTCAACGGTCCTTTAAAACGTCAAAGATGCTCACTTTGCAATGTCTTTGCTCGAATTGCCGCCTCCATCAACGGTAAAGGGGGAGCAGCCGGTGAGGAGCTCGAAGGTGATGACCTAAAATATGCGATTTCGTTTTATCCACAAGAATCTCTGCAAGCCTGCCTTTCCTAAAGAATCTCTGCTAGCCTGCTCTACCCTTTCCCAAAGAATCTCTGCAACCTACCCCCAGACTCCACCAATCCACCACATCCGTATATCCGCCCTCCGGTCGGTTGATCACTTCCGGCGACATGTACTCGATGGTTCCGCAGTACGAATTTGCCCTCATTAACTGAAAAATCTTTTCCTGAAGAATCCCTGCCAGCCTGCCCTTCCCAAAGCATCTCTGCTAGCCTGCCCACCCTCTTCCGGGATTAGCAGCTTGCTGAGGCCGAAGTCTGTCAGCTTCACGTGCCCCTCCTCATCGAGCAAGATGTTCTCCAGCTTCAGGTCCCGGTAGATAATGTTTTTCTGGAAAAGTTTGACCTTTAAAGGGACTCGGAAGGCAAATCCATAGGCTCTATGCCTTTTGGAATTACCCAAACGACCAAAAATCCCAAAAGTAGCCAAAAATCGAAGAGGCGTGGCTAGTTTTTGCCTTCAATGGGCCTTTAAAAGTGAAAAACCCACTTTATGCAAATTATCAATGGCCACGATCAACTCGGCGACGATGACCCGCGCGGCCGGGACGTCAAAGTGCCCTCGACTGCAGAGGTGGGTGAATAGCTCGCCACCACGGACGTATTCTAAAAAATCGTTTAAAGCAAATGTAACTAGCAGAGATTTTTTAGGAAAGGCATGCTAGCAGAGATTCTTCACCGAGCACTCACCCATTACGATATGTAATTTAGTGTCGGTCTGGAAGGCATAGAAGAGGTTGACGAGAAACGGGACCCCTCTGAGCTTCTCCAGCACCTGCCGCTCGGCCATCGTGTGCTCGAGGGTTTTCGGCTTCGAGATTACCCGCGTTTTCCGGAGCACCTGAAAACTTGAAAATTACCTTAAATTTGTTTTTTTACCTTCATCGCGTAGATGGTGCCGTGATCCTTGCCGCCGACCTTGCGGACCAAGTAGACTTTTCCGTAGGCTGAAACAGAGGTGTTTACACGGAACACCTGCACTCGCTCTCGCTCTCGCTCTCTCTCTCTCTTTCCCTCTCTCTCTCTCTCTCCCAAAAACCCACCGCCCTTGCCCAGGACCCGCAGCAGGGCGAAGCTGCTCATGTCCACCTTCTCCTCGTCGGGCAGGTCCATGCTGTTCTTGCGGAGGTTGGAGTTTGGACGACTGCTGGAAAATAGACACTAAGCCGGCTCTTTCCCAACAAATCTTTGCTAGCCTGCCGCAAGACTCCCTGTCCACCCACCTGTTCATCTCAGCGTGCTGCTCATTGGAGCTCGGCGGCGTCGGGTACTCGTACTGGCTGCTGCTCGTCCCGAAGCTGAAAAAAGGGGGCATAAACGGGAGGACTTGTCAAGGTTTAATAGTCCGATAACTTGGAAACGTGCCAAATGCCGCCCGGTAGATCTGCGCTAATAGGATTCTGGTGCTCAGAATTTTTGCGGAACCGTGGTTTGGCGCCCCGGGGGGCCAAACCTAATCGAGCGGAAATCGGGCCACGTTTTTGGGCAAAAAAGTCTGGCGAGGGCGAGCAAAGAGCGGTTAGTAGGGACGAGCTGAGGCTTAGGCTTACACTTAGGCTTAGGCTTAGGCTTAGGCTTAGGCTTAGGCTTAGGTTTAGGCTTAGGCTTAGGCGTAGGCTTAGGCTTAGGCTTAGGCTTAGGCTTAGGCTTAGGCTTAGACTAGGAATAGGCTTAGGCTTAGGCTTAGGCTTAGGCTTAGGCTTAGGCTTAGGCCTAGGCTTAGGCTTAGGCTTAGGCTTAGGCTTAGGCTCAGGCTTAGGCTTAGGCTTAGGCTTAGGCTTAGGCTTAGGGCTTAGGCTTTGTCTTAGGCTTAGGACTGGCTCAGCCTCTAGTCTAGGCTTGGGCTTAGACTTAGGCTTAAGCCTTAGCTTAGGATCTGCTTAGGGCTTGAGCTTGACTATGGTTCTTGCTCCCTAGGCGACATGCAACGATTTTTTTACTTTACTTTTTACTTTCAATTTTTCCACTATACCGCTGCGTACTGGACTCCTAAAGATTCACAGACCCAAAAAATCCTGAATAATCTCGGAAAGCCTGCCCTTCCCAAAGAATCTCTGCTTGGACACACGATCGAGGTGTAATGTCTCGAGGGGCGCAGGATTCTTTTTTTCCCATTCCTCCCACACCCCATTAACAAGAATATAAAGAACGCGGGAAAAGTGGCCGGCCGGGGTCTGGAGAAGATTTGGGGCCGAGCCTAATTTGGATGCACGGGTTTGGTGATGACAGCCACTAGGAAAGGGCAAGCTAGCAAAGATTCTTTAGGAAATGACATGATAGTAGAGATTCTTAAGAAATAAAACCAAACATAACACCATTTTTCCCCGGTTCTTTGCTGCTGTTCGTCACGCCGCCAAGTGCAACCCCACTTTTGTGGTAAACATTTTGGCCCCCACCGGCGGGGGTGGCTGCCAAAAAAACGGGCTTGTTTACGTCGTGTCTGGGCGCTGGGGGCCGCTTGGATTGAATTGTGGCAAGGTCAAAAATCATGGGGAGGGCGTAAAGAATCTCTGCTAGCCTCTTTCTAGAATCTCTGCTGGCCTGCCACTTCCTAAAGAATCTCAAAAACATGTGCAGCTCCTTGCAAAAATGTCTCAAAACTGGGCCTTGGGCCACTTTGGGAGGGCCCACAAATTGCTAGGGCCTGAACAAATTAATCAAATAGCCTAGGAGACCGTCGACCAGCTGGAGGGCGGAAGCGAGGGCCGAAAATAGGTGATAAATTAGATCAAGGCAGGCAGGCTAGCAGAGATTCTTTGGGAAAGGGCGAGCTAGCAGGAATTATTTGGGAAAAGGCTAGGCAAGAAAAGATTTTTCAGGAAACGATAAAAATATTTCTGGTGCGCGCAGCTAGCGGAGATCCTTTAGGAAAGGGCAGGCTGGTGAGATTAGAAACGGCAGTTTAGCAGAGATTCTTTAGGAAAGGGCAGGCTAGCGGTTTTTCTTCAAGAAAGGCAAGCTTGCAAAGATTTTGTAGGAAAGTGCAAAAATGCGCGATTCGGCTTTTTGGCCTTCATTGGCCCATGTTGGCCCGATGAGCAAAAGGGCCCGGTTGCAAGGCATGGGCTAGAGAGCGGACAGAACATTGAGAACCGAGAGAAAGGGGCCCGGCTTAGGGCCCAAATTCGCGTGTTGAGACCCAGAGGGTGAGGGCCCAGGAAATGGGGGGAAAACACGAAAAAGAGCGCCAGTCCTTAGCAGCGTCTCATTTTTTTGGGGCTTCCCCTCTTAGAATTACATGGGGGTACAAAAGTGCATAATTGGAGGGGCGAAGATGGCAGCTAGCAGAGATCGTTTGGGAATTTGAGGGAATTTCAGGGAAGGCTAGCAGAGATGATTTGAGAATGACTACGCAGGATAGCAGCGTTTCTTTAGGAAGTAGGCTAGCAAATTTTCCTTAGGATTTGCAATGGCAGGCTAGCCGAGATAATTTGAGGAGCAGAGGCGGAATAGCAGAGGCCTTTTTGGAATCGAGAGGCAGGCTAGCAGAGAAGTTTGAGGATTTGTGGTAGCAGGCCAGCAGGAATTCAAGTTAGTACTGAGAACGGTAGGCTCGCAGAGTTGATTTAAAGATCCGAGGCGGGCTAGCAGAGCATGATTTGGGAATCGAGAGGCAAGCTAGCAGAAATTCTTGAGGATTTGCAGCGGGAGGCTAGCAGAGATTATTTGGGGATCCGAAAAAGGCTAATAGCCAACGTTTAGGAATCACGGGAAGCTAGTAGAGATCCTTGAAGAATTGGATCGGCACTTAGCAAGCTATCATTTGGGACGGTAATTGTGGAATCCAAGCGCAAGAAGCTAGCAGAGACACTCTTTGAAAAATTTTTCCCGTCACGATCCCTTTAAAGATCCTTTCCTTGCTAAAGGAAGCAGCCTGTCCATCCTTTTTTGGTCTTCAGGGCCCTGGCCATTTTGTTGACCCGCTTCCCCGGGCCGGGGTCCCGGCTGGAAAATAGCCAAACCAAAACCGGTTCATAATCCCGGGGTGCCCGAAAGGTCAACTGCCCGGAGCCTATTCTCGAGAATTCCACCCCATCCGGATTGCCATCACGGGAATTAAGTCCTGTCGCGTGCTGTACTTTCAGAAAAGCGCCCTCCACCAGAAGATACAGTACTTGGGAAGTCGATAATACTCGGGAGCAGAAATTCCTTAGGAAAGAGCAGGCTATGCAGAGATTCTTTAGGAAAGATAGGCTAGCAGAGATTCTTTAGGAAGAGGCAGGTTGCGGAGATTCTTAAGGAAAAGGCGGCTAGCAGCCATTCTTAAGGAACATAACTTCCGGCTTTAGTTTCGCAACACCCCCACAAAACACCCCAAAATTGCACAATTTTTCCCCAGTCACAACCCACAAGGACCACAAAAAAAAGTTCCGCCCCGATACGTACCCATGACGCAAAAAGAATTAGCTAAAAACAGAGTCAGGCGGAGGGCCAAAATATTTGCTCAGCGGGCGGGCCGTTAGATTAAAAATTTGCGGCAGCTAGCAGAGATACTTAAGGAGAGAGCGGGCTAGCAAAGGTTCTTGAGGAAAATAGCGTTCCTTGGTCAAATGGTGGCCAGAGATCCTTTCGGAGATCTCGAAGGGCGAGCTTGGCAAGGTAGCAAAGATTCTTAGGGAATTTGCGAGCGGAAGCCAGGCAGGCTAGCAAAGATTCTTTGCGGAAAGCACAGATCTGGGTCGGCAGGCTAGCAAAGATTCTTAAGGAAATCCAAGGCGACCCTAAGCAAGTTAGCAGCGATTTATGAGGAAAGGGAAAGTCAGACAAGGCGAGCTAGGAGAGATTCTTTCCGGAGACGATGCCCAGAAATGAAAAATAGGCTAGCTAGCAGAGATTCTTTGCGTAAAATGTAGAACCTCGGGGGCAGGCTAGCAGGAGATTCTTAGAGAATTCTCAACGACCGACTAGGCAAGCTTGCAGAGATTCTTTGCCGATCGGTTTCCCACCTCCAACAATGATAACTCGGCTGGGGCAACTGCTCGAAATTGAAGAATACACTGGTCGTCATCACGGATTAGTACAGAATTACAAGTTTCCGCCAAATTTCCGCGTGTTCATAGGATGGTTGCGTAGTGTTAGGGGGTTTCGTGTCTGGCAGAATAGACACACTGAATAGGACAACCCGGGGCACATGGCTGTTGTTTGTTGTTGACGCGTAGCTGGGGGGCACGACGTAGGCCACGCCCCCGTTTCGGGCTTGCAGGGGTGCACTTTAGGGCTGGAGATGAAGCCGGGAAAAATAACTGGCCCGGAAGGGATTCAAAATCGCATGCGGCGATCAACCGGAAAAACAGCTGGGCTTAATTAGAGTGGAAAACTAGCTGGATGGGTTTAAATGGAGGATTTATCTAAATAATGCCGATTTACAGAATGCCGATTACATTTTGTTTTATATAAAATAAAATCCTTAAAAATCGAACCGAAAACACTGGGTTAATTAGAAGAAAAATATGATGGGTTTAAATGGAGGATTTATAAATATTTACAAAATTTGGGTTTTACATAAGAAATACAAACCGGCTCCCCAAAAACATTATCCAACTTCCCCATGGCGAAGCCGCCAGATCTGAGGCTTAGCTTTATTTTTCCCAAAGAAACCGTAGTTCCACGTTACGCGCGGATCACCCTTGGGTTACTAGCACTTGTCTCTTGCCCCTTCCCTCAATGATCTCTGCCAGGGATCAGCTTTTGCAAAGTGTCGCTGCTAGCCTGCCTGTGATGATTAGGGTTTTCGTAAATGATCTCTGCTAAGCTTACCCCTACCCTTCCTGTGCTAGGGCTCTGGGTGTCAGGGCCGTTTTTGGGGTTTGGGGGAGGGGGCGGGGGACGGGGGTAAAGCATTGTGGGGATGGGGGGGGGGGGGGAGAGGGGGGGAGAGAGAGGGGGAGAGGGAGGGAGGGAATGTTGCTTTTTTTTTGGCTACCACGTGTATGGGCCAGGCTTTTTCGTAAGTGCCGCGCCCGTGGCTGCAGCCTTACCAACCGGTTGCTTAGGCATTTGGACTACGTAGAACACGTAAGCCAAGCCAGTATTTACTGCAAAGCCGAAGCTTTTCAAGCAGTTCAGAAGCCGAAGCTTTTCTAGGCATTAAGGGGAGCCATCCACCCATTTTCAGGCATTAAGGGGAGCCCTGACACCCATTTGTCAGAAGGTTGGGGTGAACCGACCGACGAATTGAGGTGGAGAGGGTTGGACAGTGGGCCGGTGGTGGGCGATTGGGGAAACTTCGGCGGCGCCCGGTTCCATTACCCAAGTTTGCGGTTAATTACTTCCAAATTTCTTATGCTTAAGCCATGCCCAAGCATAAGCATAATTTTTCTGATATTTTGAAAGAAATTGGGGTAAGGGTTTACTATACCCTCAGCCGGAAAGTCCCCAAAATATTTTTGAGGCCACCAATCGATAGCCCTGGGACCCAGCTACTGGTATAAGCTGATAATGCCGATTCACAGAATGCCGATTCTATTCATCCAAAACGAAATCCAAAACCGTTTATGAACAGCGATTTCGACGCCTGGCCAGCGGTCAACCGGGCGGGCAACAATGAAAAAAGGCCCCCGATAAGGGACGGCTAGCAGAGATTTTTAAGGAAAGGTCAGCTAGCAGAGATGCTTGAGGAAGCGGGCTAGCAAGGATTCTTGAGGAAAAAGCGACCTCGCAAATATTCATTCGAAAAGGCCAGGCTAGCAGAGATTCTTGACCAAATAAGCTGTAACAACTCGAAAAACCACCTAGATAAGCGTCGACGCTTCTTACGGCTCAACCAGCAACCCATTTTTGGTGTGGAATCGAGGTGAGCGTAGCGGAAAATCGATGAAATCAGTTACCGGCTTATCTCCGGTGTTGATAAAGCCGAAAGGCCCAATATACGCCCTTTGACAGGGGCCTGCGCTGCGTTTTTGGGCGGTTTTTCGGAGGTTCGGTTTCTGTCTCGCTCTCCTTGCCTTCTCTCCCTCTCTCTCTCTCTCTCTCTCGCCGCTTTTCTTAAAGGAAATTGAAACCGGCTGTGTGAAGGGGGCCAGAAAGTTTTTCCCGTTTCCCAAGCCGTGAATCACCACGCCTTTTTGCGCCCCATTTCGGGGGTTATAATTGGAAAAAATGGCCAGACTCGACACAGAAAAATGGCAGAAAAATCGGTGCGGTGAGGGCAAACAGGCAGAGATTCCTTGGGGAAACCACCCAGCGAGGAAGTTGGTGAGAGTTTTATTGAAGATTGACTGCAAGTGGGCAGGCTGGCAGAGATCCTTAGGGATTCCCGGGGCCCGGGCTGAATGAAATGACCCTGGCAAAGGAGCTAGCAGAGGTTCTTGAGACGCAGAGGCGGGGCAGACTAGCAGAGCTTATTTAGGAAAGGGCAGGCTAGCAGAGATCTTTTATCAATCTTACACCTATTGATCCCAAAAGTTATGAAAATCGAAACTCCCGTGTATGTGTGCCATGATTCAGGGCAGCGACCCTGGGCAAATCGCTTGACAGTGTGAGACTATCTCTCTCTCTCTCTCTCTCTCTCTCTCTCTCTCTCTCTCTCTCTTTTGTCCCCACATTTGATGGTCCAGTGTCGCGCGTGTATTCGACAAACAGAGCGCCCTTTTTTGAGGTCGAGGAGACAGGGAGGAGTGGCATTTCGGAGCGGCAAACTTGCCATTTCTCTCGCTCTCTCTCTCTCCACCCATCTGGAATCGATTTGTCTCGGAACGAAACATGCAAGCAAACAATGCTGATACGTAGGGAGCGCTTGATTCTGGATTAAAGGCGCTGGGAAGCCAAGAATCTATGTCATTTCCTGAAAAATTTCTGCTAGCCTGCCAGTTCCTGAAGAATCTCTGCTAGCTGCCATTTCCTAAGAGAATCTCCCCTAGCTGGCAACTTTCAGTGCCTTCAAAGATGCTATGAAAATGAAAGAAATCAAAAGAAAAATGAGCGAAAATAAGTATAAAAAGCGGCACTCAAAAGCTATTTTCCGCTATTTCCTATCAATTTCCTGGGTGCGTCCGTTGGCGGATTGTCTCGGAGTCGGCCGCCCCTATCTTTTTTGATGGATTTCCCGAAGGGGAATCGATTGTTTTCGCGGCTGATCGGGGTGGCCTTCAGCCAACCCCCCGAACAGCTCTAAAAACAGGGCAGGCTGGCAGACGGCTTTGAGGAATTGGCTACGGTAGGTGGAGGTTGTGTTTAGGCTTAGGCTTATGCTTAGGCTTAGGCTTAGGCTTAGGCTTAGGCTTAGGCTTAGGCTTAGGCTTAGGCTTAGGCTTAGGCTTAGGCTTAGGCTTAGGCTTAGGCTTAGGCTTGGGCTTAGGCTTAGGCTTAGGCTTAGCTTAGGCTTAGGCTTAGGCTAGGCTTGGGCAGGGCGGGCAGGCAGGCTTAGGCTTAGGCTTAGGCTTAGGCTTGGGCTTAGGCTTAGGCTTAAACCTAACCTTGGCGTAGGCTTAGGGTTTGGCTAGGCTTGGCTTGGGCTAGGCTTAGGCTAGCACTTACACTTAGGCTTAGGCTTGGGCTTAGGCTTGGCTTAAGCTTAGGCTAAGAAACCATGGCAGGGGAGCCTATACCATTAAAGATTTCCGATAGGGCCAAGGCAAGCCAGCAGCGATCGTTGATCAGGCTTTGAGCTAGAGAGAGAGAGGAGAGAGGGAGAAAGAGAGAGAGACAGAGAAAGAGAGAGCGTGATAGAGAGATAGTACCGTTTATCCCTCAAGCATGCTAGCAGAGCTTCTTTAAGCACTGAAAAGGTGCTTTTCATCTTTGCTTTCTTTCTCTCCTCTCCGCGGCTGATCGCTGGCCTCCTGCCAGCCGTCAAAAAAGCCTCGGCAAAACAAGGCGGGTGTCTGGCCGGGGCCAAGTTGGCTGGCTACGTGCCTCGAGGGCACGTTCCAGGCAACACCGCTTGTGACCCTGGGCGGAAGCCAAAAAAATGTCGAAAAGGGCCGACAACAAGGCGGGATGAGTGGGCACACAATGTGATCGGGGTCAGCTGGCCGGGCGTTGTGCGGTTGGGATGAATTCCGGAAACGGGGTGGGGGAAAGCACAGAAGTTAGAGCGAGCTTTAAACGGTTCGAAAGGGCTCAATGTCAGGACTTTGTTGGAAATCGCGCTAGTTTTGTCCAAAACAAATCTGTTGGTCTGGGTTTTTCTAAGGAATCTATGCTATGCTGCTTTTTGAAAGAATCTCTGCTAGCCTGCCCCTTCTCTAAGAATTTCTGCCAGCCTGCCGTTTTCCTAAAGAAGCTCTGCTTGCCTGCCCTTTCTTAAAGGATCTCTGCTAGTCTGCCATTTCAAAATAATCTCTGCTAGCCGCTTTTCCAGAAACCCCGCCGTTTTCTATAGAAAACTTATTAAAACCAACTTTCTCATGGCGGCGCGATGACGATGGGCAGCAAATTCCGGCGATGACGTCCAGGGGAAAAGTCGGAATGGGGGCCAAGGATGGGGAGGGGGCCGGGGATTTGGCCAAAACTCGAGTAGAAGGCACCGTATCCAGGCGACAAGAAAGAATCAGAAGAGGCGCAGACGTGTAATGGGGGGTGGGGCAAAAAAATTGCCAGGCTCGTGGAGGCGCCCGGGTTGCTAAATTGGGGATTTTGGGCGTGAATGAGGATGTACATAGCAGTAGCTGGGATCGGGCGAATTTTCACAGGTTCTTTCGGAAGGGCAAGCTAGCAGAGATTCCTTAGGAAAGGGTAGGCTAGCAGTGATTCTTTAAAAAACAACTGGTAAATCTATGATATTCGCAACGTTGCAATCCTGTGACGAATCTACGGTAGGAAAGGTGCAAAAATCCCGGGCTTTCATCCGGGATTAGCCGGCTCAACGGACCCGGAGGAGGGTCGCCAAGTAATCTGGAGGAATAACAATTCCGGTGAATGGGAATAGCTGACCGAAAGGCGAGAGAGAGAGAGAGAGAGAGAGAGAGAGAGAGAGAGAGAAGAGAGAGATATAACCATTTTTCCAGAACAATCAACTCACCGAAACATTTCTGCCCCTCGGCTATCCAAATAATCCGCACAGCACAAAACTTCTGGAGCGCGTAGATCAATTGTTTGGGCGAGGAGGCGACAGGTTGCTGTTTTCCTCCGGTTTTCCGTCTTGTCTCGCGATAACCATATCAGCAACACTCCCGCACCAAGGACAATCGCTTTCGCCGCGGCACGACGAATTTAATGCGGCGGCCCTGCAAAAAAGTGCCATTTTTTGGCTATAAATGGGAAGGTCGCAAAAATCGGCCAATGATCTTTGCCAGCTTACCATTTCCCAAAGAATCTCTGCTAGCCTGCCATTTCCCAAATAATCTAGCGTGCTTTTCCTAAATAATCTCTGTTAGCCTAACCTTTCCCAAAGAATCTCTGCTAGCCTGCCATTTCCTGAAGAATCTCTGCTAGCCTGCCCAGCTAGATAGATCAAAACTCTTCAAACAAATGACAAAATGTAACAACAAACCCGAAACTTTTCGCCCATCAATTTTGGCCACGCGACCTTGGCGAGCAGTAAAAAATAGCTCCCCCCCTGCCCGCGACATCCAAAACCAATAAACCCCGGGCGGGTGGATGTGCAAATAAAATCCGGGGGCGCCCGGTTGATTTTAGGTTCCGCTGAATGTTGTTATGACAATTTTACCAAAAAAAAACCATATTTTAACTAGAAAAACTGTCCAAAACCTTCAAACAATTTTTCAAAAGTCGAAATTTTGGTCAACAATGGCCATTTCTGGTCGAGAAATTTATATTTTTTAATGTTTAATAAAAAGTAAAGTTTTTACACTTCAGAATAGTAAAAGAACAGTTTAAAAACACTGCCGTTTCTATATTTAAAAAATTTGTTGCTAAGAAAAAAGTTTTTCAGGCGCGTGTCACAGGCTTGGGATCAAGCTAGTTTCTCAGGCTTGCGCCCAGGAATAACGAAGAAGCTGGTCGCTGAGCTTGTGTCGCAGGTTTAACGACGAAGCTGACTCCGCAGAGCTGGATGGAAGGCTTCATGATGAAGCCACGACTGAATCTTGTCCGGCTGGCCGGAAGGCGAAGCCCGTCGTTGAAGCTGATGTGGCAGGCTAAATGACGAAGCCAGTGGCCGACGCCATAGCGGCGGGCTTAATATGAAACTTGCGCCGGCCTTAAGGATAAAACTGTCATCTGGAGCAGGCCACCGAAGGCTAGACGACCTGATTCCTGAAGCACGCGCTGCGGATCTGAAGAAATCTTAAGGGCAAAAAATTCATCATTCGATGTGGCAATTCGTCAAAGATATTTATAAAAACATGAGAAAAATGTATATATGACTGGATAGCAGCGCGTTTATCACAGACCGGTCAACTAGTAGATCACCAAGGCGGGAAATGGGGGTGCGAAGGAAGGATACAGGGAGGGAATAGGGCGGAAATGCTAGTATACAAAAAGCATGCCCATTAATTAGTGAACCCGGGGAACAGGGGAACCAAGCCTATAATTAAATTAATTAACGATTAGTTAGTGAGGAAATTGTGATCATTGATTGAGATTTCGAGGAGGGCGAGCAACTTATTAGAAAACAACCCAATTTTGCTTACATGAGAAGCAGGTGCTTGCGCATTATCGGGGGGGGGGGGCGCTAATTCTTTCAGATTAGTCCAGAGATGCCTAGTAACGGACCTTTAACTGTTTTTATCACGTTTTTAGTAGATTTAACCACATCTAAAGCGCAAAGTTCTCTCAACGCCGACAAAGATAATCGAAATTCGGCTTGAAAAATTTTTTTGTGTTTTTTAACAAAATTTGAAACCCCCGATAATGCGAAAGCACCGTGAAACCAGGCGTGAAGCTGGCGAAACATCACAAAAGAGTGTAAAAAATGACAATCCAGATTATGACACGACGAGGCATGGAAGAAACATAGCTCATTGGGGGTGACACGAAAAATATCGAGCCGTTGGGATAATGCACATAGAATGAGGGACCCGTAATGTAATGGAATACCTATGCCAACCGCGAAAAACAAGATGTAGATCAAAAATGTGGATCGGCGGCTACAGGGCACCCTCGTCGGTGTCGGTGTCGATGAGCAGCTCCTGGGTGTCGCCGTCACGGTCGGTGCGCTGAAAAGAGAAAATGGATAGATATTTGTAGTGGGTGGGAATCCGTCAAGACGTCGTAACCTCGGAACTGGGAAAATGGAAAGCCTGAAAATTTAAAGGGTTGAAAAGGTCAAGATGTCACAGAGGGAAGCAGTTTCTGGAAGAAACCCAGCCTTTGCTTCGGCGTTTAAAAAATTAGGAATTTGGAAGGTCGAAATTGGCATACCACCAATCGCGACGTGTCGCGTTTCCCTTCTAACAGCGCGGCGCCGATGAAGGAGATCGTGATCGGGCAGGCCGCGATCAGCTCAATCGCCGTCGGGATTCGGCCTCGAAGCCCTGGAATTCGGGATTTAAAAAATTTCCTCGAAAACGACTAATAAACGAGGTTTTTTTTTTTTTGTGAAGGTTTTTTTTTTTTTATTCCAGTTTTTTTTTTTTTTATTGGGGGGGGTTTTTTTTTTTTTTTTTTTTTTTGAATGACTTCAAGATCGAACCTGCATCCGCCAAAAAGGAGAACGGGATCGAGAGGGTCATCGAGAGGGAGGCCGATAGAGAATCCGTCATCCCGGCGCCGAGCAGCCACAGGTAGTCGGCCAGCATCGTACCTAAAAGATTTTAATGCATTTTACAGCCAGTTAAAAATCGGTGTACATAGGATAACAGGGGGGGGGCTAAAAATAAGGTTGATCACTATTTTAAACTTTGAAATTGATGTTGGCTTTCGCGAATGCATGGATAAAACGTCAAAAAAATATACGAAGGGTAATAGAAGAATTTTATAGCGTAACCGTCATTTTTTCGCCCCCGTTATCCGATGTGCACCAAAAAAAAATCACAAATTTTACATCAGCATCAGGGAAAACGCACCAAACGCTCCGGCCAACAGCGTCGAGCCGGCTTGAAGTTGATTGGGCAGCGGGTAGAGGCTCTCCAACTTGGCCGCGTCGACGACGAACAGCATCGGCGTGCCGACGAGGACGGCGAGCAGTCCAATTGAACCTAAATTTAGGAATCATAATTTAATTTTGAAATTGTTCGAATTGAAAAACCCTCAGCGATAATTTACCAAACATCAAGTCAATGTCCAGCGTTCCGTAGAGCGATTGATAGCGGGCGTAGGCGGTCAGATAGAGCGCGTAGCAGACTGCAGAGATCTGAACTGAAAATGTAGCTGAAGAGGTTCAAAAAACGCACCTGCGCGAAAAACGCTCCCAAAACCCGAGCGAAAACTCGGAGACCAGGGCCACGCCGCAGAGGTTCAGAGCCACGAGGATCGCCTGAAAACTCATTTAATCCAAAAAACTGCAAACCTTTGTTAGGGTGAAGCGCTGCCCCTCAACCGGGATGCAAACGGCAAAAACGAGCACGAACAGGGAGGAAGAGGACGAGATCAAGTTCAGATCGGCCACCGACGTGAAGGCGAGCGCCGTTTGGAAGGTGAACGAGCAGACGAGCCACTAAAAACGGTGCGGTAGAATAAAAACCCGCCAAAACCGACCATTGGCGCGAAGAAGAGGAGCGTCCATCGAATATGCCGTTGAATCGTCCATGAGCACGAAATCGTGCACTCTGTCGGATCATAGGGCCGTCGCGCGTGCCGAGCCGCGTCCGCTTCTCGATCAGGCATTCGACGGACCTGAAAAAAGAACATTTTGAGGGGGAAACGACCAAAAACGCACCTCTCTCTGCTCGGCGAATCGAATTGTTCGTTGTCGAGTCTCCTCCAGCGTCGACTCGTTATCAGAAGACGTCATCGTTTCGAACCCTTCGACGCTCTGAAAATAAATGAAATTCACGGTCTAATAAGGATAAATGTGCAAAAAGAAAACCACACAAAGGCCCACCAACGATTCACCCAAGTCCAGATCCTCGAGAAGGATTTTGTAGGACTTCTGAAAGCAAACGGAGGTGCATGGGGCACGCAAATTGAGGCATACCTCGGTGGGCGGCTCGCCAGGCTTCTTGAGGAGGTAGCGGAGGATGTAGACGGACAGCATGCAGTTCTTCAGCCACGACACGAAGAACGGGCGGCGGAAGTGCTCCTCGATGAAGATATACTGAAAAATTTGATTAAATGCTGAAAATTAGAGCAAACCCGAAGAAGTTCGGAGGACAGCACCCACAACACGTTGACGACGAGCAGAATGAGGAGGCCGAGCATCCGACGGCTCAACCCGAGCTCGCGACGGCGCTCCTCCGAGCCACGGAACACCAGGTCCGGTACATCGTGGCTCGGCGACGGCATAAAACCCTGAAAATGAGAAGGGTAAACGGATTTTTGAAGCGTGAAAGATGAAAAGGTCAAGCCGAATTTGTAGGTCAATAATCCAGGTGATTTCAATGAGCGTCACGAGCTTAATAGCGATTCCGAGCCGAAAGAAAGGAAAGACATGCAAGAACAGTCCCTTGAGCTGCTAATCTAGTTATTGGATTGGAGCCCGCCAGCATTTCTGAGGGTACGCATGCTCCAGTAAACGGTTGATCCCGTGCGTCCATGACATCAGATCAGCTTTCGGCCTTCGAATTGAACAGTCAATGTGAAATAAAATGTTTTGTAACATTTCTACGAGCAGATTTATATCAAAAGACACTCAAGTTTTATTGAAATACACAGGACACTGGCTCACAATCGATTTTTTGCAAAACGATTTTATACAATTCAGGATTTAGCCATAATCGAAATTGGCAAAAAGCCGTGAGAAAGTTAAAGGGCTAGTTCAACTTTTAGAGCTTATTGGGCTGGTACTTTGAAAAAGGAAACCATTGACGATTTAGGCAGAGTGCGAACCCTAACAATCCCCCCAATTACGCCAGCTATTAGAGACCCGGGAAATTTCCGGAAATGAGAGCGGTCCAGACACAAAAACGCAAATGAGGGTTCGATTATTAAGATCTGAATATAAGAAAAAACCATTCAACGAAAATTCCGCCAAGGAATTTAGCCGATTTTCAGCTGCACGTAGCTGAATCCGTTTTCGTTGAAGGTGACGCTCTTCCCAATCTCTTGGTTTTGGATGAGAATTTCGGCTTTGCCCTCGGAAAGCAGTTGATAGGGCTAAAAATGGTTTGTGATTGCGGGATTGAGATATTTACCTTAGCCCATGCTTCGTGACCCAGGCGGCATAAGTCAAATTGCCGGATGCTGGCTTCGGCGCAGCGCCTGACGCTCCATTTCTAAACGGATAATGAAAACCGAGAATTGCCTTTCGTACCGCATCGATGACCACAACTTCATTTCCTGCTTCTCCAGGGCCTCGAACATTGAGGAACCGATAGCTCCCCGGTGTAATATCAGTCGCTAAACATAAATATCCAATTTCATAAATTTTTACTCACGCGTATTCAGGATCAGCACCTTGAATGCCGCTATCTTCTCGTAACGTTTGCGCTCGTCTTTATCGAGTGCCTAAAAATTCTTATGGAAAAGATAAAAAAACAACCAGCAAGTCATTTTTCCGTGTGAACCATCCTCGATAATTGCCTTCCACCAATCGTCGAAATCGGCATGTTCGACATCTAAAAAGTTGAATACATTTAGTCAAATTTTTTTTACTTACTTGTCGTCAAAATCCAGTTGTACTCTGCGATCGCTTCTCAGGTAATCTACGCAAATCGGACTAAGCGATTTGGGTAGCCAAGTTTCCGCGAAATTCTGAATACTTGAATTTCGGCCAAACCAAGAAGGAACGTACTCCACAACCCAAGCAAATGTTCATCATGATTCCCGTGGCTCGCTCCCACTTCTCGCCTTCACACACCAAGCAATCGAAGGGCTTGCTCGGGCGGATCGGCGGCATCTTGCAGTTCTAAACTAACGTTTCAAACTAGAAAAAAATAGGCAACCTCTGGCAAGTTATATTGAACCATGATTATTTCGACTCGCTGGCTGTCAAATGCTTTCTGTAACACGTAATTTTCTAAAATACAAAAACCAACCTTTAGATCGTTTAAGATTTTAATTTCTGCCTTCAGGTCGGGAATCGGTTGCCCACACTGAGCGTCTTCTGGATTCTAGAGCAAGAATTGACACAATTTGCAAGGACAAATACTTTTGCAATATCGAGGGGGAAGGGTTTCGCATGCAGAAATGCCTAATAACTTAGGTACTATTGTTTAAAAGTGACGTCTAAATATATTTCAAGTGAAACCAACAATCAAAAACATTTTTCTTCAACATCTTGATCGAAAATTGACCATGTTTGGTCAAAAATTCGATATTTTTGTATTGTTCAAGAAAAAAAAATTAAAAATTGCATCCTCAGAAAAAAAGTTAATGCGGAATGCCCCCAAAGCATGCCCCCTGCCCCGATATTGCAGAAATAACTTTAAAAAAAACCTCGCTGGGGTCCATCTCTTTTGAATAGCTGTGATCGTTCAGGGCTGAAGTTGAGGCTGTAATCATCGTGGCGTGCGCTGGCACCTGAAATTGTTTTTTTTCACATGGAAAAACGAACGACAAAAACAACGAAATATAGAAAAATCAGATCTCAAACTTCCATATATAAAAAATAGCATAATTTTGTGGCGGTCTCCGTGTGAGGCCGAATTCAACACGAAGGGGAAGGAGCTAGAATTTGTACCTCGAAGATCCAGGACAATTCGACCCCCGAGCCCAAAATTATCAAAATCGATCCTCAAAAATGAACTTCAGCGGCGAAAAAATATCGGGTTTTGTGTAATTTAGGGGGTGCAAGTTCATTATTGCTGGTTTGGGGGCATGGTTAGCCAGGTGGCGCGTTGGGGTGCGCTAATTTTTCACCTAAGCTCTATAAGTTTCATAAAAGCCTTTTAATCTAATTTTTCCTTTATGTTGTCGGCGTGTTTCATTTCTCAAGGGAATTGGGGTTAGGTAAAGCATCTGAAACTGTGAGCGACGTCGAAAAGCCGGAATTTTGGTCATATTGGGTCAAGCAAAACGATTTTTCGACTTAAAAAATAAATTTTTATGGCAGGACAGGAACCAATTTACAAACACATCCGCTATTAATATAAAAATGGTAGGCCTGTGCCCCAAAAAACTAGATGTCGCTATCTTGGTGTGCAATGGGCCTCCGTATGACGCTCAGATATGAGATTGTACATTTTCGACATTGGATTTGTTTTTGCGAAAATCTCGGACACCTCTTTGCTACGAGAAAATAGAATACTCCGGAATCGGGGTTGCCTATATAAATCCGATATTTTTTCCCGTTTTTTCAGCGGAACTCGGGAAGAACTATACAAAGTATAGACCATCATCAGGGCTGGAAAACAGCGAAGCTATTTTTTCAACCCTGTGGTCAATCAATAAATCCCAAACCCGGCCGTCGTCGTTTGATTCCCCTGTAGAGCACGATATATCTAAAAGCATAATTTTTCAGGAAGCAAAACTTTGCTAGAAATTGTCTTAAAAACTAAAAGATCAGTGAAAACTAACCAAGGCCGGCTGGGCGTTTTGCTCCCTGAACTTCTCCTCCGATTCTTCCTTGACAAATGACCGGTTCAATTGGACGTCGCCTTTTGAGCGCCGCGAGGCCTGCGGACGAACAACATGTGCTTCTCGACAACCTCACAAACCTGAACATGATTTTCAGCGCTTCTTTCCGGAAAAGAAAAGGCAATAAAAAAGCGTACCTCCGCCAGGGTTTCGCAAAAACGCCATTTCAGCTTCTAACATCCGAAATTCGGCGAGGTGTGTGCGGCTGTGAGGCTGGATGTCGGCACGGAACGCGCTGCCGATCGTGCAGACTCGCGGAATTCCACTGCAAGTAGGATTACCGAAAAGCAGATATCAACCCCTCACCTGGTCATCGCTTCCAGGTGCATTGGCTTGACACCGACAAAAACATCTTCTTGTTGACGCCAAAGTAGTCGTGCTTTTCACCGTGCACCGTAAACGTTTCGCCGGCCCCTTCACAATCGTTGCTCGTCAGCACCGGCGTGTCGATATGCACGTAGTCGTTTTCCTACAAAAGAGAATGATGAAGCACGCCATTTTCACCTCGAAAAACGTATGCGTCAACATTGTCAGTCTAGAGCGGAGTCGCATTATGGCGGCGAAGCCCGGATGTCTGGCCCTCAAATGCACCGCTTGGCGTATCGTATCCGCAGATTTCGGCTCGTAGTCAGGCTAAACAGCACAAAAACAGTGAGAAACGATTCAAAAAGTCAAACCTACATTCTCATCAGTGGCACAAATTCTGAGCTGCTCGGCGTGCAATTCCATGTCTTGCTCTGCACCGCGACTCTTGGCGCAGTTTCCGTTGACCGCAATCGCCGCACCAACTGGGACGTTCTTGTACACGCTCTTCGGCACGACTACCTAAATCACGATTTAAAGTAAGGTAACGATCACGCTAAAATGGCTAAAACAAACGCACTTGGTGGTGCTGTTGGAAATGCAGTCATGAACTCGCACGAATGACACCTTGGAAAACTTCGACGAGCGAACGACCTAGCCCTAAACTTTTGTGTAGGTATATAAAAGCCTGATACCTCAACTTCAGCATGCCCGCATTCTTGTTGTTGCTCGACGGCCTCGCTGAGGGTGGAACACGCCGACGCCGGCGATCCTGGCAGCAATCACGGCAACATGCTAGAAAGTAGAATAGGAACACGTTAGCGCGCAAAGTTTTCAGTTACAACTGAGGGCATTAAAAAGCAGCATTTCATAACGCCATTTACACAATGTTTTTCGAACGCTGAAGGTAATTTCGAAAGATATTTTATGATCAAGCGTTGCTCACGCTGTTACTTAATGCAAGAATCGTGTTTTCCCCTTTCAAACGGATCAGGCATTAGACTGGCTTTCGCCCACACGCGACAATGAGAAAATTAGCCAATTTGTATATATCCACGATTCAAGAGCCGGCCACAGGGAGATCAAGCCCAAAATCACAAGCTTGGGCTAAAAGAATATCTTTGACCTAAAAAGACATTTAGGATAGCTGGAGCTGAGGGCCGAGGGAGCCGGGAGCTCAAGAAGCTTAAGGAGCCCCGGATGGTATATTAAAGTATCATTAACCTTAATTTTGAACTATTTATACTATTCTTAGTATATTACTCAAGGTCTAATACGATTTACGGCTTTCTGAGCTCATACTGCAAAAAAGCACGTGGCTCCCGTAATAAACTGCCCCTAAAAGAGTTTTGGTTTTGCAGCAAGTTAAACTGGAAGTAGTCATGGAAAAAGTGAAGTGAATACGCTAAAGCCCAAGTGAATAATTTTATAATTTTTCCTGAAAAAGAGGCTCAGATACAAAATTTCATAATCTTTCTTCAAAAAGACTGAATGTATAATTTGCTTTAATATTATGCGTAAAAAAAGATAAATTCCTCGAAAAACAGTCTTTTGCATGTTAAAAGGATGCATTTTTACTAAGTTCTTCTAATGAATAACGAGGCTGTCGCAAATCGCAGAAAAAGCTGATTCAGCCCAAAAATAGAAATTATCTTCGGTGCTACAGCAATTCGGAATTAGGTAAAGCTTTGAATCACAAAAGTTCTGATGCGGTTGAATCGATAAGGATTTAAAGTGGAGGAAGAGCTTATGGGTTACAATGATTCGAGCAACCCTGCTATATCAGCAAATGCAACAAAAGCCCTCAACCAACAGAAAAGGAAGAAAAAACAGAAAGATTCCCGTATTTCTAAATATGGCCCGATATTTTGAATTCAGAATGCGCGGTACGGATGGGAAGAACTGCCCCCATGAATTTTAGCAACGAATTTGGGCACCCCGGGGAAAGCCATTTTGCGTCAGGCATATTTTGAACCACTCCACCAAAATACATTTTGCGCAACTGTCGGTGGAAAAAAATAAAAGCTTTCGAACATGTAAAGGTTGTCCTAATAAAAAGGCCACGCTGGCATTTTCGCCAATCCGATTGACTTGAAATCTTGAACCGAAGCGCAGGAGGGAATTTAGAAATTTCCAGAAACTTCCGGGGGGAAACCAAATTTTTCGGCCCAAGTCTAAATTTTTTTCTAAATAGCGCATGCGTTTCTAAATTGTTTCAACTATTCCTGAGCATAAAAAACTACCCACATTTTCATTCAAAAATTTAATTTTAGGTCGAAAAACCCTATAGAACCTTTAGGATTAGCAGGGGAAGACCCAATGACTAAATTTTCGACTTTTTCAAACTTTTTTGAAAGGTTTTCTACTTTAAATATGGTTGTAAAATTTACCAAAAACAATGTGAAAACACTTTATATTTGATTACTAGGTCCACCGGGCGAACCAGGAAAAAATTTATTACTTTTTTACAAAGTTACGCTAAAAATATCGATTTTCGACAAAAAAATGGCGTTCTTTTGATAAAATTTCGACTTGGTGAAAATTTTTTCAATCACCTCAGGGAAGGGGGTTGTATTAGTTTACTCAAAAACATTATGAAAATACTTCCTGTTAAGTTGCTAGGGATCCATAGACCAATATCAAGTTTTTTGCAATACCATTATAAAGTCCTTTATATTGGAACGAGTGGACACCACTTTGCGGCCGGTTTCCACTGGACCCCGTCTAGGACCCATAACTTAAATACCCCCCTTTTTAAGCTTGCGGCAGAAGAACGTCGGTCAAGGAGCGATTCTTTGGCGCGCGGGCGAGGCCAGCGTGACGCTTGAAACATTGGACCTGTTGCGCTAGTTACTGGTTTTTTTCTCCCGGATTTGGCCTAGAGCCAGCGGCCCCTATTTTTTTCATGTGGCGCCAAAACGAAGGCCAGGCTAAACGGGCCAAACACGATCATCCGTCGTAGGAGGCCTTCTGGCCACTTTACAAATTCGAGTTTTGAGTCTGAATCCGCTGAAAATCTGTAAGATGATAAGATGCGCGTGTTCCCTACTAACGGATACATAAGTGTTACAAATTACGGACCGAAATTCGATCGGGGTTTCGAGTTTTGCCCCGGACACCACGGCTCGCAGTGCACTTTGTTAAGGATTTTTACTTTGGCAAGGTCGCCTAACGGGGAAAGCAATAACGGGGGTGAAAACCATTTTTCCCTTTTAGGGACCCGTTGTGCCAATTCAAGCATGCCATCGGACAGAGCGTCGAAAAAAATTACTAACATAATTAATTTCGGCCCGAAATAATGTAATTTAAATCTTATTAGAGCAACGAAGCTGTGGGCCGTCCATGACGTATGACCATAAGGTGCCAGTAGTTTTGGGCACTTTGGCTGTTTTAACGGAATTTCAGGAATGCCATCAAATAGAGCATCAAAAAAATATACTAAGGGATTTAATTTCAGTCCGAAATCATTTATTATAAATCCTACTATATATAAAAAATAGTGTCGGTGTGTAGAAACTTTGCTAAAAACCCGGGTTCCAGCCATAACTGGAAGGGGAAGAGATTTTATGGTTCCGAAGTGAGGTATTTAGGGGTATTCGAGGGCGTAGAATACTGCACACTTTTCCAAAATTACGTTTTATCCCTTATTTAAACGTTTTTGAAACCTATGGAAATAGACTATTTTGCATACGGGTATTAATTAGCATAGACCGGAAGTGGGCTATATAAATATATATAAAGAGGCAGCAGGAGTTGTTTTTCATTTTTTTCGTCTTCTGAATGGAGGACAATTATGCAAAGGGAAGAATAGCATTGGGTGTCCGAGACGGGGCCAGGGTTGAAAAGTCGCGGAGCGGCTTTCAACCCGGCATTGATGAAAATTACAATATGCAAAGTGTTCGTGTACCAAGGGTCCCGCAGAGACCAGGGTTTTTAAAGTCGCGAAGCGGCTTTTCGACCCTGGTTAGTTATTAAAAAACAAAACCATAGGCTGGTCATGAAGTATAACCATAAGGTGATCATCATTTTAGGCATTTTCAGCTTTTTCCTCGAGATTTCATTAGTGCCATCGGATAATGCGTCGAAAATTATACTAAGAAACTTAATTTCTGCCCGAAATCCCGCAATTTAAAATTATTACTTTATTAAGCTAAAAGTTTAATCAATTTAAAATCGCTAAAAATGACGTTTTTGGCCTGAAATTAAATCCCTTAGTATAATTTGCGACGCTCTTTCGATGGCATTTTCAAAATAGCAGAATATCCTTTATCAAGACAAAAATTGTTTCCACCCCCGTTAGTTGCCCCCCCGTTAAGCGACTTTGACCTTTCACTTTTTTGCTTGCAAAATCCTTAAATGCAGGGCTTTCGCGATAAAGAAAAATGCGTTTTTGGCGAATATGTTTCTCCACCTCCATATCTGGCCTGCCCGCACTCAAGAACTACGGTATTTTCAATAAAAAGGACGGCGTCGTGATGAAAAATAAACCCTAAATGAATAATCAAAATGTTTTTATCGTTGAAAATCAGCCATGTGTATCAATATAAATCCCTGTAAAAAATATTTTATCGCGGAAAACGGAGTGAATGATAATTAGTCGGCATTCGATTGTTTTTCTAATAATAATTCTAATACCAATAAGTAACATAGTTGTGCCAATCGATAGGGTCGTCCGGGGTCCAACAATACTGCGAGCCTGCGCGCCAAAATTGAGCGTCTAATGGCAGGTGAGCATTTTGGATGCAGCGATAATAAACCCAAGGTTCTTCGTTGCTGCGTATGCATACACTGACGGTGGCATGATCGCCTTCCGATGACACTGAGCACACTTTTTGAAGACTTGCCTCCAGTTCAGCTTGTTCCTAGGGAAGTTTACGGAATTTGTGCAGTTTGCACTTACAAACTGCTTTTGGAGGCGAAACTGAACTTCTGTGATGCGTTGGTGGTGTTTTTTTGGCGGTCGGTCCTGAAGCAGGAATTTATGGAGAATGGAAAATTTTAGCTTTTTTGATTTGTCATGTTAGCATTCGAGTCATCAGCCTACCAGAATCGCTTTCGTAAGCCACAAGGTCCATTCCACGTCGCTATCGAGGGTGTCGCCGTAAGGCAAGTGAAAGACGAAGTGCCGTGTCGTCGGCAACTGGGTATATCGTACATAAATTTTTATACATACTCCAACCAGAACAGGTTTAGCGGAGGCGCTTTCTGTTTTTCCACCGATTGATAATACATAATGTATTTTATATTGTTTTTAGTAGCTTTTGATTGCTAGTAAGTCATAAAAACCTGCTCAAAATTTTGAAAATTCGAAAATTTACTTTTATAGGTTGACCCCAAAAGTCAAAAATGTTTGACGTTTTATTATTTTTGTATAGTTTTTAGATCTAAAACCATCTAAAATACTATAAAAATGGTTTAGATTTTTTCATAGGGCCGTAGAAAATCACACCAAAAAATTTTGGTTAGCCCCCCAGCGTACATTGCATACAAAATTAGATTTTCGGCGAGTTGGTTTTTCGGCGAGAAGGTTTTTCGGCGAGATGGTTTTTCGGCGAACTGGTCCGATACCGGCCGGACGCCCTTTTGGTATCCGGGAAGTCACTACCCCAAAGATGGCTCTATTGTTTTCCATGAGGAAACGAATTTTTCGCTAGTATTCGCCATGATTCGCCATGATACGGATTTCGGGGTAGTGTCTTTCGGGAAAGGATAGGTTAACGCTTCGTCACGCGTGACCAAGCGCCATCACGAGAATCATAGCTCGAAACAATACGAGTCACGAAACACGTTTCCCGAAACTCGAAGTCCCGAAAAATCGGAACGCTGACAATACCTGCAGAAATTTGGGCATCTTATAGGAGCTGTTTAAGCGCTTTTTGCGGTTCCGAGTTTCGGGAAGCTTTTTCGGGAAACCCATTTCGGGCAAATTGGTTAACCCCACTGCGAAAAAGTAGCTTACCGACTCGAACAGCAACTCCAGTGTCCGTTCTAAGCCTCTTATAGCTCATCATGACCTGAATGGAGATTTTGGCACAATTCTCAAATTTTGGGGTTTTGGAGATACGTTTAATATTTAGAACAAAAAACACTGCGGCCTCGAAAAATTTCCCTAATAGTTTTTCGACTGATATTGTATTGGCTCGACCTGGTGAACATTTTGACGCATAAAAATCCGGAAAGCCGTTCCGTGTCCATATACGGCCATGTGCCTCACAGTGGTCCATATTTTTTTGAACAAGCTGAAACCCACGGCCGTCTCCGCTGCGCAGCCACTCCATTGAAGCCAATCCAGTTTGCTTTTCAAATTGGATTCGCTAGCGTCGTCCGCAACCAGGGCAAATGGTCGCTTGAACAATTCCAGACTGCCGGGAGGCTACTAAGAATTGATTTATAGCTGAACTTTACATTCCTCCTGCCAATGAACAAGAACCAAATATCAACAGCTGATGATAAAATCGAGTTACCTATATAATGCCGATTGACATAATGCCGATTTTCATAATACCGACATTATAATGCGGATTTTCATAATGCCGATTTTCCATAATGCCGATTTTTGAAATGCCGATTTTGCAAAATACCAATTTTCAGAATGCCGATTCTTATAGTGCCGAAGCCGATAATGCCGATTTTGCGCCTTTTCGCCGGGCGCTAAGCCATTTTTCTCTTCTCTCACATTAGGTTTTGGTGATATATTCCAAGTCTTTCTAATGAAGTCTCTAACCATTATTTGTTACACAAAAACTTTCAAAATTTTCATAGAAAGAAATTTCCGCTGACAGTTATCGGAGACTGAATTTTCGAAGACCGTTTCGATTTTGATTCAGGGTAATTCTCCAGGAAAATCGAGGTTTCACTATTTTAAAAGGTGTTATCGCTGTGTTAAAATTGACAGCATAGACTTTTCGGGAAAATTGGGAATATCAAAAACTAGGATTCATCGAGAGTACAATGGCTTAGCACCCTAGGCAAAGTCGCAAAATCGGCATTTTGAGAATCGGCATTATGAAAATCCGCATTATGTAAATCGGCATTATGAGGTGTCGGCTCTGTCCCGAATCTGAGCCGCTCTCAACTCGAGGCATCGGAAATGATCTACATCACCCGAAAATGGTACTCGTTAGTGGGTATAAAATGAGTTGTCACATCTTGTTGGTAAAAAGGATGATTGCCGGTTGGTGCCAATAGTGAGCCAGGGGACGCGCGCTTGCGTAACATTTTCGCCCAATACATAAATGGGTAGCCGGAATACCAGCAAAGTCGCTACTGACGTATATTGCAGCTTCTCACCCGAACTTCGTCGCGCCAATCTTTTGGCCAGATCGCCGGGTCCGCCGAAAAGTCTGAGACGTTGACGCTGCTCGCTTGTGGTCGTGTACCGTAGAAAAGCCGATTCAACAGCTCGATCGCCCGCCCATACTTGATATCATGTAGGCAAACGCGTTCTTCGAATGTTGCCCGAGATTCACTAAACAAAGCCATTTCGCTAATTGGTCATAGGGGAATCCTGGCCCCAGGGTTTTGGGCGGTTCCATTTTCATACGCGTTAAACCGAAAAAGGAAAAAATTCAACATGTTTTTATGTAGTTTTTCTGAATTTCTCCTCCCCATTAACAGTCAAGAACCACTTGAACCGGCGTAGAAGTCTATAAAAACGGTCCAGTTTTAATTAGCCGGCCTACCCGAGATTATAGAAAAAAGTCGGCAACCGCCCCCACTATAATAACCGTCCCCCGTTAACCTGGAAGCACCGAAAATTCTCTCTGAAAGGCCCGATTTGGATCATTTTTTACCCCTGCTCAACAAAATGCGATTTGGAGAAAATGATTCTCGAAGACCCTAATCCCTCAGGAATTTCGAAAGATGGGTCTTGTTCTGAATTTCAAGCTCTATCTAGTGAGAGATGGCACACTGCACAATTCCAAGATCACCTAAAAACCGGTCATTGTGAGTGCAGCTTAGGAGTAGGTTGTCATTCTGCCTAAGCCTAAGCCTCAAAAGCATACGCTAGTGTAATTATCGGGGGTTTTCATAGCAAAATGTTGGAAAAGAATCGATTTTACTTCAAGACCGGGCGTTAACCAACTTGAGCTACACCAAAAGATTGTGAGCACATGTTGCAATTAACGAAACGTGCTTTGAGATTGTCAGCGTTCTTGCCTGCTTCACAGAGGGACGAAAATTTGAGACATACCCAGCTTCCATCAAAATATCACCAACTCCCGCCATCTTCAATCCAAGCTGCATAACGCCCGGCCAGCTACATTCGCATTCAATTTGTATAAGTCCCTCGATGCTGTAGCACGCGACGAACAAGAAATTGCCCTGAAATCGTTTTGAAGGCACCTCTTTATCCTATCTGGCGTGTAATGTTATAAAGTGGCTGTAATTTTGCATAGCCTCTGAAATTTCTACCTTCGACAACATGGTAATGCTGATAAGCCGAATTTTTCGACAAGTTGGAATTGGTGTACTCTGGCGGGCCATGGTCCGCTGCTAAAATGCGTAATTTTGAGCGTACTTTCCGGGTTTTTGATCGTTTTGATGAAAAGATAGCACAAACCTTTGTGGCCTTTAAAAGCGACGCTTTCTCCAGAAAACCCAGGTGGGCATGGGCGGCTTGCTGGAGGTCGGTTGGCAGTTTGGTAAATGGGAACGGCATCGTCAACGGGCTTCGTTAGAAAATGAGCTGCTCGACCGCTGGATGTATTTGGCAACGCAGATGGCCTGGCCCCTTATTTGAAACCGGGATGCCGAATCGCCTGGGGTTTTGTTTGGCTCCTCGCAGCATTAATATGTGTAGCTCATAGAGAATTTGCTTCGATAATGATAATGACAGTACCAAGTCCCAAGGAAAAGAGGGTATACACAATGTTTTTCAACCATTTGAAACGATTTTTTATCAACCTGGAACTGTATGAAAACGAATGAGTGGTACGAATGCTCCAGGCAACGGTTGATCCGGTATACCCGCCACATCAGAAGAGGCGGCCTAAGCCGGCTGCAGGAAGAGGAGGCTTCTGCCTGTCCAAATTTAATACTGTCACATCCTTCTGACGTTAGTTGGTAATTTTGGGATCTGTGCCGGGGACACGATCAGCCTCCGCTCTCGCCACTTGTCATCTGCCCTCTCTCCCCGCAGTCCCACTCCCTCGCCCTTTTCCTACGTTAGACCGCGCCCCACTCAAACCATCCTTGCCCAAAGGCAATTCCGTTGCATAAGGATGTGACTGTTGCAGTTGGCAATTTGTAAATAACAGCCGGTACAGCCGGTACAGCCGGTACAGCCGGTACAGCCGATACAGCCGGTACAGCCGGTACAGCCGATACAGCCGGTACAGCCGGTACAGCCGGTACAGCCGATACAGCCGGTACAGCCGGTACAGCCGGTACAGCCGGTACAGCCGGTACAGCCGATACAGCCGGTACAGCCGGTACAGCCGATACAGCCGGTACAGCCGGTACAGCCGTTTCGCGGTATATGTAATTTACGTATTTATTGTTGTTATTTATTAAAATAAAGTTAGTTTTTTACTATAATATGTCGTAATTGGTCAGCTAACGCGCCAGAGAGTACTTTATTGGTGAATTGAGCTATTCGGGGCCGTAATATCTGCATTATACACCGTTTTTAGCATAGATTCTATCCGTAAAAAATGTTAGAACAATTAGCTAATACATAAAATCGATTTCACTGACTTCATTGAACGTTACATAAGCCTTTATCGTGCAGCATCGCTTGTCGGAGCCCAGTTTTGATGTTTCTGTGCCTTATTATTCGTTTTTAGTCCTTTAACATATGGTTTCTCGAAGGTAGTACTGTTTGAAGGTTGCATTTTGATTTTTATCATTAAGTTGATGTTGGCAGGCTGTCATTGTCGTGTGCTATTAACTCCAAAACTATAAATTGTATGCTTGGATCAATTGTTGACGCAAGCGCACGTGGCGCGCGGTTTTGGCTCGTGGGTAGAAGCTTACTAGCCGCTTTGCTGAAATTACTTGGGTTTTAATTGAAGCACAGGCTTAGCTTTGCTTTAATCTGCTTGACCGAAGCACTAGCCTAGAGGATCTTAGTTTTAAAGGGCTAACGACGGCATAAGTAATCGGTGACGCTAGCGAAAGAAAATGCCTCTACGTGGCTTAAGCCAGGCTTAGACTTGGTCATACTAAAGTTTGGCAGAAGCTAGCTTAGTTTTCACATAAGCTTCGAGCTTAGAAACATCGTTTGAAGCTACTTGCGTTAAAAATTGGCTCTGCATGACGAGCTAAAAGTTTCTTGGCTGCGAAAAACGTTACTGCTCGGCTGTGCTGATGAAGTCGAAGGGAAAAGCCCGAAACAGATGAGCAGAATTCGCTAGTAAGTTATAAACTTACAAATAAAATAGCGAATAGGATCCCTCGGTTTAGTTTAACACTTCATTCTTAAAATCAAAGCTTTAAAGGTGAGCCAATAGAATCCAAATCTACGCGGTGGCTTAGTTTCGCTGACAACCAAGTCAAAGCTGCGTTAAACTTACTGTAGTTATAAGAAAACAATAAGTGCCAGAAGCTTTTAGCGCAGCTAAACGGTGTTTAGGCTTGGAAATTCGGCTGAGAATAAGCCAACCTCTTTCTCAAAGCAAAGCCGCCCAAATCGGTCGCGTAGCTAACCACGTTAGTGCTACTCCAACGCATACACGCTTGCCAAGAACAAACTAGCTGCTATAATTGAATTATTTTGCGAGGATTACAACGTATTTGCACTGAAAATGAATAATAATGCACAGAAAGGGCACCAACTGGACTCCGACTAACGATGCTTACCTAGAAAAGCTTCTGTTACGTTACAGAAAGAAACTGCAATCAATAATATGTATTAACTAAATTATTGAATGAAAAGAATGAAAGAATCTATGAAAAAAAATCAGTTGAAAATGCAGATATTTCGGTCCCCATCAGCCCAATTTACCTATAAAGTACTCTCTGGCGCGTTAGCTGACCAATTACGACATATTAAAGTAAAAATAACTTTAATTTTAATAAATGAGAACAATAAATACGTAAATTACATATAACGCGAAACGGCTGTACCGGCTGTACCGGCTGTACCGGCTGTATCGGCTGTACCGGCTGTACCGGCTGTACCGGCTGTTATATACTAATTGCCTTGCAGTTCACTAACAATAAATATGACCATAGCACTAGTAGTATTAATAAGCATTTTTGTATCTGAGTAGCCGGGCTCTCTAACCAATACATTCACGAATTTCAGATGAACGTCTTGCGGTGTGGAGCTGCTCGGCGATTTGCCACATCTGTCAGGAAGCCCTTCGAATATACGCCAGATCGAGCCGCCGACTACCTATCAACATATGAAGGTGGCCAAGTCATCGTGGAGAAATATGGAGCCGATTTTCCCGACGTCGCCGTTCTCACGATCGACAACTCGAAGAAACGGAATGGTCTCACTGGTTGGTCCAAATTACCGGCTTTGATGTAAAATGAATAATTTCTAGGCAAAATGATGTCCGATCTGCACCACGCCATCACCAAGCTCGAGCAGCAGCAAAAAGGAGACGCGTCTGATCCTTGTCCGCGGCGCGGCACAGACGTTCTGCAGCGGCGGCGACCTCGGCCTCGTGCGCCAAATCGCAAATTCCGACGACGGCTTCATCATGTGCAGCCTGATGAGCAACTCATTGACCCGCCTCGCCTCGCTGCCCGCCATCTCGATAGCCAAGATAGACGGATTTGCACTTGGTGGTGGCGCCGAACTCGCGTCGGCTTGTGACATTCGAGCATGCAAAGTTGATGCAAAAGTCGGCTTCGTGCAGGGACGCATCGGCGTGACGCCAGGATGGGGAGGAATGCCGTTTATGTTGCGAGCTATGGGATATTCGAGGTTCGAACAACAAACTCCTTAAAAGATTGAATTAAGGATCAAATACCGTTTCCTTCTAGGACGCTCGAATCACTCGCCACGGCCGCCGTGATGGATGCGGAGCGACTGAAGCAGATCGGCTTCATCCAGCACATTTACGCTAATGACCAAGACTTCGAGGCGTACTTGAAGAAGTTTATGGCCATCGACATCGAGCCGATCAAGGGATTGAAAAAGGCTGCCTCCGCTCTCCACACACGCGATTCCGAGGCGTTCAACGTGGAACGCAGCGTCTTCGCCTCACTTTGGGGTGGACCGCTTCAACTTGCTGCACTCGCCGCCAACAAGAAGCATAACTGATAGGCGTCTACCCTTTTGAGTCGATTTCGGGTAATTCTTTTTCAAGAATTCATGCGTCGGGTTTCCTTAGTAATTAAATAGAAATGGTGGGTTTTAGTCATCTTTCCTAAAAGTCATCTTTCCTAAAGTCATCTTTCCTAAAGTCATCTTTCCTAAAGTCATCTTTCCTAAAAGTCATCTTTCCTAAAAGTCATCTTTCCTAAAAGTCATTTTTCCTAAAAGTCATTTTTCCTAAAAGTCATCTTTCCTAAAAGTCATTTTTCCTGAAAGTCATTTTTCCTAAAAACAATATTTATCAGTTGGTTTTTTTGCAAGAAAAATTTTTTTTGGAGAGGCCCGGGCCGTAAAATTTTAATGTCTCCATGCCCTACTAGACCTTTTCGGGATGTTTTGATTTAAGTTATGCTATCTTTGAATTCATACAACTATTCAGAAATCAAAAAATAGGATAGGCTCTGATGCGACTAAGAGCTTTTATGAGGACAGACGGCGTTCAAGGCATTTTGCCGTTTCTACACAGGAAGCAGGTTTCAAGTTAGGCGAAGGTGGTATCCCTATTCGCATACCTAACTTCAGGAAAAATTAATCTTCGAAAAAAATAGTTTTTAGAAAAAAGTGATTGAGGAAAAATAAAAATTTACGATTACCAAGTTTTAGGAAAAATGACTTTTAGGAAAGATGACTTTTAGGAAAAATGACTTTTAGGAAAGATGACTTTTAGGAATGATGACTTTTAGGAAAAATGACTTTTAGGAAAGATGACTTTTAGGAAAGATGACTTTAGGAAAGATGACTTTTAGGAAAGATGACAGGGATTCAGAAATGGTTATTGCAATAAAATGCTTAGTAACATTATCAAGACCAAGGCTTTGAAGACATTGAAAGACTTTTATTAGACATCACATTACAAATCACACACAAAGGCAACCCGAAAATCATTGATCGAGTTTGAGCTGTACGTAGCTGACGTTATTCTTGTTGAAGTCGACGAGCTTGCCAATTTCTTCCGACGGGCTCAACGGCTCCCTCTGGCCGTCTTTGTAGAGTTGATATTTCTAAAAAATGGTTAGTGCTTGCAGAATTTGGAGATTTACCTTTGCCCAAGCGTCGCTGCCGGTGTTGACGAGCGCGAAGTGACGGATAGTCGTGTCGACGCAGCGACTGACCGTCCACTTCTAAACAAAAGATTCAAACCAACCAACGCTTTTCATACCTTATCGATTAGCACGAACTTTCCCTGCGCGTTTCCGGTGGCTTCAACGTGTAGGAAACGAATGTCGGCTTGTTGTATGTCGTGGCCTGAAATAGACAAAAATTAATTATTAAATTTTTGACTCACCTTTTGTGCTCGATTTGCATTTCATCGTCTCGATCTTCTCCATTCGCTGCCGCTCCGCGTCGGTCAGGACCTGAAAAAAAAATGAAAAATGGTTCCAGTTAAATCGAATCGAACCCTTTTCGGCTTTTCCACTTCGCAAACGACGGGCTGGGCTGCGTCGGGGATGTTTAGCTTCTTCTAAAGCAAGAATTGGCAAAATTTGGCATGAAACAACCTTGAGCTGGTCGATTTTTTCGGCGGCTAGCTGCTGATGGGTGGGCCCTTTGGCGCAGTGGTGGTCGTCGTCGTGGCGGTGGCTAAATGCCTTTTATCGATGAGTTTAAATAAATTACCGCAGACAGTAATTCAGCCCGCAATTTTGGCAGCAAATTTTGACCGACTCGGCTTGGTGGCAGCCGGTGAGCGAGCAGACGAAGGGCTTCACCGGGATGGCATCCTAAAAAAAGCGTTGTGCAAAAGCATAAATCCTACAGTTAACTTTGATGTTCCATCCCAGATATTCGATGTGGTCGCGCAGCCGTGCGAGAGGCGGTGGTCGCCACTAAAAAAAATACATTCTCCAACGTCAAAAGAGTTTACCAGAAAAACTGCTCGCACTGCTTGCAGAGGTGGGGCGTATAGTCTAACAAAAAGTAAAATAAATGCACCGGAAATCTCACCGAGTCTTCCGCAAATTTGTAGGGCACAATGGCGGCCGAGATCGGGCAGTTCGGCCATACCTGAAATTTATATTTTCAACAAAATGCGTGTTAAAGAAAACGAGAAAAAAGAAAGTAAGTGAATCACGGGGAAATCACAGAGCCATCACAGTCATGGGAGCAAAATCGGCCCTATACGTCAGAAGAAGCAGAATAAATGCATTTTGAGCGGTGAATTTACTGTTGCTGGACAGTCGCCTGTTTTTCCAAGATGGATTTTATTGCGAGCTGCAAAACTTCGGTGATTGCCTCGAGGGTAGCCTAAAATCGTTTAAAGTTTTCTCTTTTTTCTCACTTTATCGTGTTTTCTCTTTTCTACACGTCGTGTCTTATGTCTTTCAGTCGTGTTTCTAGACTTACATCCTCATCAAATTCCGGGATGTGCACGAAGAGTGCCTTCGATTTGTCGTGACACAGCGAGATGTAGAAGGAGAATCCGCAGAGATATCTGAAATATAACCTCTGCCTTACCCTTGCTCCATCAGACCACAAATATATTTTGAACTCACCGGCCCGGGTCCTCGCTGGCCATGATCGTGAGCCCGGGGTGTTTTTCTCGAGTGGCCCCGGTCACCCGTTCCGCCAAATCCAGGCAGTTGATCCCCGAGCGCAACTCGGCGCCGTGTACAGTGCAATTTGGGGCCATACCATTGTCTGGCAACTTCTCTAAAAATTAAAAACTTATCAAAACCACAATGTCGTGCTGTATTCGATCCTACGTACCAGCCACATCGCCCCGGCAGTAGCCATCCCCGAACGATTGCTGCTCAAACTTGATCGTCTTCTTTACAGGGTGCACGCCGACGTGAATGATCAGCTAAAACTAACTTTTGACTGCTTCATGCGTGTTTGGCGCAGCGTTGAAGCACCTACATCCGGGCAGTGTTCTTTCCAGTAGTTGTGCACCTTCGTGTCGACCTCATCGTATTCCACGGACATCAAGTCGGTCACCAGATTCACGTCATTGACTTCAGGGAGCCCAAGCTAACCCGCGAAAGTCTTTTCAGGCACTCCTTGAGCTTACCTTGGAAAGATTCCTGACCACCTCCGTTGACGGATTCGTTTCCCAGGGTCCAAACGGGCCAAATCCGGTCACCACAACGGTTTTTGCCATCGTTTCGCTGAAAATAATATTTTTAATGAACTTTCCGGCGCTGAATACTGCGAATTTGACTTCTGAATCATTTAGTTGCGGGGCTACATGGCGATCCTCGTGACAAATGAACGGTGTATCTTTATCGAAACTCGTGCTTCTTTTTTAATCGTGTAACGCTGAAGCAAAAACAAAAACGAAAAAAGGTCGTCTTTTTATGCTATTTATGTTCTAACTTGACTTAACTAATGCAAATATATTATTTTCAGGTAGACCGCGGGCCGTTGACCGCCTTCAAGCACCGGCAGCGTACACAAGGAGCGCGGCTTCCGCCTTGAAGGTTTGTCAATTTTTGTCTTTGCAAACCATTTTTGCAGATTTACATCAAGGGATGGGCTTCCTCACGCATCTCGTCGCTTTCGCAATAGGCGTCTACGTCGGTGCGTATGCGATCCAGATGTATGACGTGAGTGGTTGGGTTTCTGAATTTCGAATCTGTCTCTGGCTTCGTTAGGTGGTCTATCTTTTCCTTTTTGCGCCTTTGTGTACTAGCGAAATTGTGTATATTGCGCTCAAAAACATTCTTGATTTTTCGGATCGCTAAATTTCCTCTTTAGAAGAAGCGCAGAGATGAGGGCTGGATAAAAGTGGGTTTTTGATGTTCTGGGTCGAAATTTTGCCTTAATTATCTTTGTTTTAATCCGGGATCTTTTTAAAATCTTTATATATTTAAATTTCAGGTTCCACGCATACCGTCGCCCAAGGAGATCACGCAGCGCGTCGAGGATGCCTTGAAGCCGTACGAGAAGAAGGAAAATAAAAAGTTCCCGAAGAACATTTTGTAACCGTTTATTTCGATTTTCGTAGTACAGGGCTGTACGACGTTGTAAATATTATTGTATTGCTAGCAGGCCTGGGAATTTGGCGGGCCGGGCCGGGCCAGGGCCGAGATTTTCGGGATTTTAGGCTGGCGGGCCGGCCCGGGCCGGCCGTCAAATATGGAGGGCCGGCCCGGGCCGGCCCGGGCCGGCCCGCCACCTTGCCAATAAGTTATTTTGAGTTTAAATGAGGTAATTTAATTACATTGTAAGTTTTCCTTATTGATATTCAACTTAAATCATCTGTTTCAGCAGTTAAAGTAAAAAATCCGAGTTTTGGCTTAACTTTGATTTATCAGGAAAACGACCCGGGTTCGATCCCGGCCGAAGTCAATCTTTTGCTTTTTGCTTTTTTTGGCCGGAAATGTTCAGAAATGCTGGGAATATGCCTTGTTAGCCTTATTAAGTGTATTAGCGTTCAAACTACACGTGGACGTCAAAGAAATTGAACTCCACTAAGTAAAACAGACTTTTTTCTATTGAACTAAAGATGTAATGTTGTATACTGCTTTATGAATAAATTCTCGTTACATACCATACCTAAATCGGTTGTGCAAGCCTATAGACAATTAACGGACTTGATCTAACACGTTTTTGTGACTCCGGAAAAATTAAATGATGGCATATACTGGTTTGGTAAAAATGTACCCAAAATGTCGGGCCGGCCCGGGCCGCGCCGCGGGCAAAAATTGGCTGCGGGCCGGCCCGGGCCGGGCCGGGCAGGGCCGACGAAAAATGGGCTGGCGGGCCGGCCCGGGCCGGCCCATTCCCAGGCCTGATTGCTAGCATAATCACCGGGTGTCTTTATTTCATGCCGACTCGATTCTTTTTCTAATGATGTAATTAATTGGCTAGGCTTTCGTTCACGTTGCCGTTTGTTTTCGATATGTATTCCCCTCTAACTCCCACTCGTAATTGGTCACCTCGATTTCGCAAGTTGCTTTTTTGAATTGTGATCCGCCGTCTCCACCTTTTTTTATCTATTGCATCATGGCCCCGTTCGTGTTATATAAACGGCTATAGACCAGAGAAAGTGCTATCTGGATTTTCTGGTTGATGCAACCCTACAATTATCACTATTATCACCACATCCGTCGGCATAGAGTTGTTATTTTTTGTAAGCAATTACACCTTGCTTTCAGGGAATGGGTCTATTCGGGCACCTGATAACGCTGGCCGTCGGATTCTATGGTGGAGCATACGCAGCACAAAATTACGAGGTGAGATTTACATCTTAAAAAAATGTCCTGGGCGCTTTATGATGGATTTTGAAAATGCAGATGTCGCTTGCACGGGACAGCAGCGCCGCGGTTCATTGCGCGCGCGCGCCGTTGCCATTGCGCACGCGCGTTGCCCGCGGTGCGCGCGCGCGATTGACCGCGGCTGGCACGGCCCAGGACGGGCCGTGCGCGGCGGGAGCGCGCGCCGCGCACGGCTGGACCGCGCGCCGTGCACGCAAGGAACCGCGCATGGATGCCTTTACTATTAATATATCCTTACTTTTCCTTGTATTCGGGTGCATTTAATCGAAATTAGATACACCTTGCTCCACCAATAGTTTATCATACAATAATCGACCAGGAACTTGAATGAAATCACAATACGCGATAAGATAACAGTAGACACAGAAAAATGAAGAGTATGGATGAACAAATGATACAAACATAAGAAAAACCACGGGTTGTTCACAAATGACAGATAATAATTTAAAGTTTGCTTTTTACATTTTCTTGGTCCCTGAACATCGACGGCAGTGGTGCGCGTCGTCGAATAGCACACATCGGGCCCGACTGCATACAGACTCCGAACATAACCCTAAAGAATAGATATAAGTAGATTAAACTCTACTTACAAGTAGCACTGCAGATTCAGCGGGTAGGTTCGTCGAGCAACAGCACACATGAGCGAAAAGAAGCGCACTAATTTGAAAAGTTAATTAACTTTAGCAAAAAAACCAACCAAAAGTAGGACGTCTGCTTTGCATATCAAGGTGGCGCGTGTCGTGCAACTTCGATTTTCCACAAGTATTTGCCATGCCGTCAAGCAAAATCTAAGAAAAATTGATGAAAAGATGACGATCGATACCTCCTTCTTCTTTTGATGGTCGGTCTTCAGTTTCCTATGCGCGGGTATTGTCGGCAGCAGGGAAGCAGCTCGCGTCTCGCAGCCTGTCTTCCGGAAACAACGGTCTGCTAAAAAACATAGAAAGCCAAGACTTGAGGTGTCACCGGCACAGGGGAAGACCTATTTTCCTTAGGAAAACTCCTATTGAATCCATATTGAAAGCGACGCCACCCAGACCATGAGCTTTTCATAAGGAAAAAATAGATAGGAACCTTGTGCCGGTGACAACTAAGCAAGAAACACTGACCAGTATTATCCCAGCTAACACAAGTTGACCAGTATTGACGGCAGATGTGAAAATTCGTCGCACTCGTTGCCCATCATCTCGGCGGCACCTTCGAGGCGGTTGCCTAAAAAGCTTTTAGTAAAATAACTTGATAAAAGGCTAGTGGTGAAAAGCATAGAGCAGCGTTGGGCTGGCGGCTTGAATCCCGTCGACGTGACTGGCGCATCAGAACAGGATACCAAACCTAAATTTGAACTTAGAAAGCCTAGAATGAACGATACCTTTTCCGCAAGAAGTCTTTCATTCAGCACCTTCCTGAATTGGGTTCGACATCCAGACTTTTTTATCTAAAAGGCATGCAATAACAATGAAACAATTCGAAACGAGTTGAGGATACAAAAGAGGAACGAGGTTCTCGCAAATTACGAACGGGATTAAGCTATGAAAGTAGTTAGTAATCGCAGGCCTTAACAGATTTCGATAAAAGTTTAGTAAACGGCGAGGTAATAATTATTTTTCTCTGAACTATGGAGTTTTTTAAACTTGTGGATTTCGCCATGAAATCGCGAAATTCTCCGTGCGGTACTTCCAACACCTATCGACGTCACGGCGAAAACGCGGCGCGCGCGCATTGACCGCGCACGGGAGGGGCCCGGCTGCCCGGTCAATCCGCGCGCGGCATTGGCTTGGCGGGTCCGCGGCCACGGCGCGCGCACGGCGGAGTCGCGGCCCGTGCACGGCGAGCCCACGGGCCGCGCGGACATGCCGCGGCGCTGTTGTCCCGTGTGGACGTCAAAAATATCGATGTTGTCCGAAATGCCATCATCATTGCCATTGTGCGGGGCCAAATTCGATTCCTAATAATAATCATAATAATATGGTGGTCCCTGCGACCCAGCCTTCAGCTTAAATTTTGGTAAACTTTTCGAAAGGGGTAACTTTTCAAGCGCTAAGTTGAAATTTTATAAACTTCCATCTTCAGGTGCCCAAACTACCGTCCGTCACCGAGCTTCAGGGCCGAGCAGAAGAATATCTCAAGCAGTTCCAGAAGAAGAGCGAAAAATAGACGTCTCTTCCGACCACTCGATTCTTCTGTAATAATGATTTTGTGGTATATGTTCTTTCTTTTCTAGAATTCATATAATTTACTTGTCTTTTGTTGTACATCTTTGGCTTGAGCAATTGTACTTGGTCGGGTAATCTGCGATTTTTGTGTGTACTCGTTTCCCTTCGCACGTTTTCATAGGAATAAAAATAGTCTAACCACGCTGTGGGATAGATCTTGAGGAGTGGATTTATCAAAGGAAATGGTGCCACAACTTCTTCTTTCGCCGAATCTCTTCCGTCTCTTTGAAGCCGGTTTCGTAGTAGCCGGGTGCGGTGACGGGTGGTGGGCACTCGGAACAGGGCCACGGATGGCCCGGTGGGCCGTTGGGCCCTGAAAAATTAGATTTTTTGGGGTAAAACTTTAGTAATTAGTTAATGAAAGGTGCCACGTACCCTGCAACCCCTGGGGTCCTCGTTTTCCCGGGAGGCCGCGGTGGCCAGATTCGCCTGGGGAACCGGATTCGCCGGGAATTCCTGAAAGAAGCATCATAAAGCGGCGGGGTTAACGGAAGGAACCCTAATTTCTAGTTTTCCGCCTACCTGTTTATAGTAAATAGCGTATCTTTGTAAGCGTATTTAAAAGCTTTCGATTACAAAAAAGTTAGCAAAGATAGTCTAAAATTTTTGTAAAATTTGGACGTTTTTGGGTCACTTTTCATGTAATTTGAGAAACAACGCCAATTTGTGGAGTACATTTAATTACGGGCTTTTCTATCTGGGATGGTGTAAATGCTAGAAAAATCCGGGCACTAGCAAAAGTTGGCTAGGCTTAGTCTTGGGCTTAGGCTTAAGCTCCTTACCCGGAATTCCGTTCTTTCCGGGCGGTCCCTTATCGCCTGGTGCTCCCCGGGGTCCTGAGGCTCCCTCTTTGCCCGGTGGGCCGGACATTTTGTAGATTTTTCCAGGTTCTCCCGGCTCGCCACGAAGCCCGATGGAGCCTAAAAAACGCAGTGATGCGAAGTAAGTGGATCTTTACAGTACCCGTGAATCCCTTTGGCCCAACTCTGCCCGGCTCTCCCTGCGGGCTGGGCGGCGCCGGCCGGCCGGGTCTTCCGGAATGGCCAGGGGCGGCCGCGGGGCCTTGGGGCCCTCGGGCCCTTGGTCGCTAAAAAGTTATATTACTCTTTTTTAAAGGAAGGAAGGAATACTGAGGTAAACTTACCCAACTTCTCCGGGAGGACATGAGCGGATGCATGTCTGACGCGTGTCTCCCTCAGCCGGGCGGCCGGGATGCCCGTCGGAGCCTAAATATGGGAAGTGGATTAAAATATGTTGCCTTTTGCTCGCTTTCAGCGCGGGAGAAAGGAGATGAGAGAGAGATCGGTGAGATGAGAGAGAGAGAGAGAGAGAAAGTTATGTCAAGCGATAGATATAATGCAGATTGCTTTAAGAGCGCTTAGAAGTCCAAAAAACCCTGATCGTACCTGGTGTTCCATCTTCTCCATCGATTCCATCATGACCAGGAGCGCCAGGCGGGCCGGCTGCTCCAACGCAACAGCCTGAAAAAGGTAGATCTCTTCTCTCTCTCTCTCTCTCTCTCTCTCTCTCTCTCTCTCTCTCTCCCCTCGTCGCTTACTCTGCATCTCTCGCTTCATACGGCGCCGATGTTTCAGGTCAAATTTCGCCATCTCCACTCGTCGCCACAGATCGGCGACTACGGTCTGAAAACACGAATGCGACTGCTACAGTAGGCCTGAGTCAAGGGGTATGAACTGTGTCAAAGTCTCTTTAAAAAACTCAAAAGACTTTTATAGGGGCCCCAAACGGGTCCCGCCGCGACTCACCGGGCACTGCCCCTTCTCGACGTCGTGGTGCAGGAGGAAGATGGCGTGGAATAGGGCAAGTGGGACCAAGGCACAAGCACACACTAGGGCTGTCACCGGATAGGGCGGCAGCTACACGAACCATGAGACTGCTGGAATAACCAGTAATAGAGAGAGAGAAAGAGAGAGAGAGAGAGAGAGAGAGAGAGAAATAAAGAGATACTTTATCCGAGCTTACAAATCAAGAAAAACCCGAATAGTTTCTGCTTCAGCTTATGCACCGAAGCGACATATCCCTCCTGTCTGCCCGTGCAACTCCATAATTGGTCCTTCTCCCATAACCAGTCCCTTATTTTGTGCCCCCAGGGCTCAAACCCCTGACTGGCTGGCTGGCGCCAGGTGAGGGGCGATGCCCTCAAAGGCGCCAACAATTTACAGAGGGCGAATGAATAAAAAGGGCAAACGTATTACGGAAAGTTAACGATCATGCAAAAACGAAGGGCAGGCAAGCAGAGATTCTTTAGGAAAGCGCAGGCTAGCAGAGAATCTTTAGGAAATGGTAGGCTAGCAGAGATTCTTTAAGAGGGGCAGGCTAGCAGGGATTTAGGACATGGGTGCCCTCGAGCACGATTCGTCTAGCCGGGCAGGCTGACCCGTAAAGCCTGTCCCAATGACGTTACCATATGGGGCCGCCGCACGCCACGCGCCGCACATGTTATGCAAATGACTCTTGCGACGGTCACGCCATCGTGCTCCTAATAAAGATGTGGGCAGGCGCTGTTATATGCACGGCATGTGACTACTAGGGATTCCTTAGGAGATTGCAGGCTAGTACTCAATCAGGGCAGGCTAGCAGAGACCATTTAAGCCCCCCACCCCATGAGGCCATTTCGGGTTCTCTAAAGGACCTGTAAAGGCAAATCCGAGCCCGACGCCTTCGGTTTGTAGATCGCAAACACCAACTACAGTGCAACGCTACTTTTTAATCGAAAAAGTGCTTCGGGCGCTGCTCTTTCGTCCCAGACGGGTCCCACAACGGCCAACGGGGATTGGTTGGCTGATTGCCATTGGCCTAGCGCCTATGGATTTGTCTTGCCAGTCCCTTTAAACCCTTAAACCAGCCTTTCCGTGTCATACCATCCTCATTGTTTTCGGGGGGCCGGAATGGGGCAGCCGGGCCGGCTGCCCGAAACCGTTCGGCGCTGCCCCCAGCTGCCCAAATAGAGAATTCGGGGGGGTGAAAACGGTCATCTCGATTCCGTCCCGCTCCCATCGTTTTATTTCCGGATTGCCCCGGAAATTGGGGGCAACACCGACGCTACATACAATTTTATTGAATTTCTTCGTCTTGGCCACGATTTTCCCATTTTAAAGGGGCATTGAAGGCAAATCCATAGCTTCGAGAGCAGGTCCATGCCTAGTTCTAGGCGCGCAAAATTCAGAATTTAGCAGAATTTTTGGCTTTTTTTAGATATTCGGCGCCAGGAACGAATGCCGACAGCCAGAATCCCGACAGCCTGAAAACCCAGATTTTGAAAACCAGTGTTAGGTAAAGCGACCGGAAATATTACATTTTGGCTGTCGGGATTTTGGCTGTCGGGATTATGGCTGGAATTCCTTTGTTGGACTTACAAGGATGGGGGTACTGTAACTAGATCTGGCTTGGGGCCAAAAATCAGTGAAGCGGGGCAAAATTTTACCTTCCCAGTTCCTTTAAAGCGACTAATGACTGGCTTTTAACGAGTTTTCGTTTTAGGCATGGCAGGCGTCAAGAAATCTAAAGCCACGAGGAGTAGACCAACCAAGAAACCCCTGCCGGACCATGTTGAGACCGCGGTAGCTACCGTCGAGCCCGAGGCGGTAGTCGAAATTTTGGAAGAGGATTTAGAAGTTGGTTTCCAAAGATATTCCCATTTTCGAGCCCCTTTAAACGAGAAAAATACGGTTTCAGCCTGAAAATGGGCAAGCAGGACGAGAAGCACCTATCGACGTCCACGAATTGCATAGGCGGATGCATGAGGCTCATCATTTACGGTCAGTGGTGGGACGGGCGGTGCTGGGCTGTTAGCGGGGGGTTTGGCAGGGGGAATACCACCTTATCTTTTTTCGTCTATACCTTGTTGTTGATGATATATTATTTATTTTTATTGTTTTTTTAGTAGTTTTTGATTGCTAGAAACTTTGACATAATTTTTAAGCTTTTTGAAAAGGCGAAAATTTCGTCATTTTTCATACATTTTTGACCAAAAGTCAACAATTTTTGAAGTTTTTAATTATTTTTTGATTGTTTCTTATCTAAAAACTATGTAAAATGCTATAAAAATGGTCTATATTTTGTTATAGAGCCATAGGGAAACATAGGGGGAAAATTTGGTTTCCCCCCCCGATGACAGTCCAGTACCGGACAGGCTAGCACAGATTTTTAGCAGGATAGCAGAGATCCTTTAGGAACGTGGGAGGTCTCTCTCCACCACGAAATTCAGGGCCCTCGCCTCAACCGGAAGCCCAGGAAGCCGAGGACGTACTGAGAAAGTCGTCAAGTCGAAGCGAAGATCGAAAAACGGGCACAATCAAGGCCGAGGGCTCGATGAGTTTGAGTTCACGAGGACCGTGGTCGGGACGTCGAAGTCGTCAAAAACCGAGCAACGGACGATCGATTGGTGCGATGGGAATTCGAGGATAAGCCTCGAGGAGGCGCCTACGGTAAGAAGAAGACGTTCTCACTCGCTCGCTCGCTCTCTCTGCTCTCTCTCTCTCTCTCTCTTCTCTCTCTCTCTCTCTGCATCTCTCACTATAGGTCCACAGCTCCAATTTCGACTACACACTCTCCGAAGACGCGGATGTGATCCACCTGGAGCGCTCATTCCAAGAATCCACCCAAGAGCTCGAATTCGAGACGGATAGGGACGATTTCGTGCCTGGAGGTTAGCATTCAACTTTTAAAGGGACCAGGAAGGCAAATCCATAGCCCGCAGACCCTTGACAAACAGCCAACCGACCCCTTTTGCCGTGGTGGGCCCCCGTGTGGCACGAAAGTGCGGTGCCGAAAGCAGTTTTTGGAGCTGTAGCTCTAGCTGTAGCTGTAGCTGTAGCTAAAAAATTAAAGGGGCGGAGCTAATTTTTGCGTTCAATAGCCCTTTAAAAAGATTCAGCCCCTCCGTACTCTGCAATCGTCAGCCGGATGCTGGAGAATTCGCAGGTGCAAATGATGCTGCTTGCCATTGTCGCCGCTTTCCTCTTGCCGCTGATATGCGCGCAAAATTTACGTAAGTGCTAGCTAGCATAGATTCTTTAGGAAAGGGCATAGCAGAGGTTCTTTAGGAAGTCATAAAGTTTTTCAGAGATCCAAGCCTGCTGCGGTGTGCCGAATCTCTGCCAAAATTTCTCTCGGGCCGAGGATCTGTTCGGGGTGGCCTGTTGCGGGAATCAACCTTACAATGCGTTCACGAGGATCTGCTGTAGTGGGGTGAGAGAGCGCGAGAGAAGAGAGAGAGAGAGAGAGAGAGAGAGAGAGAGAAATACCGTTTCAGGCAGTCCGAGACCGTAAGACCGCCGATGGACGATACGCTGAACTTTGTTGCGGCACGGAAACGCTGGCCTACGATCAGACTTGCTGTGCCGGAGTTGTGGGTTCTCTCTCTCTCTCTCTCTCTCTCTCTCTCTCTCACTCTCTCTCTCTCTATCTCTCTGCCTATCTGCTAGTGTCGATAGGTGCACAACGTAGCTGGCGGGGATTGCTGTGGCTCGGCCGTCTACTCAAAGTCCGATCCGAGCTTGAAGTGCTGTAATGAAACGTTGGTTAGGTTAGTTTTCCTAAAGAACCTCTGCTAGCTTGCCATTTCCAGGGCCACTTCCGGCACGGATATCTGCTGCGGGGCCACAACATTTGATGGTGGCCGTACGCAGATGTGCTGTGGGCAGCAGGTCTTCCAGCTCAGCGACTTTGACAGCTGCTGCGAGTCGCCGGGCGGGACCTTTCAGGTGAAAAAACACTAATTCACGGGGTTCAAAGCTCGTTTATTCAAACCCGAGCGGGGCCAAACCCCCCCCGCCCCCCCCCCCGTAAAAAAAAAAAACCTAAGCCTAACAAAATCTAACCTATCCCCCGACTTCCAGCAATTCAACTCGGCCACCCAGTTCTGCTGCGGGGTGCCGCAGCAGAAAAACGGCAACATGGCCTGCTGCTACCTGCGCCAATCCGGAAGCCTCATCGAAACGGCCTACGACAAAACACGGCAATGCTGCAAATACCCCTTCGATATTATACAGCCGATGACGAATGGGAGCTGCGTATAGGGGTGTATTTTGTAGTCTGTACGGTATTGCACAACTGTAATTTTGAACCTTGTAGCCTTTGCCTAGATGTTGCTTGTATAAAGATGGAATTTTTGTCGTTTCTTTTTGGCACTTTGTTAGATTTGAATCGATTGAGGCTGGCAAGCTGGCAGCAATTCTTAAGGAAGAAGCAAGATAGCCGAGATTATTGAGGACAGGTACAAGATCGTAGAGACTAACTTTAAAAATTCAGCAGCATTCTCTCTCTCTCTCTCTCTCTCTCTCTCTCTCTCTCTCTCTTGTCTCTCGCACTTCCTTGCTGTCGTTTTCGCTTTGCATCCCTCAATTTACATCCGCTAACAAACTAAAAGTCGGTAAAACGCTGTTTTGAGTAGCATTTCGTCATACTCGGCTCCTGCAAAGATGCGGCGCCGATGGATGCCGCGCCGATGGATCACCGCCGGATCACCGCAGGAAGGCGAAGCAGAAAAGTGATTATTCCCGCGCCGCTAACACCAGTACCATTCCAGGCCGGTGAAAATGAGGCGTGGGAGAACCCCGGACCCCACGCGGGCTGGGAAGAACGAGTTGGAAGTGCGTGCATGCTAAAGCCATTTTCTAGTTTTCTTTTCAAAACGGCTACGGCTTATTTTACCCCCCCAGCCGGAATGTTTTGGCTATAACTTTTTTATTTTACATTATTGTAGGCTCATATTAAAACTCTTAGTATATTTTTCGACGCTCTATCGAATGGCGTTGCGAAAATCCCGACAAAATAAGCGAAAATCGACAACTTTGAGACCCTTCGGCTGTGGGGGGGTAACTCACCTGTGCGCTAAACTTTTCAAAAGGTTTTGATAACTGTCTTGCAATCAAAAACTACCAAAACCACTTTCCTTGCCAGAAGACGAACATTTTTGTATACTTTACACACCTGTAGCTGAACAGCGAGCCGAGATACAGAAGTTGGGTGCCGGCTGGCGTGTAAACTGCACTCTAACCCATTATTTATCACCAACAAGTAGGTTTAGGTCTAAAACAGAAAGTGGTTTTCCCTCCTATAGTAACCCCTCCCCCCGCAAAAGTCCAGAAACCGTTTCGCTTCGCTCAGGACTCATGGTTCTCCTGGCAGCTCGGGGGGCGGACGGATCCGGACGGAAAAACGGCACCGACGGAGGCCGTGGCTTGGGCAAAACACAAAGATGGCCTACCCGCGCCCTACTCAGTACGGTTTCTTTTCCTAAAGGTCTCTGCTAGGTTGCCCTTTCCTAAAGAATCTCTGCTAACCGGCCCTTTTCCTAAATGCTCATTGCCAGACGATCCCCTGCCTGGATGCGACGCGTGTCCATGTGAAAGAGGCGAACACCTGACCGGCTTCTACCAGCCCAACTGGATCCGAATACCAATTCCGATCAGCAATATATCTTGGCCCAGAGCCCAAATCAAACAAATTCCGAAGATTTCTGGGCTATGGTATTCCAGGAAAAGGTTACGGTAGGTATTTCCTTGCCGGTCCTTGAAATTCGCTTTAGTGCATTGTGTTGATCCGGGGCCAGATAGAAAATGAAGCCGCTTGGAAGCCGTACTACCCGGAAGTGGAGGGGGAGATGATGTTCTTTGGCAGTTACACGGTCAGCAACGCGGCGACGGGAGAGGTGGGAGAGCAGAGATTCTTAAGGAAGTGTTGGCGAGAGAGACAGAGAGAGGGAGAGAGAGAGAGAGAGAGAGAGAGATAACCGAGATTGAGATCTTTTCTATTTTCAGTTCGAGTTTGAGAACCCGACGGAGCTGTTTGCGGTGGCTGCGCGTCATCTTTTGGTGCGCAGAGATGGGGTCGGCACGCCGCTGGAGATTACGCATCTTCACGTAGCTGAGCTTCTGATTCGAAATTCATCCTTTTCTTAACACAGATCAATTTGACATCCGATATCCGTCCGAATTTTGACATGGGGTTGTGCGAGCTGCTCGCTTACCTGAGGGAAGTCAAGAACGTCGAGTAGGTCCTTCTTCTCCCCGGATAACGTGAAAGCACCTCGTGGAGAGGGCAGTCTAGCAGAGACACCTTAGGAAAAGGCCGTTAGCAGCGATGTTTTGTTCTCATCAGCTGGTCCGGCTTCAGAACATTCTTTCTCCACGACGAGCCGTACAGCGGCCGAGCGGATACCTTGGTGCTCCTGGCGATGTTCATGGATGAGATCGAGACGTGCCCGAAAACTATTGGGGAACGCGAGGCGAGGGAAGCCACGTTCAGGCGGCTGCGCTGGAGCCGCGCCGAGGCTGTTAGGGTAGGCCCCCACGATAATGCCAAAGAACCGGCTCATGCTCAGACTTAGGAAACTTCAGCTACCGCTCACCCCCCAGCCGACCCTGACCTACCGTATCTCGGTTCCCTGTTCATCTACAGGTGTGTAAAGTATTCCAAAATACTCACCGGAGCAAGACGAACATTTTGGGATACTTTACACACCTGTAGATAAACAGAGAGCCGAGATACAAAAGTTGGGTGCCGGCTGGCGTGTAAACTGCACTCTAACCCAGACTCATGCTTTGCTCAACCTTTCAGTCCCATGGCCAGTACCTGTTCGCATTGGGGATGCTGGAGATCTACCATTCGAACCGATACGGGATGCGAATGCACTCTGATTGGTTGAAGCAGTACGTTCGCTTGGTGCCCCAGCCGAGATCCCACTCAATCACCTGATTACAGATGCACGACCGTGTGGGGCCAGGTGCCATGGTGATGCTCGTTGCGCCATGCAAGGAGAAGGAGTACGTGGCGGTCGGTCTGTCGGTCCTTTCCTAAATAATTTCTGTTAGCCTGCCCTTTCTTAAAATCTCTGCCCCAATGCGCCATGGCACTCCACAACCACATTTCCAGGTTCCACAAATGATCTCTGCCCGCTGCCCCTGCCCCCTACCAACTTCAACCACTTCTCAACGATTTAATGACCGCCCTTAATTTCTGAAAAACGCGTTAAAAATTCCGATTCCTTGCTAGTGATGTATTTATGGCTGAAATGTGTACTGTACTTTTCGTGTCTGATGGAATAAATGGATTTTGTATTCATTCGGGCGCAGTTTTCCGCTGGATCACTCTCTCTCGCTCTCTCTCGCTCTCTCTCTCTCTCTCTCTCTCTCTCGCTCTCTCAAGATATGCATCTGAAATTTGACTCGAGCTCGGCAAATTTGTCCGGGCAAAACCACTTGTCGCGCTTCTTCTCGATTAGATGGTCTGCTGCAAGTCGAAAAAGCCGCCCAATCCCGAAAGCGCGTACGTTTTGCCGCGTTACGCGAAAGAATCTCTGCTAGCTCGCCATCTGACTATTTTTCTATTTTTCCGATCGAAGAAGAAGCCGCCGGAAGCGCACAGCAACGCCACGCTTGGGCTACGCCGAGATGGAGAAAATGGAAAATAAGCGAATCAAAGAGGAATTACGAGAATAGTGGGTATCTAACTTACCACCCCCCTCCCCGCCCCCATATGAGGGCAGTTTACCTCGATCCCCCAGCCGGCGCCGAAATTTGGTATCTCTGCTCCCCGTTTGTCTCGAGGCGTGTAAAAAGACTGTTTCCAGGAAGGGGCAACTGCACTTCAGACAATGTCGGGTTTAAATAAAAAAACAATTTTGAAGATAGTTTCAAACTGGCCGTTTCGAGGGCTTTTGAATGGTGTAACTACAATTCCGATCCGATACCTCCGTCGGGCTAAGGGGGTTTGACACCCTCTACAGATCGCCGGGGAAGGGAGGGTTACTCCCGGTCGACCAGCTCTATTTTCAGCGTGCGCTCCCGCCAACGTTTCTGGGTCACGGTTTGCTTGGAAATCAGGGTAGGCTCGATATGCTCTCTAAAGGGACTTGGAAGGCAAATCCATGCCCCCATCCCTGGCAATCAGCGAACCATTAGCCGTTGCGGGACCGTTATGAGACAAAAGAGCTTTGTCCGACGCCCACTTTTTTTGATTTCCAAGTAGGGGTACTGTAGCTGGTCGGGTTGGCATAAAGCATAAGAGCATCGAAGGTCGAGAGTTGCCACCCAGGTCCTTTGAAACAGATGCGGCTTTAGGCGGCTATGCGGGCGTGGACACGGCCGAACCCCACGGACGCAGCTCCAGAAAAGGCTCTGGTATGGGCGAAATACAAGGATGGACTGCCAGAGCCTTACTCGGTACGGTTTTCGCTTTTCTTGGCTACGGTTTACTTTAGCCCCGAGCGTCCCAAAGTTTTAAATATTTACCCAACTTTTTCGAGTTTTTTTGACGCCATTCGATAGAGCATCGAAAAATATACAAAAAATTTTTGATAACAGCTCAAAATATTGTAATACGAAATAGTTATAACAAAAACAAAAATAACCTCTAAAAGCGGGGTAAAAAAAGCTAGTTTTCGATATTTTCGTCATTTTTTCGACATTTTCGATAAACCATTCGATAGTGCATAAAAAATATACCAAGAGTTTGAATTTCGGCCCAAAATAATTCAATATAAAATAGTTACAGCAAAAACATGATTTAAACGCGATTTCCCTTAATAGGAACAGGAGGAGCAAAGCTAGTTTTCGACATTTTCGACATTTTTACAAAATGTTTTTGACGCCACTCCATAGACCGTCAAAAATATACTAAGAGTTTTAATTACAACCCAAAATAATGTAAAATAAAATAGTTATGAATCAAAACCAAGCAGAATCCGAATAACCGCTCAAACACTATTTTAATTTTATAATTTCATATTGATTTTTTTCGCAATTCGCGGCCAGGGGATGGTAGCTGGGACCTAGGGCTACCGATTGGTGGCTCTAAAAAAATTTTTGGGACCTTCCGGCTGGGGGGCGAAACTCTTGCCTAAACTAGAATCTCTGACAGTCTGCCCTTTCCTAAATGCTCTCTTCCAGACGATCCCCTGCCTGGATACGACGCGTGTCCATGTAAAAGAGGCGAACAACCCGGACGGCTTCTACCACGCCAACTGGATCCGCCCACCCAATTCCGATCAGCAATATATCTTGGCGCAAAGCCCGAATCAAACCAATTCCGAAGATTTCTGGGCTATGGTATTCCAGGAAAAGGTTACGGTAGGTATTTTTCTTACCGGCCCGTTTAAACTAACTTTAGTGCATTGTGCTGATCCGGGACGTTGAAGAAAATGAAGCGGCTTGGAAGCCGTACTACCCGGAAGTGGAGGGGGAGATGATGTTCTTTGGTCATTACAATGTCGTCAACATCGCGACCGGCAAGGTGAGCTAGCAGAGATTCTTCAGGAGAGGGCAGGCTAGCAGAGGTTCTTTAGGAAAGGGCCAAACTACCAATTCCAGTTCAACTTCCGGTGGGGTGAAAATTTGGAAGCAGCCGCCCGTCATCTGCTGGTGACGAAAGATGATGGTGGCGAGCCGCTAGAAGTCACACACCTCCACGTAACGAAAAATCGTAACCCTGAAATGATGACAGGTGCTCAACTGGAGAACAGATAAATGTCCGCGAGTGTGGTACGAGCTGAGCGAGTTGCTCGTCTACCTGCGGGACGTCAAGTCGGTTAGGTGCGTCTTTCCCGGCTAAGAGCAGGCTAGCAGGGATTCTTTAAGGAGCGGGCCGGCTAGCAGAGATTCTTTAAGAAAGTCACTGACCCCTCAGGACGATGCTGCTCCACGACGAGCCGTACATTGGACGATCGGATACGGTGGCGCTCCTCGCCATGATGATGGACTGGATGAAGACCAACGACACTCATCACCTCCAGGCGATGAAGAGCGAGACGCTTGAACAATTGCGCTCGTGCCGCGCCGGCGCTGTCCGGGTAGGCTTAGACTTATCGCATGGGCGGCTAAAACTTCAGATCCCCCGCCCCGCTGTCCCCCAACCTTTGTAGCTCGGCTCCCTGGGCATCTACTGGTGTGTAATGCATACCAAAATGTTTGCCTTGCTCTGGCGAGCATTGGGGTATACTTTACACACTTGTCACACCCGTAGATGAACAGGGAGCCGAGACACAAAAGTTGGGGGTCGGCTGGGGGGATATCCAGAGTTCAGCTTAGGCTTAGGCTTAGGCTTAGGCTTAGGTTTAGGTTTAGGCAAGCGCTTAAACTTAGACTTAGGATTAGGACTACACTTAGGCTTAGGTATAGGTTAGACTTAGGCTTAGGTTTAGAAACATAGGCTCCTATTTGGCAAGCTTTCAGTTCTTCGACCAGTTCATCTTCTGCTGCGGGGTGATGCAGCTGTATTATTGGGAGCGCTACGGGCAGGTCCCGCACGACGACTCTGGGTTCCTTCACACGTAGGTTCCTTTGGGTTTCTGGGGGGCCACGGTTGCATACTGTAGTTGCAGCTTCTCGGCAAAGATGGTGCAGGTGGACGGATCGTGACGCCAGAGAACGGGTTGGTTCCTTTATGCGGGAATCTGTCAAAATCTCAAAAATCAGAATCTAGAAAATCAGAATCTCGAATTGTCAGAATCGCGACCTTCAGAATCTCGAATTTTCAGAATCTCAAAATTTCGATGGTCTAAATCAGCATTAAAGACTCCGGAGATTTCTCGCCTATGCCCTGAATCCAGCCTAGGCATATTTCGAAATTCTGAAAATCCGAGTTTCTGAAAATTCGAGATTCTGATACGTATTTCATTTATGCGAGTCTGCTTTTTCCTGAATAAGCCTCTCTGCAGTCAGCTTTAGCCCACCATAACTCCAATTTCAGGGTCGAAAACTGCTTGCTGCCGCCCTCCCTCTACCAACTTCCCGGCCTGCTGTTTCGGCCTGACTTAATGACTTCCCCTTAATTTTGGAAAACCAATTAAAATTTGCGATTCCCTCGTATCGGCGTATTTATGGCTGGCCCTCCTGATACGCTGTGTACTGTCCTTTTGGTGTCTGGTGGAATAAATGGATTTTGTATCCGTTGGTGTGCAGTTTCCCGCTATCTCGCTAACTTTCTCACTCTCGCTCACTCTCTCTCTCTCTCTCTCTCTCTCTCTCTCTCTCTCTCCCTCTCTCTCTTTCCTCTTACTATGTCTCTCTCACTCCGTATCTTTATCTTTCTATCTCTCACTCTGTGTCTTTCTCTCTCTCTCTCTCTCTCTCTCTCTCCCTCTCTCTCGCTTTCTCTCTCACCCGCCTTTTCGCGGTTTTTGAAGCTGAGCAAAGGAGCGAGAGAGCGTGAGAGATCGAGCGAGACAGAGAGAGATAGAGTGAGGCGTGAGACAGGCTGATCGAGGAAGAGCATCGTTTTCACTTCCAGCTGTCATACTCCCTTTAAGATCGCTCGAAAACCTTTATTCTCTGTCCGCGAACCCGCCATGGTGTGTGGAATATGTTGGTCATGAAATAGAACGCCACATAAAAAAATTGATAAAAAACATCGATCGAAAAAAAATCAGTAAAACATCGACTCCTCCTCCTCCATCGTCGACTCGGAGTGCTCCTCGTCGAACGTGTCAGGTTCCCTTTTCGGCAGTAAATCGCGCTGAAAGCTAGGCTTAGGCTTGGGCTTAGGCTTAGGCTTAGGCTTAGGCTTAGGCTTAGGCTTAGGCTTAGGCTTAGGCATAGGCTTGGGCTTAACCTCCAAAAAGTGACTTGCCCGGACGAGCTCGAGTCGTTGACTTTGGTTCTTCCTGGCAGATTTGGCCCGAAGGGGCGCCGTGTCGCTGGCCAGGCTCTGGAAAAGGGCAGGCTAGCAAAGATTCTTCAGGAAAGGGCAGGCTAGCAATGATTCTTTAGGAAACGGTTAATCTCACCTCAACGTCGATAGACAGGATCAAATTCCGATCGGCAGCCACCAGCTCGTCGAGCGTCTCTCTCGAGCAGCACATACAGTACCACCTAGGGGCGTACTGTAATGGCTGGAAAGTGCGTAATTACCGGCAGAGATGGAGAGGACCCGTGAATTCATAGCATGGACGCCACTTGACAATGAGGCACACCTAAATTGGGAGTTTTTAAAGGTGCGGTGACATCAGAAAGCTAGAAGAGATTCTTTAGGAAAGGGCAGGCTAGCAGAGATGATTTGGGAACGCACCACGGCGATGAGGAGGGCGGGCATGGAGTAGACGGCCAGGACGAAGGGCAGTGCCAGCTCCAGAGACCTAGACAAATCGTTGGAAGGCGTTTTAAAGGGTCATTGAAGGCAAATCCATAGCCCCTATACCCTTGGCAAACAGCCAACCGCTCAGCCAGATTGCCTTCAATGGCCCTTTAAAACCCACCGGTCCCCGCCCGCGCCCGCCGTCCCATTCGTCGCGGCGAGTGGGTGGCCTATCGCGTGTTCTGAAAAAAAGTCTGCCGTTTAAGGGGAATGTGAAGGTAGTTGGGCGGAGCCTGTATGCTTAGGATAGGCTAGCAGAGATTCTTTGAGAAAGGCAAGCTAGCAGAGATTCTTAAAATAGCAGAGATATCTAAGAGGAAAAGGGACTGGCGTGGGCCTAGCTTAGGCTTAGGTTTGGGCTTAGGTTTGGGCTTAGGCTTGGCTTAGGTTAGGCTTAGGTTTGGGCTTAGGCTTAGGCTTAGGTTTGGGCTTAGGCTTAGGCTTAGGTTTGGGCTTAGGCTTAGGCTTAGGTTGGGCTTAGGTTTGGGCTTAGGCTTAGGCTTAGGCTTAGGCTTAGGCTTAGGCTTAGGCTTAAGCTTAGGCTTAGGTCTGGGCTTAGCGTAGGCTTAGTAACTCACCCAGATCATTCCCCTCGTACAGCCTACCAAAATGGTTCATCGGCTGCCCCGCGGCTTTTCGCGGGAGAAGCCGAGCGAAAAATGAGCGGCCATGGAACCCCTTGGAAACAAAACCCATTTTCTTGTCCTTGCGGGACAGCGGGCAGAAGCAGCAAGAAAACCCAATTTCAATGAAGAAAAGCCGGTGGGTACCCCCCGAAGGGCATATTTCGTGGCGGATGGCGGGTGGTAAATCAGCCGGTGACAAATTGGATGTGGTGGGGGCTGGGATATGATTTATTAGCTTTTTATAGCAGAGGTAGTTTTGGGTTACGGTAACGGGTCTGGGGTTTAGATGCCCTTTCCCAAGGAATCTCTGCCAGGCTGCTAAAAATATGTGCTAGCCTGTCGGTACTGGACTCTTAGCGGGGGGAACCAAACTTTTCCCCGTGATTCGCTACGGCCCTATAAAAAATATAAACATTTTTTATAGCATTTTACATAGTTTTTAGATATAAAAACAATAAAAAAACACGAACATTTTCGAAAATTTTCAACTTTTTGGTAAAAAATGTCTAAAAATGACCCAAAAGGTCAAATTTTCGAGATTTCAAAATCTTTAAAAAGATTTTTATAACTTTCTAACAACTAAAAACTACTAAAAATGCCGCAAAAATACATTAAGCAGGTGGAACAGGTGGAAAAACAGAAAGAGATTTTTCCCCGACTCCCGCCCCCCCCCGCTAACTGCTCAGAACCGAGAATTTTTAGGAAATCGCGAGCTAGCAGAGATTTTTTAGGAAATAGCGGGCCGGCAGAGATTTTTTAGGAAATCTATTTCTCATCGTTTCCCTGATTTCAATAACAAACAAGATAGCCGGGCCGCAGTCATGAATCAAAATTTGAGCAATGGGCCCTGGGGGCACCGGGGCCTCAGCCCACACCGCGGGCCCTCAGACCCAATTATGAGGGCCATGGGGGGCTCCCGGACCCGGGCCCATTTCCCCTCTGAATTCCATCAAAATTGAGCCTGAAAAGTGGGTGGGTGGTGTTTGCCGGGGGCTGATGAGTTGCACCAAAAAAAATATTGATGAACGATGAAGGGGACCGGGAACGTAAGTTCAGCAAGTTTTAAAGGACCATCGAAGGCTCGATTTTAGCTACAGTAAGCCGGCTTGTCAATCCAAAAAGCGCCCCGCGGCACAGATCGGTTCTGGACTGTTAGCGGGGGGGGGGGTTAGCGGGTCCCTTTAAAAAGGGGAAGCTAGCAGATATTCTTTGGGAAAGGGCCGGAATCAGCCGGTCGATTGGCCGCCCCAGCATTTACAACGCGAAATTCGATGCCTTGCGCTGCCGTTTTTTGCTTCCGGCCGCCCTCTAATCCCTGGGAAAAACCGGGGGACCCCCCGGGGAAAGATGGGGGCGATTTATGGGTGCTGGCCGTAATAAAAATGCATCTTAAAGGGGCTGGGACTTTGTGAAGACTCTCTGCTAGCCTGCCTTTTCCTAAAGAATTCTGCTAGCTTGCCCTTTCCTAAAGAATCTACGCTAGCCTGCCCCTTTTCTAAAGAATTTATCAGAAATTCCAAAATTACAAACGCTAAAAACGGGCATAGTGTTGCAAATTGGTTTGTGAGGATCGGCGAAGGGGGCGGGTCCCGCGGCGAAGCCCTTCTCCCCTCCAAAAACGGCGACAATTCTGCGACGGCGGCACGCGCCGCAGATTCATCATGCCCTGCCCATCCAACCGGGCGGGCAGGGGGGGGCGACACCCCGGGGGCCCATGCCCCCAGGGCACACTTTGGCTCAAGGGCCCTCGACACCCCCGGGTATGGGATGGGCCCCCATCCTACACACACCTTTAAATAGGGGAATGGGCGTGAAACTTCGTCGAAAACGGCTCTAGGCCGAAAATTTCTCTGCTAGCCTACCCCTATTGCTTTCGTTGCGCACCAAAAGGCTTTTGAAGCGTTAAAAGCTTTAGAAGCCGATCTAAGCTTAGGCTTAGGCTTAGGCTAAGGCTTCGGCTTCGGCTTCGGCTTCGGCTTAGGCTTAGGCTTAGGCTTCGGACTAGGCTTAAGCTTAGGTTTTATGCGTCGGCTTAAGCTTAGGCTTAGGCTTAGGCTTCGGTTTCGGCTTCGGCCGAGGCTTAGGCTTCGGTTTCGGCTTCGGTTTCAGCTTAGGCTTAGGCTTCGTCGACGGCAACCCACCGCCCAGATACTGCGTAAAGTTGTGCACACTGTAGATCTCGGCCACGGTGGTGTAGTGCTCGTGGGCACCGGCCCGGAAGTCGGTGCTCACCAGCAGCGGAATAATTGGGAGGCCGATGAAGGGGAATCTCAACCGGGAAATGCGAGCGTCTACGGCTTCGACGAGCTTCGTCTCACCCCGCCCCCAATCTTCATTAGACGCCGGGTTGGTCGGCAAAAAATGTCTCAATCAACACCGGCCCGGAGGTTCTGAGAGAGAGGGAGAGAGAGAGAGAGAGAGAGGGGGGAGAGAGAGCAACATTTTATCCCGCTGGGCGCTAAGGGGGAGCACCCAGGTTCGGATTCTATATTGCGCTCCTAATCAGAGGGCCATTCGTGGCCTTTGGGGCACGGGAATCAGAATGAAACCGGGACCAGACGGGCCTTCTCACAAAAGAAACAAAAAGAAATGATTGGTGAGCTATCAAAGATCATTTGAGAACAGCTAGACGATATCTAAAATCTCTCTCTCTCTCTCTCTCTCTCTCTCTCTCTTTCTCGTCGAGTTGTCTCGTATCGCCTTCTGTATCTCTAGCCGTCTCTGCATCTCTGCCATATCACTCGCCGGCTTTTTTCTCTCTCTCTCCTGTATCCCCTGCTTTCTCTGTTCTCTCGCATCCCAGTGTCTCCCGCTTCTCTGAATCTCTCTCCCTGTTCTCTCTTCTCGGTACCTCTCGCTTTCTCTGTACCTTTCGCTTTCTGTGTCTCTCGCTTCCCTGTATCTCTCGCTTTCTTTGTATCTCTCGCTTTTTCTGTATTTCGGGCTTTCTCTGCACCTCTGGCTTTCTCTGTGTCACCCGCTATGTGCGTCTCTCTCGCTTCCCTGGATCTGACGCGTTTATGTCTCTCACGCCCTCCAATCCAGCAATCTCTGGCAATCATTTATTGTCACAGCCAGTATGGGGGGAACAGAACAGTGAGAGGGGGCGAGGCCAGGGTGCCCAGTAGCAGACCAGCGAGGGCAACAAAGGCCACACAAAACGAGTAGGGGGTGGGTCGGGTCAGAGTGTCGGGTCATCCTCCAGTCAATGGCGAGAGCCGGGGGGCCCAGCGCAAGTGGCGACGATGCGAAGCCGTTCAGCCCCGTTCAGTTGCTCTGCTGCTTGTACTGCGCGTACGCGTCCGGTCCCATGCCGAAGATGAGGTGGACGACGAGGCGGGCGGCGGCGAACGACACCAGCAGGGCCAGCTGGTAGTTGTAGGTGGGGGCCTGGAAAGGAGAAGTTCAAGCAGGTCAGGGGGAAGCAAAACGCAAGCTCAAGCTCTTACCGTCTCCGCGGTGACGTTCTTGTACATGTACTGCAGGGTGACCGCCGTCACGCCGGCGTACAGGCCCGACAAGAGCAGGTAGGGGAGCGTCAGGTAGCCGGAGAGGAGTCCGAGCACCAGCGTCGCCCCCAGCGCCGACCCGACCGAGGCCCCGAGCAGCATCTGGCGATTGCCGCCAAACTTCTCGGCCGCGAACGGGTAAGCCGCGGCGGCGATGCCGAGCAGCAGCGGCGCGATCGGCGCCCCCGAGAGGTACGAGTTTTGCAGGATGAAGCCGACGAGCAGCCCCTGCACGGCGGCCGCCGTCAACAGCCGGAAGCGGATGGTGACGTCGGAGGCGCTGGCGGCGATGTCCTGGAAGGAAAAAGGTTATTTTCGTTTTAGGGATGGATGAAAATCACCCTCGCTAGCTCAACAAGTTCAGCAAGTTCACATGACTCAACAAAAAGCCACGACTTTTTGATTTTAACGATAAAAGTTCTCTCGGCAAGTTCAACAAGTTCACCTGGTTCAACGACCAGTAGCTGTAGGCGGGAAGGGCGCCGAGGGCGAGCACGAGCGCACCGGCTCCACCGACGGCGAGGCCGAGCACGGGGGCGAAGACGTAGCCCGACACGAAGGAGGCGACCGTTGACGCGAGCACGAGCACCGTCGACCAGGAGAGCGTGGTGAGCACGAGGCCGGGCGGGGTGGTGACGTCGCCTAAAAGAGGGAATGAGCAAGAGCCAGAAAATCTCTGAAAAAGCAAAGAAAGGACCTTCTCTCTAACTAAGCAATCTAGCCACCGGCAAGTTCAACAAGTTCACCAGTTTTGCAAAAAAGCGGTCATATTCCCCACCAGTGGCCTGCACCGTGGTGATGAACTCCTGCTTGTAGGGCTCGACGTTGGCCTGGGTCTCCTGGATCAGCTGCGGCGCGTCGGTCTGCAGCTTGATGGCGCGGGCGCGCAGCGTCTCGAACGTCTCCTCGAACTCGGCGCGGTACTTGTTGGCGAGCGCGGCGACGGTCAGCGGGCCGCCCTCTTCTGAAAATGGGGAGCTAGGAGCCGGGAGCACGAGCAAAGGAGCACGAGCAAGGAGCAAACCACGCACGCGAGGCAGCGGCGGCCGCGCCGGGCTTTGCGGTGCGCGGCGACGTGGCGGCGGGAGGAGCGGCTGGTTCAGCAGTTGCCATTGTTGATTTGATGACGTGAAGGCTGACGAGCGAGAGTGAAATAATTCGAGGAAGAGCTGCTTGATTTTATACTCTAAAACGCAGTCATTCTCTTGTGCACTTCCGGTTTCCGCAGGTGTATGCAAAACTGTCTTCAGATTCGTCTACTTCACACTCCTGTTACTACACTCCCACGCTAAAATCCATGAATTCTCAAAAAACTTTATTCGAGATCAATTTGCTATGCGGGGATCGGCGGGCAATTGGCTTCAACAGGGGTCGTCCGCGTCGTCGTTGCACTGCCCACCGGAAAGTCGCGCACGATGAGCTTCGTCTGCTTGGGCAACAGCTTGACATCGCCCGGCGCGTCGAGTTTTCGCTTTCCGCCCTGAAACACGTACTCTTTGCCAAGATTACAGGCTGTACATACCCCGTATCCAATTATTGCCAAGAATCCGTGATTTTCTGGGGATGTCCGCACGAGATCCGGCTCGGTTTTTAGACGATCGTTGACCTAAAAAGCCGGGATGAGAAGCAAGAAGAAAAAACCTCACCTCTAGCAGATTTCCTTTGACCCCCGAGCGAATCACCTTCTCTGTCCCATCCTCGAATCGCAGAATGCAGAGCTTCGTCTCCTTTTGTAGCAGCAGCGCACCCTAAAAGAAGTAATTGATTCTAAGAAAAGTAAGCTACCCGTTTTCCCTTGCCGGAAACGGCTTGCCCGCCTCTTTCAGCGCCGGATTTCCCGAGGGCAAAGTCGACTTGGACCACTTTTGAGGTGACGGGCTAAAAAGAGCATTTTCACCAAAACCGCTCGAACAAGTACCTGATTTTGCGGATCCAACACCATGACTGTTACGCCGGAGGGGTGGTGGAGGTAGAGAACGCCGGGGTTGGCCTCGACCCGCAACCGTTGATAGGCACGATCCACCGACGCGATGACGCTCATCTGAATTTTTGCGATTAAAAACTACACTTTAAACAAAATGGGAAAAGAAAACAAACGAGAATAGCAAAACTACAAACTACAGAAAACCTAAATTACATGTAAGGCAATAGCAATTCCTTGTCGAGACAATGATCTTTCAGCTTATGCGTCCGGAAAAGCTGGATGAAGCGCTTCGTGGCCTCGTCGAAATCCCATCTTTCTTCAATATCCCTCCCGATCATCCGGTTCGCGCGCAAATTCTCCGCCTGGCAGATTCGGAGCAGCACTTTGTTGATATTATCGCAGGGGCCGCCTTCGATTTTGCACAGATCGACGTACGAAAAATCCCGTGTTCGATTCAGCCAAAACAGGAGGTAATCGGCAACGTAGAGGGGATTTGTTGCGCTCTCCAGCACCAAGTCGCATATTGCCAGTTTCATCGCGTCCTCGGCGTTGTGCTGATACGGGGGCAGCACTCCTGGCGTGTCCAAAACGTATGTAATCGGCCGATCCAAAATCCGGACCCGATTCTGCACTCGAATCGTCACGCCGGGTCGAGCGCCTTCTTGCACGGCGGCATGCTTGTGGCCGAGATTGGCGCCGCGTAGCGAATTCAGCAGCGACGATTTGCCAACGTTCGGGATGCCCACGATCATCACTTGATACTCGGTCTTGACTGTTCGATTGAATCTCGGCTCATTTCGCAGCGCGAGCAGCATGCTGTCCCTCAAATCGGCCAGTGCTCTTGATAGCCTCCGCTTGCAGTCCGTCCACAGGATCTTCTGAATGCCGCGCTCTTGATAATACGCCTCGATCGGCTCCTTGTAGCGCTTCATGTCGATCAGGTCCATCTTGTTCATCACTGAAATTGCAAATACAGGTCAAGCAAAATACTAATAAATGCTAATTTTTACGAGGGTTTGAGCAAAGTGCAAAGCTCGGATGTTCCCGTATTCACTAATGATTGTTTCGTTTATTACAATACGTTAAACGTCATACTCAATACGACAAAACGCAACCGATCTAATCCATCAATTTTAATAAAATTACCTAAAACGTGCGGTCGCACCGCATACAACTGCTCGAAGAACATCGGATTCCTGCCGGTGAGCGGTATCCTCGCATCGTGCACCTCCACAACCAGGTCAACCGTCCTCATCTTGCCCTCCATTTTCTTGAACTGCACGGACATGTGCATCGGGTGCCATATTCTGAAGTCGTAGCCCTTCGGGAGTGCGAATTCCTCGCGTGCCTCAGCCACCGTCGGCGCCGCGGATGTCGATTGGCTGGTTGAACATCTTCTGAGCAACATCTCGGTCGAGGGGCGGAGCGTGGAAAGGCCGCGTTTCCACATCGCTGGCCTGAAAGCAAAAATTTTATTAATTTTGTAAGGGATTTTATACATTTCTTTTTATTTGAAAGTAAAAACTAAAAATTGTTATTCTTTTTTCCTTTGTTGTAGCCTGTAGCCCAGTGGGGGTCGTTTGCTAAAACGCTGACCACTTTTGAACGCGACCCCTGGCAAGAAGCCAAGCGACCCCCAGGCTGCCCGTCTGGCCTGGTCGGCTTCTCTTGATCTCGGCAAGCTTATCCTCCACTTCCGCCCCGGTTTAGACAATCTAAAGTGCTCCGTGATGTCTTCTATTACTTGAGAATGCCTCTTTTTAAGCCTCAGAGAACCTTGGGTCCTTCAAATTATGTTTTTCTGTAAATTTTTCTATTTCAAAACCGTTAGAGTTTGCTTTAAACAGATAAAGTAACTTATATTCTACCTCCGCATTGCTTAAAAGCTTCTAAAGCACGTCTAGAAATTTTGTAACCCCTGAAAATGCCATTTTTCAAACCCTCGAAATTTCGTGTTCTCGATGTTTTATGCCCCAAAATTCAATCTTTCATTTAGACAACCAAATGTCGATCGACTCGATCCCGCGCGATCTCCGAGGGCTGCGGGCGTGTCTACTTTGCTCGATGGTCAAGAGCATCGACCAATTCGAGGACACTGGCTGCGACAACTGCGAAAGCTATCTGCACATGAAGGGCGATTCCGCAAAGGTAAGTTAGGTTATTGCTTGTTAATCACATTAATTCCTTCCTTTTGATTGACATGCTGTTTTCAACAATATATTTTAGGTGCTCGACTGTACGAGCGCAAACTTCGACGGCATGATCTCGGCGCTGGACCCGGAGAATTCGTGGGTGTGCAAGTGGCAGAAGATCAACCGCAAAGTGAAGGGGATGTATGCAGTGTCGGTCTCGGGCAGCCTGCCCTCCTCAATTGTCCAAGAGCTCAAATCGATCGGCGTGACCTATCGGCCCCGTATGAGGGACACAACGACCAAATAAAAAGATGCTTTGCGTTTCGATCCCCCCTTCCCGGTTTCTTCTGATGTTGTCAGAATTTTGATTTCCCCCGATCATTTTCACATTACGAGTATTTCTGTTTTGGTATCGTTCGGCCCTTATTTCTCGTTGTTAGAACCATGATTCATTGAATTTTCCCTATTCTTGCATGTATTTTATTTATATCTGGTCCTTCGATTTGGTGATAAAGAGTTTTGGTTATATTTTTAATGCTGTTTCAATCTTCGGGTTCGAGACCCTATGAATTTCTGCCAGATTAATAATCTCTGTTTTTCGGTAGCAGAATTTTTTGGCATTATCCACGTATCATCTTTCCAGTCTCCCCCTATCAACACGGGAGCGCTCAGCAGCCATGTCGTTGCTCCGTCAGATGTTCGGCGGTAGCAAGAAGCGCTCGTCCAACAAGGAAAATGACCCGGTGAGTTTGTTCTGGGCTTCATATCAATAGTATCCTTTTTTCAGAAGCGCGGCGACCTCAACCGCTCGAATTTGCACGGCTTGGAGCGCATCAGCGAGGATTCGATGCTTGAAGATCACTCGAGGCGCCACATGGAGGTAGTTTTTTTTTGCGATCGGCACGATTTTATTCAAAAGCGAGATTTTTGAGTGAAACGTTGAGAAAAGTCGGAAATTTTATTTTTTTTTTGCAGCTGGCCCCTTCGAATCCGTACAGCATCGTGACAGCGCCAAGGACGACGCGAGGCCCACAATCATGCCCCGGCGGAGTTCAGCGCGATTTCGATCACAGAGCTCTTAGGTTTGTGCTTTTCCGCCTTCGGAATCCTCTATTTTGAATTTTTTCGTTACTGAAATGAATCCTTTTGCAGAAACACGCAACCCCGGCATGAGTTGAACGCCTCGCTGCGGATGGATGTGCGGCGGCCAAAACAAGACAAGCGCCGCGTTCAGTACGACGACGAGCTCGACTGGGAAGAGGAAGAGGAGCCGCAGAGTTATGTGGATCAGCGAATGGCCCAGGTGAAATGGAATTATTTATATTTAACCGGCACTTAGATGGAGCGCAAGCTGAACCAGTACAAACGTCGTGATCGGCATTTGCGCGAGGAGCTGGCCAACGTCAACGCCGAGCTGAGCGACCGCACGGAGCAGGAGGTCGAATGGCGGTGAGCTTTTTTATAAGGTTTAAAGCGAGGAATTCCGTTTTTTTAAATTTTCTGTGTGCGTTTATTTAATGTTTCCGTTTTAGACGTACTGCCGCATACTATGAGCAGCGGTATCTGGAGTCTCAGCGACAGCTAGGCACTGAACGCGCTAAACTGAAGCGCCTGACGAAGGAGCTGAAGAAGGCGAATGACAGAGTGGTGAGAATTTAAAGTATATTTTTTGATTGCGGGAACATATATATATATATATATATATATACATAATATCGTTGTTTTAGCACGAGCTAGAAGCCGATTCCGGAAATGACTCTGCGCATCTTCTCCTCGCCTCCCGGCACTCGCAGCACAGCATCCCGAAAAGCTGTGAGTTTTAGCTGGTCACGAAAATGGATCGACCGCTTGCATCTTTCACACTGACCTTTTTTAGACACCAGCGACAGCGGGGCCGGCGAGGCGTTGTGCAACATCACCGCCGAACCGTTGTATGAGAACGAGAAGCAGCCGTTGTCCCTCTACCGCCAGCACAACTTCAACACGGAGGATTTTGACCGGGAGGGTGATGAGGTCGGTTTAGTTCGTTTTCATTTTGTTTTTTCTTATGGATTGTTTCATTGGAACGTAAGAAAATTCATTGTAACTTTTTAAATCTGACCATTCCGGGAAAGCTAAAACCGCATTCGTGATCAGCTCAAAATTCTGCACGAGGTGGCCTTGACGCCATTTCTAAATAGCACCTTCATAAGAAAAAAACTACGCTAAAAAATTTATCTATTTCAGGTGCGCAACTACCGCAACCGAAACGATGGGCCGGGGCTCGAATCGGCGCGGGCCGCCCACGAGCACGTGTCGCTCAGCCGCCAGACGACCGACACGAAGCTGTCCGGCGAGGGGGCGGTGCGGATTCGCCGTGCCGCCTCTGATACGGACATCACGTCCGTCGACCGCGCCCACGCCAACAAGAGCCTTGTGGAGAGCATGGTACGTTTGAGGCTTTATTCTTTTTTTTTGCTTTGGAACTAATGTGCCGATAAAATTTTTTTAAAAACGCTTTTTTAGGCCCAGTGCTCAACGTCAGCAACACCGAAGCGCCGCAACCACATGGACGAGCCGTTCATTCCGGTAGGGAACTGCTTACGAGTTTTTGAACTTGTTGTTTTTTAGAATTACGACACGTCGTCGGCGAGCAGCGGCGACGAGCGCTGCGCCATCATCCAGCGCCAACTGCGCCGACGCGGCGAGTGTGTCCGCTACAACCCGCCTCGACAGCAGATGAGCCAGCGTCATTTCAAGCCAAAGTAAGCCCTTGAAAATATCGAAAATCTTGGTTTCGAAATTTCGCAATGCTGAAATGTGGAATGGCGAAATTTGTAAATGCAAACTCCCGGAGAGCCCCCCGAAATCTATGCAAAAATTTTCGACCTTACGAAAATTCGACCTCATGATAACAAATCCAGCTGAACTAATAACTCAAAAATCTTTTTCCAGGTTCAGCAAGTACGAGCGCGACGCGTTGGCCGAGTTCAACTACCTGATCGACATGAGCACCGACGTCTCCGGCCTGCTCAGCAGCCCCGACGCCAAGAAATAGGCCCACCGATTTTGTGTAATGTGCTTTTAACTGTGTATTTTCAGCCTTATTTTTTACCCCCTTCCCAGCCAGTTGGCTTTCGCTTATCAGGGTCTCTGTCCGCCCCCAAAAATTCACATTTCTTGTACTTTTCTTGTGTTTCCGCGCAGCTACGTGTCCACAAACTTACCGTATCCCATTCCAGTTCACTTTTCGTTGTTGCCAGACTCTCAATTCCCGACGGGCCACCACTCTCACCCACACTTTACCCTCGACCTTCTTTCCCCCCGCTACGAAACGATCCCATACTAATGACGCTCAGCGCGACGAATTTTTGTGTTGTTTTTAAAAATGTGTATTTTTCTGGTATGTCTTATTTGTTGTAATAAATAGGAGTGAAATGTGGAGGGAGATGTGTCTTGTGTTGTGAAACATCGTTGCAGTTGAATATTTTTTAGGAACGATTTATCATGGCTAGAAGTCTGGGAAACGACACATCGCAAATTCTTGACACAGTCGAAGGACAAACACAAGAAGACTTTTCCCCGTAGTTGGGAAGGCGCGGTCCGAGAATGGAAATCATTATCGCAATTTGGGTAAGGCGGATGGAATTTTATCTTTAGAAATTCGGGAAAGAATTCTGGTACGGGCGTTCTAAAAAAATTCACGGAAAATGGATCGACTGAGCAACTAGGGAAATCTCGAAGTCTCTTTCTCGAAAAAAAAGGTTAGATAAGCAAATTATTTAGTAGATTAAGTTTAGTAAAAAAAGTTGAAAGTGTAAGCCGACCAGACAATGATGGGGTAAATACATCGGGAGCTCGCTGCGGGGTATCACAAATTTTCGGGTGTCAATTCGGGGGGCACTTTGGTGTTTTGTTAGGGCATCGGATCGTGAAGGAAATGGGGAAAATGAAGCTTTATAAAAATCAATAAAATTTGAGGATATTTAGAATCGAAAACTTTCGAAGTAAGGGAAAAAATGAGCAAGGTGAGCACACGAAACTTGGGTATATTTTAGTTACGTTAATTTCTCACTAGAAGTTTGTAGTTTATACTAAAATTTTGTAAAGATTTATAAAAGCTAGCACCACGCCAAATGTTGGGAAAAATTTTGAAAAAACTTTTTTTAGCAATTTTTTTGGTCGTTGAACTGGGCGGAACTGGGCCGGAGGGTTATCACAGGGTTTTTTAAGCTTTTTTAGTGATTTGGAGGGAATAGAGAAAAATGGATTTAATTAAATTTAAATTTAGATTTTGAAACGTGAAATTTGGGCGATTTTCATCGAGACACGGTGCTGGCGGAGCGGTGCTCGCTTGAGCTGTGGCTCGACGAGACGACGCCGAGGCCTGAAAATGGTGGTTTGAGCTTGAGAAACGTAGTTTAATGCCAGGGGAAACTAGCCGAGATTTTTGGGGAATTCTCTAGGGAAGTATACATTATCAGAACAGGATTAAAGTGTTATAAATAAGATTTTAATCGCTTAAAAAGGCTTTAGCAACTTTTTTCAGCGCGGAAAAGTACATGAGCACGACTCATGCCTTGCCTACTCACGGCCAGTGAAGACTAGTCAAGACCCACCCGAATCCGCGCAGTCGTTCCCCAGCGGCGGCTCGTCCAGCGGGGCGAACAGGTACAGGGGCACGGTTCGGTAGAGGGCATCCCGCGCATCCTAGGGGTACGGTAATTTGGGCGCAAATTAGCAAACCGTACCTGTCGCCCAAGCTCCGCCAGGATTGAGCACAATTTTCCGACGGACGCCTGCTCGGGGTGCTGGATGGCCCACTCGGCCAGGAGTTGATCGGTTCGGGAGAGGGACTGGCCGGTTGAGTCCACTTCCGGTACCTTGAATGTAGGGGGTAAGCTAGCAGAGATTCTGTAGGAAGGGCAGGCTAGCAGAGATTCTTTAGGAAAGGGCAGGCTAGCAGAGATTATACAGGAAAATCGTGCTCACCTGGTCGGTGAGGTTCAGCTTGACGGCCAAGATGCTCCAATCCCGCCCCATCGCATCCGGCGGGTCGAGCAGGCAGGCCAATTCGCATCTGGACGTCAGCTGCAGATCGGCAACGCCCACGTCGATTCCTACAATGAATTGATTAAGATATTTGAAGGAATACGGGCGCTTTCCGGCCCGGAAAAGCCTTACCTAACGTTAACAATCGGGCCACCTCGCGGCTTCCGAAGCAGACGACGTCAGTGAAGAGCTCTTCTTGGTCGTGCGTGCCTCGGACCTGTAGAGTGGATTTTTGAGGCGATTTATAAAGAATTTCTGCTAGCTTGCTTTTTCCTAAAGAATCTTTGCTAGCCTGCCTTTTCAAAGAGTCGTTGCTAGGCTGCAAAAAAAAACCCAAAAAATGTGCGGTGCTTATGGAGCGCGGTCACCACGGGGCGCCATGCAACGATTACACCGTACATCGCTATCCGGCGAAATTAACACTGCTCGAGCCGTTGGGAGCCCGTCAGCTAACTCTGGTCGCCGTTGCCGGGGGTCGAACCCGGATCGTGTGGGTGGGGGACATGCCTCTGGACCGCTAGGCCACGAGGGAGAGGGGTGGGAATGGAGGAAAGGGGGTGAAAAAGGCTCCGGGAGGAAGAGGAGTAGCCCGGAAATGCTGAGTTTTGTACAGTTTTTCGAGCATTTTTCGTTTTAAAGGAGCATGGAAGGCAAAAACTGGCCCCGCCCATACGATCCATAAGCACCGAAATTTTTTGGGGTCTTTGGGAGGCTAGCAGGGATCCTTAAGGAAAGGGCAAACTAGCAAAGAGCTTTCAAAACCTCATACCTTCAACGACTCATGCTGCTGCATTGTCATCATCGCTTCCGGCGGGAATGAGGCCGGCTGGGCGACGTGTTGCTGTAGATGAGCAGGGGACAGGAAGTGCCGCTCCAAGCCGATGCCGGGCGCAACCTCCGATGCCGTCTGCTCCACCAGATTCACGACGTCCTCCAGGAAGTAGAAGCACGACGTCGCACGTTCGGACGGGCCACGCACGCACACCTCGACGGCGTCACCGTAGAGCCTGGACAGTGGGTTTTAGGGGGGAATGGGAGGCGAAATTAGGTGTTCTATCACTCTCACTCTCTCTCTCTCTCTCTCTCTCTCTCTCTCTCGCTCTCTCACCTAACAAGCGCCTCCATCTGGCCGCTGCTCATCTTGCTACACCCAGCCCACTGAACCAGGTCGGCGTCCATCGGGTCTTGGAAGTCGTGCATCGAGCGCCGGAGGGCCACCTGGAGTTTAGGCTTAGGCTTAGTATTAGGCTTAGCTTAGGCTCAGGCTTAGCTTAGGCTTCGGCTTAGCTTAGGCTTAGCCTAGGTTTAGCTTAGGCTCAGGCTTAGCTTAGGCTTCGGCTTAGCTTAGGCTTAGCCTAGGTTTAGCTTAGGCTTAGCTTAGGCTCAGGCTTAGCTTAGGCTTCGGCTTAGCTTAGTTTAGGCCTAGGCTTAAGTATGCTCGCACCTGTATCCGCGGGAATGTACTTTGCAGTGAGCGCTCCATGCCGCGCATCGGAAGCACACGTACGCCGCCGTAGACGTAGGTAGGTTTGTCCTGGAACGTGGGGTTAATTGGAATACCATATCCCTGCCCACCTTCGCCCAGACGTCCTTTGGAGGTTCCAGCAGGATGAAAGCCGGAAACTCGAAGGTGTTGTCGTCTTCGGCTGAAAAATGTGAATGAGCGGCGTTTTCCGAAAGAATCTCTGCAAGCCTGCTCTCCCGCACTAAAAAAACACCCACAATCCAGCGGCGCGCACAGCTGCAACGTGTCGAGGATGTGCAGCAGGTCGGCCGGCTCGGTGATCTCGGGGAAGATGGGCGCCAAGTGGGCCAACGAGTAGCAGCCGGTGATTCGGCATCTCGATAGGAACTCCGCGGACAGGAGCTGTCCGATGACGTGCGTGCCCAGCCACTCTGGGTTCAGGACCACGTAGTCGAGCTCGGCGGTCTCGTCACGCAGGTAGACGACCTGGTAGGGGATGATACGGTCGGTACTTAGGCTTCGGCTGAGGCTTAGGTTTAGGCTTAGGCTTAGGGGCTTGGGCTTGACTTAGGCTTAGGCTTAAGTTTAGGCCTAGCCTTAGCCTTTGGCTTAGGCTTAGGCTTAGGCTTAGGCTTAGGCTTAGGCTTAGGCTTAGGCTTAGGCTTAGGCTTAGGCTTAAGTTTAGGCCTAGCCTTAGCCTTTGGCTTAGGCTTAGGCTTAGGCTTAGGCTTAGGCTTAGGCTTAGGCTTAGGCTTAGGCTTAGGCTTAGGCTTAGGCTTAGACTTAGGCTTAGGTTTAGGCTTAGGCTTAGGCTTAAGTTTAGGCCTAGCCTTAGCCTTAGGCTTAGGCTTATGCTTAGGCTTAGGCTTAGGCTTAGGCTTAGGCTTAGGCTTAGGCTTAGGCTTAGGTTTAGGCTTAGGCTTAGGGGCTTGGGCTTGACTTAGGCTTAGGCTTAAGTTTAGGCCTAGCTAGCCTCTGGCTTAGGCTTAGGCTTAGGCTAAGACCCTGGCTAGATTCTGCTTACCTCTCCAATCAGCTGCAGCTGCTGGATGAGCTGCCGACAGTGCGAGTCGCCGCTCAGCGGGTTGATCTCGTTGCGGACCTAAATTGGAGGTATTTTTTGGATATGCAGCCTAGCAGCTATTCTTGAGGATGCTAAAAAACTTACAATGGACGAGAAATGAGGCCAGGTGACCACCGGGAAGTGGGAGTGCTGCTTCCGGAGGTTCTGAAGCGCTTGTACCGTCGCGTCGAGCAGGCCGAGGGGCTTCTGAAAATTTAGAAAATTTAGATATAGCCAGGAATTTCTCGAACCTGGAGCCGCGACAAAATCGACGTTCTCGAGTCGGAGAGGTACTTCCGGAGGCTCTTCATGCCCGAGCAGGAGGGGTTTGTCGAGTCGAGGAGGATGAGCCTGGAAAGGACAGGCTAGCCGAGATTCTTTTGGAAAGGGCAGGCTAGCAGAGATTCTTGTGGAAAGGGCAAGCAGAGAGATAACCTTTAGGACCCCCATTAATGCCTAAGAACCCACCTGTCGTGGATGTCGAAGTGGGTCTCGAAGCGTAGCCGCACGGTGTTGAGCATGGCCTCCGTATCCGAGGACTGATATTCGCCTTCTTGGTTCTTGCTCGGGAATTGTTGGTTCGTCGCGTGGCTGCCGACGATCACGACTTTGGATCTGAAAAGGTTAAGTTTAGGCTTAGGCTTAGCTTCGGCTCAGGCTTCGGCTTAGAATTTGCTTATGCTTAGCCCAGCATAGCTTAGGCTTAGGCTTAGGCTTAGGCTTAGGCTTAGGCTTAGGCTTAGGCTTAGGCTTAGGCTTAGGCTTAGGCTTAGGCTTAGGCCTAACGTGGGCTTCGGCTTGGCCTAGGCTTAGGCTTAGGCTTAGGCTTAGGCTTAGGCTTAGGCTTAGGCTTAGCGTGGACTTCGGCTTGGCTTAGGCTTAGCCGATGCTTAGTTTAGGCTCAGCTTCAACTTGGGCTTGACTTGAGCTTAAGCTTAAGCTTAGGCTTGACTCTACCTCCTCGAGATAATTCCACAATGGCCGATCGGCTCGCTGGGGGTGACGCGTCCCTTCAGGAAGTTCATCCAATAGAGCACCTGCTTATATTGCACTTCCGTCGGGTCAGTTGCCTGGAAAAAATTATAAAAAAATCGTAAAAGAAGCTTAATAAATATGAAGCCTTTTTCAGATCAGGCATTTATCATGAAGCATTCTATGGCTTACATTATACATGATGACGTGGACACAATCGGTGTTGCCGACAAAGTGGTCGTAGGCCATGTGGTAGGGCTCGTAGCCGCCAAATTCCCAGATCGAGAACTCGCCACAGCCTGGAAAGGCGAATTTTCCTCAAGGGCCTCTGCTAGTTCGCGTTGGTTGGGGTCAAGCTCAGTTTCCTCAATGGTACCCGCAAGCTTTCCTGGGCCTAGCCAAGCTTTCCGGTCTCAAAAACCTCTGCTAGCTTCCCTCGTGCTCGTTTCCCCGAAAATCTCTGCTAGCCTGCCTAGTGTTGAAGGGCTCCTACTCCTCAAGTGCCTTGGCCGACTCGCCTCAGACTAAGCTCGTGCTCTTCATGGGACGTTGAAGCTCATCTTGACTAGGCTCAAGCTCCCCCTCTTCAAGGATTTTTGCTAACAAGCCCAGCTCCACATACGCCGATTTCCTCAAGGCACAAGAATCACTGCTAGTATGCCAAGCTCTAGAGTCTGGAGCCGATTTCCTCAAGAATCACTGCTAACATGTCTAGCTCTAGCCCCGTTTCCCAAAAGAATCTCTGCTAACATGCCGAAACCCATAAAAACACCCACTATGCGCATTAATGGTCTGCACATCGATGCCGCGGGTGTAGTTGTTGTGCAGGGGCTTGTGGGCGGCATTCGTCCACTGTTCACTCGCGTTGTTGTTGGCCTCGGAGGAGAACGAGCTGCCCTGGCCAGAGTGGAGACCCTCGTCTGAAGAGAGAGCGATAGAGAGAGAGAGGGAGAGAGAGAGAGAGTGAGAAAGCTAGAGAGAGAAAGCCAACGCACCTTTATTCGATGCATTGTCCGAGAAGCGCCTCGAAACGGCGTCGATAAACGATCCGATGCCCCTCGTGGAGGCCAGGGCTTGGACCAGCCGCGTTTTTCCGCTTGTCGAGTGCCCGAACAGCTTCAGCTTTATCCGCCTCAGCGGGACGTCCAGTGAACAGAGTTGCTCGACGTACAGCTCCCTAAAAAGAGGGGTTCCTAAGTCCTAAAGAATCTCTGCTAGCCTGCCCTCTCCTAAAAAATATCGCTTTGCCCACCTAACGTTATCATTCTTCATCTTCGCCAGCAGCGACCCGACGTGCGTGTGCTCCTGGGCCAAGGCGATGATCTCGGCGGAGAGGCCGTCCTGAAATTTCTGAGTAAAAATTGGGGGCAAGCTAGCAGAGGTTCTTGGGGAGCCAAAGCTTACCTTGGTCTTCTTTCCGATCGAAGCCCGCGCCAAGCACAGCACCCTGACCACCTCGATGTGGCCCTCCTTGGCGGCGATGTGCAACGGGGTCAGCGAGGACTGAAAAATTGCATTGAAGGTAGGCTAGTAGAGATTCTTTAGGAAACGGCAGGCTAGCAGAGACTCTTTAGGAAGAGGCAGACTAGCAAAGATTTTTTATGGAAGAGCAGTTTTGCAGAGATTCTTTAGGAAAGGGCAGGCTAGCAAAGATTCTTCAGTATTTATTTTCGACCCCTCTCTTCCTTTCCCTCCCAATCCACAAATTTCGAAAAGTCCTCTCCCCAACAGTTGCCAGCGGGGGTCGAGGTCGAACTCCCCGAGTGCCGGACCGCAAAACGGCCGCCCGGAATAGCGGAAAAGAGCCCAACACACACTCGCAAAAAAGATGATTGACGCGGGGAGGGGGACGTGGAAGTGGAAATGGCCGGTTAACCACCTCGAGCTTGGATGGGTTTTAAAGGGCTTGGAAGTCAAATCCATAGTCCTAGGTTCTTGGCAATCAGCCAACCGTCCCTTTAGACGTTGCGGGACCCGTCTGGGACGAAAGAGCTTCATCCCGAGGTCTGGGGCAGGCTAGCGGCGATTCTTTAGGAGCTGCGGCGGCTTAATGCTGTAGCAGCCGGCGGGTACTAATTAGATTAGTTATCCGGGGCCAGGGTGAATGATCTGGGTGGAATCCAAGGAATTCGAGGCGTAGGAACGTGGATGAGTCAGAGAAAAGTCAAGCGGAACCGGGATAGCTGACTGGAGGAGCAGAGATTCTTTAAGAAAAGGCAGGCTAGCAGAGATTCTTTAGAAAGGGCAGGCTAGCAGAAATTCTTTAGGAAAAAGCAGGCAAGCAAAGATTCTCTAGGACAAAGGCAGGCTAGCAGAGATTCTTTAGGAAGTGGCAGGCTAGTAGAGTTTGTTTAGGAAGTGGCATGCTAGCAGTGATTCTTTAGGAATGGGCAAACTGGCAGAGATTCCTTAGGAAAATGGAAGCCAGCAGAGATTCTTTAGGAAAGCTTAAACCCTTCGTAACATGTACTCCATTCAAATAGCATATTGACCGACTGCGGTGAGCCGGGGCTGCGTCCAGTCGGTGGCGTGAAATGGCAAACAATTTGCCTCGTCGGCTGGTATTCAGAGCAGAGAGAGACCCAGAGAGGACGAGAGAATTAGAGAAAGAGAGCCCTGAGAATGTAGACCCCGAGAATAAGAGTGAATCCCAGCCCTCCCAATTCCAACCGCCCGCACCGAACAAAAAACGAGCCACCCATGTCGTCGGGGGGCTGTGGCTCTGCTCCCCTCGCGATCTACACGGACCCGGTTCATCTGGATCGATGATTCGGATGGCAGAAAGAGAGAGAGAGAGAGAGAGAGAGAGAGAAAGAGAGAGAGGGGGAGAGAGAGAGACAGCGAGAGGGAGAGAGACATGAAAATGTAAAACAGCTAAAACCCACATGATTCGCAACGTCGACGTCGACGCCACAGTGACAGAGCGTTTGGACAACCGATAAAAGTCCGGCTCGCGCCGCAAGGTGGAGAGGGGTGTCGCCGGCCTGGAATTCGAGTTTAAAGGGACACGCAAGGAAAATCCATGGCCCTAGGCCCTTGGCAACCAGCCAGTCGATCCCCTTTTGCCACTGTGGAACCCGTTTCGGACGAAAGAGCTGTGCCCGAGGCTTTTTTTTATTGACAGGGGGGGGTATTGTGGCTGCGTTGTCTTGCACCCAAAATACAAAGGGTCTGGGCTGAATTTTTGCTTTAATGGTCCTTGAAAGCTCTACCTCGTCCCGCTCGTTGATGTTGCAGCCGCGGGTGATGAGCAGCAGGGCGATGTCGACGTGGGATCGACGGAGGGCGAGGTGGAGTGGGGTTTGGTTGGTCTGGATTGGAGAGATTGTTGAAATTCGGTTTCTCTCGCTCTCTCGCTCTCTCTCTCGCTCTCTCTCGCTCTCCATCTACCTCTCTCTTTCTCTCGCTCTCTCTCTCTCTCTCTCTCTCTCTCTCTCTCGCTCTCTCTCTGACCTGATCCACAATATCTACAGGGGCCCCAGCATCCAGCAAGCTTGTCACGCACTCCAGATGACCTCGCGCTGCCGCGCAGTGCAGCGCCGTCTCGTCGTCCTAAAATAGTTTGCTTTTAAAGGGACTGGAAATAGAAAACCCTGCACAATCTCTGTGTTTTGCATCAAGGCAAGCTAGCAAAGAATCTTTAGGAAATGATTTTTGTGAGCTTGCAAAAATTTCACGTTTGGTATTTAACCTTCCGTTTCCTAACGAATCTCTGCTAGCCTGCTCTTTCCGAAAGAAATCCCTGCTAGCCTACCCTATTAAAAATAATAAAAAAGAAACCAAAAAGTAGAAATGACACTCTGCGGTAGCGATAAGCCCTTGTTTTCCGCTTCTCCGAGCCTGTACTCCCTACGCAGCGTTTCGGAATCACCGTTATCTTTATGGCCCTCCCATATTTTTAGCTGTGGCTGCCGATTTTCAAAGTTTTCATAACCGAATTTCTCAAAGAGTCTCTGCTAGCCTGCCATTTCCTGAAAATTCCCCCACTAGCTGCCCTTCCCCTTGAATTTCAGCCCGTCCACCCACCTCGGGCTCCCCGAATTTAGCATGGAAATTGGACAATTTGTCAGCGACCCGGAAAAATTGGGGTGTCCCGGGTCGGCACCGTGGCCCCGCGAGGGCATATGCATTTTCGATGGGCGGTGGGGCACCAATTTTTGGGCGGTAAGCTGGGGCAAGGATGAGAAATGGCTAGGCGGGCTAGCAGAGATCATTGAGGAAGGGCAGGCTAGCAGCAATTCTTTAAGAAGAACTAGCCTAGAAGAGATTTTTAACGAAAGGGCAGGCTTGCAGAGATTCTTTAGGAAAGGGCAGGTTAGCAGAGATCTTTTAAGTCTGGGCAACCTTCCGGCGACCTTTTAACCCTCGGGCAGGCTAGCAGAGACCCTTTGCGATCCCAGACTATTTTCAGCTGTAGTCCCCTACCCACCAACCTCGAGCCCTCCAAAAATCATCAATTTTCGGCCATTCAAGGCGAGGTGAAGCCCCTCTTCGTTGCCCCAGGCAATTTATCCCCTAGCCCCAGGGCAGTCTATGCCCCTCAAGGTGGCCGTAAGCCCCAATTTTCGGGATGCTAATTGCGGGGGGTGGGGGTGGGGGGTGATGCGAGGGTGGGGCTACCGATTCGGTTCTTGAGGGGTTCTTAAAGGGGCGGTGAAGTCAAAGAGAAGCTTATTTCTAGGAAAGGGCAGGCTAGCAGAGATTCTTTAGGAAAGGGCAGACTAGCAGTGATCATTTAGGAGGACATTTTCGCTTAGTTCGGGGTCATCCCCCGGGCGTGTTCGCGCTCTATTTGCTGTTAGGGCGGCTACTCTACCCATGCACAAATAACGCCCGCACAGGTGTCCGCCCCATTCAACGAGTCCACACAGCTACGCTAGGGGGGGGTCAATTATGTATTCAGCCGTGGCGAAATTCGCTCTCTCTCTCTCTCTCTCTCTCTCCCCTCTCTCCCTGTCGCTCTCTCTCTCTCTCTCTCTCTCTCTTTCGCTACCCAAATTGGAGGGGATTTGGAGCGGATTTTCCCCCACCCCGGCTCATCGACCGATTTCAGGCGATTGCGAAGCCGTAAACAATAAGCAATGGGACGAGAATTGATCGAAAAATAGGGGCGAGCGAGCAGAGACTTTGTAGGAATTCAGAAATCCTCGAGACTGGCTAGCAGAGATTCTTCGGGAAGGGGGCTAGCAGAGATTTTTGAGGAAGCCATAAAAGCCTTTACCCCGCAGCAGGACGGCTCGGACTCGTCGAAAGCCCGGTTCATGTCGGAGACCATGGCGATGAAGGTGGAGGTGGTCGGGTACGGGTTCTACAGGAGGTTTTAAAGGGCCAGTAAGCTTAGGCTTAGGCTTGGGCTTAGGCTTAGGCTTACGCTTACTTTCAACGGGGCATGAAGCGAGTTGACGTGATCAGCAGCCCTGGGCCGCGGCGAGTCATCGGGAAGCGGAAACGGGGAGCCGGGGGACCGTTGCAGCTCCTCGTGTTCATAGTGGGGGTGTAGTAGATGAAGTGAACGTCCAGCCACCACCGGATCGGATAGGTAGGCGGCCATCACTGAGCCGGGGGCCGGGAGGGGAATGCCTTGGGGGGAGGAGGCGGCGTTGCTAGGAGCCGAGCGTAGCCCCTGGATGAAACGGCCGAGGGTGGGCGAGTCGGAGGAAGAGGATGAGGTCGACGCTGAGCCTCTTGAAGACGAGGACGATCTCGAGGCCGTCGGGCTATCTTGTAGTTCGTCGTCTTGTGCATCGTTACGGTACAGTACGTTCCTATGGACGGTTTTTTCTACAGTATCCGCGCCATTTTGAGCAGCTACAGTACTATGTCTATACATTCCGCGAGAATACGGTACCTCAGAACCGTCTTGTCGTACAGTTTCGTACGCACCGTACCCCGCACCAATAACAGGTACGGTACTTGCTATCGTATCCGCTGTAGCGGAGGTTCTGTACATTCCCCTACTAGCTACGGTATCCTCTAGGAGTACAGTATCGTAAGCTTTAAGATTTTCTAGCGGTACGGTAGCGGAATTGTCGTATTCTTCTGTACTCCTTGGACTTGACGCCTTGCCATTAGTAGGTACTGACGCGGATCTACCGTATGGTTCCGTACTGCTCGAACTTGACGCGTGGCCGTTTCTGGGCCCTGTACCGGACGTATCGCGTTTTTCTGAACTTCTCGGACTTGACGGCTCGCCCTTTTCAGCTACAGCATCCAACCCGGGTACTGTAACATCCCGGAAAAGCGCCGAATCTACAGAATCTGCAAAGTTTTCCGCCCAACTCCCATTCTGGCAGTTCGCCAAGATCTCTTGCTCCAGTTGCGGCTCAAAATTCTGGTACGTCACGGCGTCACGGTCAAATTCCGAGCTCAAGTCGATTTCCGAAGAGCATTGGCTGATTGGGAGGTCATGATCAGAATTCTCCACCTGGCGTGGCTTCACCTCCCTGACGGTGTCCACAGAAGACAAATCCTGGCTCGAGCTCAGGCTCACAAGGTCAGCGTCGTCAGCGACGTCTTCGAACCGTTCAAGCGTTAACCCCAACGCTCGGGCCTTCATCTCCCTGACCGTCAATAGGTCGTCTTCGTCGTCGTTGTCGCTCATTTCGGGCGCTACGCAAGGCTACGTCAGCTGACGGTGTGGGTCACGATTTAGAAATGGTCGGACTTGACATTAATATCTGTAGTTTCGACTATAATATATTTTAATTGGTTCGTGAAGGTGCAGAGGGTTCTCGCGTGCAAATCGCTCAAGAACTTTTGAAAAAAGAAGAATGAAAAATCATTTAGAAAATGTGAGGAACTTGGTCTCAAAAATAATTGCAAAAAAAACCAGAAATTGTTCCAAGGTACTAGAAAATTATAGACAAAAAGAAAAACAAAATTTTTCAAAGGAAGACGTAAGCCGGAATCGAGAAACCGGAAAAAGCCGGAAAAGCCGCTGCGGCCCGTCGAAAGGTGTCTCCCGTAGTCATGGCAACCGGAAATAGAAAGGCAATGGGCTTTTAAAGAGGCTTAGGCTTAGGCTTAGGCTTAGGCTTAAGCTTAGGCTTAAACCTGTGATAAATTAGAGCAAAAGTGAGCTTCTTAATAGGAATAACTTTTACACAAAAACAATCAAGAAAATTTGGAACAACCGGTTTTTTTGGCATTCGGTTGGCCAGTTGGTTGGTGGTCCAGGGGAGAGCATGGAAGTGTGCAGGAAGCCCAGTTTCACCACCACCCGAAAAAGGGGCGTGGTCTCACGTTGGCGGCCATACTCATGGCCCGGGGTAACCCGGGGTGAGGGCGGCCAATTTGTGGTCAGTCGCTTCGATTTTTTGTGAATTTCGAGGGAATTTAGGCTTAGGCTTAGGCTTAGGTTTCGCTTGGCTTAGGCTTGGGCTTAGGCTTGGCTTAGGCTTGGCTTAGGCTTGGCTTAGGCTTGGCTTAGGCTTGGGCTTAGGCTTAGGCTTAGGCTTAGGTTTCGGCTTAGGCTTAGGCTTAGGTTTCAGCTTAGGCTTAGGCTTCGCTTAGGCTTAGGAACTGATAAAAAATCTGAAAAACCACTTTTTTTTGGCCTAAAGTGACCGGAAGACCGGAAAAATCGGAAAATGCCTGTCGGTGCCAGTTGGGGGCTAGGTAAACGAGCGTATCCAATTACTCAACCTTCACAACGGCTCAAAATAGGTTCCTGAGTCGAAAATCGTTCCTGTAAAGGAACTTGGAAGGCAAATCCATAACCCTTAAAGAGAGAGAGAGAGAGAGAGAGAGACCGAGAGTGAGAGAGATACAGAAATCCAAGCGATTCCTAAAGTTCTCATGAGTCACACTCAAAAACTCGAGCTCAGAGAGGGTGCTGCTGCGTGAAAAGCAAGTCGAGAGTCAAGGGGTGTGACCGGGAAAGGCAAAAGTGGCGAGGGGGGACACACGAAAAATTTATAGGGCGCCCCAGGGGGAATGGGAAAATGCGTGTCGAGTGGTCGGGAAGGAATATACTAGCAGAGGAGTGGGGAAATATTCTTAAAGAATCTCTGCTAGCCCGCCCTTTCATCAAGAATCCCTGCTAGCGGACCCTTTCCTCAAGAATCTCTGCTAGCTTGCCGATCCCCCAGCCGCCCACCTTGTTCCGGACGTTCAACGGCGGCCCGTAGGCGCAGAGAATCGTCAGTAGGAGCGCGTAGCCGTGCCAGGAAGCGATATGGAGCGGCGTTTCGCCTTGCTGAAAACAAAATTGATTTTTATGGCGTTTTAATAGTGTTTTTGATACAATTTAATGATATTTTAGATTTAAAAACCATACAAAAAAATAGAAAATTGTATAGTGAAAATTTTGGTAAAACAACCCCCGATAATGCCACAGCTCCGCCAAGGCTAAAGGGGATTGGTTGGCTGATGGCCAAGAGTTTAGGGGGGATGGATTTGCCTTCACTGCTCCTTTAAAGCCAGGAGATACCTGATCTTGCAGGTATTGATCAGCTCCTCGGGATAGTAGGGCCTGGACGACGTCCATCTGGACATATCGAGAGGCGACGTGGAGTGGGGTTTCTCCTGCCTGAAAATTTTTTCAAATAATCTTTGCTCGCTTGCTCATTCCCAAAGGGCCTCTGCTAGCTTGCCCTTTTCGAAAGGACCTCTGCTACCCACCAAATTTGCCGAGTTGACGTCGGCGCCTTCAGATGCTAACAAGTTGACGATATCGGCATGGCCGTGCCGAGCAGCCCACGAGATCGGCGCGTCGCCGCTGAAATGCGGAAATTATACTGTAGCCCTTTCCTAAAGAATCTGTGCTACCTTGGCCTTTCCTAAAAAATCCCTGCTAGCTGGCTCCAATTCAAATTCCTTACCGATTATCTCTAGGCGACAGCTCGGCGCCCTTCATATGCAAATAGTGGACGAGGTCGAGGTGGCCGGCGCCGGCAGCAACGTGAAGCGCCGTTTCGCCAAGCTGAAAATGAGTTTAGGCTTGCGCTGTGGCTTAGGCTTAGCTTAGGCATAGGCTTAGGCTTAGGCCTTGGCTTAGCCATGGTCCTCATTACCTTGTTCTGCGCATTCGGCGTCATCCTCAACAGGTTCGCCAGCTGGTTCAGCCCCTTCAGATTGCCCTCCTCGCAGGCGATCAGCACGGCGCTGGTGACCATGTCCTCCTGAAAATGGAGATATATAGGGGTTGTGAAAAAAATTTAGTTTTAATCAGGTATCTGCGCACGAATGGTACCCAAAACTCTTCGCAATGGCGGACTTTTTTTTCGTTTTTTTATGTGCCATTAATGCGGCAACAACCTTGGAATTACGGTAACCTTCAAAACTCACATCCATTTCTTCCATTTTTGCGCATCAGGTTTGAAAATACTCGCGAGATTCACTAGATTTTCTTGCGTCGGAAAATGGCGGAAATTGAGGACAAGAAAAAGGCGGTTTGAAAGGGGCTGGCAGAGATTCTTTAGGAAATGGCGGTTGAGCAGGGATTCTTTAGGAAAGGAAATGCAAGAATTTTGGGGTGAATTTTTCAGCACAGAAGAGTGGTGGGGGGCTAAAATCAGTAAACATGGGGAGGGGACGGTTTGTCAATGTGAAAAGATGGAAGGCGAGGAAGGAGGTACATCAACTCAACTAATAGAAAGCGAGAGAGTGAGAGAGAGAGACAGACAGACAGACAGACAGACAGACAGACAGACGATCGCTACAAATCTGGCGACCTTAGTATTGGAAGAGATTCATCGACAAACGTGGAGAGATGCTTTGGGGAAGGGAGCTGTAGAAAACGAGGCAAGCTAGCAGACATTCTTTAGGAAAGGGCATGCTAGCAGAGATGCTTTGAGAACCCATAGCCAAGTCAGCCCATTATTATAAGCATCTATATAGCCCCGGGGGCACGCACGAGAACATGTGGGGGGATTCGGGCAGTGGTGCTTGAGTCAGACGGAGGGACCGGAAAAAACGATCCCATCTCAAAGCATACACAGACACAAACATACTTTCTCCAAACATCCCATCAGAGAGAGAGAGAGCAAGAGAGAGAGAGAGAGAGAGAGATATGGGCGCAGTACGCATGGATACAATGGACTATGAATATGGGTTTTTGCGGCGCCGAATAGGAAGTATAGCAATCACAAAATATCTCGGCTAGCCTGTCGTTTCCTAAGGAATCTCTGCTAGCCTATCCTTTCCGAAATAATCTCTGCTAGCCTGCCTCTATGCTCCAAATCGCCTGGCAAATGCAGTGAGCAAACCGACGCAAGAGCTTATTAAAATTCCGCATCATGCAATCGTCATTCGTTTTCAAAAAAAAATACGAAAACGGTGACCAATCGCCCTCACAAATGGCAACAAATGCAAAAGCCACGTCATACGGTATTGAAGATGTTTTTGGAGCATCGAACGATACGAAAAATGAGAGTGATCGTGACAGGCTAGCAGAGATTCTTTAGGAAACGCAGGCTAGCAGGGATTATGTGCTTCTTGGCCCCTTAAAAGTGAAATCGAATCCGTCAGAGATAAGCGAGCAAAAGCCAGATTGGGCTAGCTGAATGAAGATCATGAAATATGGTATATGACAAGGAAATTGATCAGGATATAACTTTTTCTCTCTCTCTCTCTCTCTGTCTCTCCCTATCTCTCTAGCTCTTTCTCTCTCTAGCTATCTCTCTCCCTCACGAAAGCGACAAGAGCCAGCTGAGCGGAAAATCGGCCCCCGCTCAGGACAAAGATGATTTTTGATTAGGAGCTCGGGTTTCGAAATGATTTCAAGGGAGGGCGACAGAGGGGAGGCTAGCAGAGATTCTTAAGGAAACGGCAAGAGAGTGATTTTTGAAGAATCGATGCTGCTCTGGATTTTCCGGAAGCCATTGGTTTTCGTTTGCCGCGGCGGCTTCCAAATATAAAACGCATTTCCGGTCAGGAGTCGGGATTTTTTTTGAAAAAATGGACGTTCAGATTTGTTCAAGAATCTCTGCTAGGATGCCTTTCAGGAAGCGAACGTCTAGAAAAGTGCAATTAGGGCGCCCAATAAATTCCGAAAAAAGTTTCGGTTTCATCTGGTCGGGCTGACGCCGGGACGAATGGCAATAGATGTGCCCGGGGGCAAATGGCAGTCGGAGATTTTGATCTCGAGCAGAGAGAGAGAGAGAGAGAGAGAGAGAGAGAGAGAGAGCGAGAGAGAGATAAGGAGAGAGTGGGAAATTACAGCAAAAAAAACCGGAAAAAAATGCCCAGAAACGTCGGTTCGAATGACGGATGGAGATTTCTTACGGTGGTTTGAGGGGAAAAAGTGCAAAAAAGGACAATATTAAGACGAGCGCCAGCTAGCAGAGATTTTTTAGGCAAGGGCCGGCTAGCGGAGATTCTTAAGGACAAATCCTCACCTGATCATATCTGCTCTCAATCTGCCTGCCCAGCTCCCCGGCCTGCCTAATGGCCAGCCGCACGCTGCGCGTCGTCCGCAAGCACGTCGTCACGATTTCGATGGCTTTCTAAAATTTGAATTGCTTTGAAGTGAAAGAGAGAGAGAGAGAGAGAGAGAGAGAGAGAGAGAAAGAGTGAGAGTGAGAGCGACTCACCCTCCACTTCAACCTCGTCTTGAAGGCTTGAATCTGGGATATCGTCACGGCGGCATTTTTTCTGAGATCGACCGAGTCGTCTTCGGGCTAAAAACAAGAATATAGCAAAAACTGGAAGAAAATTCCCATTTCGGTTCTTTAAAAATCTCTGCTAGCTTGCCCTTTCCTAAAGAATCCCTGACAGCCTGCCCTTTCCCCAAGAATCTCTGCTAGCCGTGCTTTTCCTGAGGAATCCCTGCTAGCCGACCCTTTCCTAAACTATCTCTTCTGGCTTGCCTTTTCCTTTAGAATCTCTGCTAGCCTGCCCTCAAAAACCTACCCCTCGAATCCAGGGATGCCTCAAGCACTCATCCACCGTAGCTCGCTTCCGCGCGTCCCGTACGAAAAGGCGCGAAATGAAGTCCTTGGCGAAGGGGGAGGTATTTTTGAAGTAGCTAAAATTTTGAAGGGTTGATGAAGGGCACTAGTATTGACCCTACCGTTCTGTAAAATGGTAGTTGACGCCGGTGATGTTGCAAAAGGTCTCATCGCGCGTATCACCCAGGAATGGGCTTCCTCCAGAGAGTCTGAAAAAGGTGGTTCTGGACTGTTAGCGGGGGGGGGACCAAATTTTTTCCTGAAGATTGCATTTGAGGGTTTATGTAAAACTAGTTAGGACAGCATTCGAGGGACTTACAAAATATAAGTCAGGACTCCGAGGGCCCACATATCCGTCGCTGGGGTCAGCGGCTCGTAGTTGACGACTTCGGGGGCTGAAAGATTGGTTAGAGAGAGATATCGCGAGAAAGAGAGAGAGACAAAGATGCGAGAGAGAGAGCGCGCGAGTGAGAGAGAGAGTGAGAGATAGAGATAGAGAGAGAAACAGAGAGAGAGGAGCAACTGAGTGAGATCAAACTCACCAACGAACTCTGGCGTCCCGACCATATCCTTTACGGGTTGCCCGGGAAGGATTCTCCTGGACAGCCCGAAGTCGATGATCTTGATCTGCGCTTCACCCTTCTTCTTGAGCATCACATTTTCCGGCTGAAATTTCGGAAAATTCGACGTATAGACCGAGTAGGCTAGCAGAGATTCTTGAGGAAAGGGCAGGTTAGCCGAGTTTTTTCAGGAAAGCCGACTTTCGAAAAACTCTTGTCCACAAACTACAAGCCTTGATGTCAAGATGAACAATGTTCTGCTGATGCAGGTGATGGATGCCGAGCAGGATTTGCCGGATAAATGCCGCCGTCTCCACCTCGTCGAGGTATTCCTTCTCGCAGACGTGGTCGAAGAGTTCCCCACCGGACACTCTGGAAGAAAACGTTCTCCCGCTCTGCTTCTCTCGATCACGATCTCGATCTCACTCTTTCTCTCTCTTTTTCTATATCTTTCTCCCTCTCTCGCTCTTGCCCCCTCTCTCTCCCACTCTCTCTGCCTTTCTCACTCAACTTACAGTTCTAAGACCAATATGACGTCCCCGGCCGTCTCGTAGACGTCGATCAGCTCGACGACGTTCGAGTGGCCGCTGACGGCTTTGAGCACGGAAACCTACAGAAAAACAGCTTTTAAAGGGCCACTGAAAGCTAATCTGGCCCCGCCCACTCGATTTTTGGTCCCAAGTCAAACCCAGCTACAGTAACCCTCTTTGTAAAAGTTTGTAAAAGTAAAACTGTCTCCGGTCAACTCTTGCGTCCAGAAGGGCTAAAGGGGTCGGTTAGCTTTCTGCCAAGAGTCTCGCGGCTATGGATTTGCCTTCGAAGCTCCTTGAAAACGCCGGAAACAAAAATTACCTCTCTCTCAATGTTGGCCCTGGTGACGCCTCTCCTCGACGTCGCGTACCGGCGTTTACGGATGAACTTGGCGGCAAACTCCTCGCCGGTGTCGCGCTTCTTGACGCGGCGCACGATGGCGAATTGACCGCTGGAAAAATCAAGGCTATTTGCGAGCCTGCCCTTTCCTAAAGAGTCTCTGCTAACCTGCCCTTCTTAAAGAATCTCTGCTAGCCTGCCCTTTGCTAAAGAATCTCTGCTAGCCTGCCCTTCCTAAAGTATCTCTGCTCGTACCTGCCCAACTCGTTGGCCACCTCGAACACCTCGTCGAAGGGCGTCTCGTTGAAGCGCATCGTGCACGGCTCCTCGCCTAGAAAATTGACGGTATTTTGATGGTCAGAGCAGGTTGGCCGAGATTCTTTGGGAAACCGACCTGAAGTCTGGCGCCGGAGCTCTTCCCTCATCTCGTCTGGTCGATGGGGCGGCGGCTCGTTATGGTAGAAATTTTAAAAGATGCCCCTCTCCGCCGGTCCAGTGGCATAGATAGACCCGGGGTGGGGGAGGCTGTGCGGTTGACGCCTGGAAAATGGGAATCTTAGGCGAGAGAGTGATAGAGAGCGAGAGAGAGAGAGAGAGGGAGCACGAGAGCGAGATGAAGAGAGAGTGAGTGCGAGAGAGAGAGAGAGAGCTACAAGAAAAATTTCGCATTTTGAAAGGCCAGTGAAGGTAAAACTGGTCCCTGAAAGGCTTTTAAAGGGATGGTGACGCCAATGGCAAGCTTCTGGCCACTTAAAAAATTTAAAGCAGAAATTCGCTAGAATGATTTTGAAAAAGCAATATTTGGGTTTTCCACCCGCCCGGCCGACGCGACGATTCCAGACCGCGCGACTCGGGGGTGAAAAGACAAAGCTTTTCAGTTCGTTCTCCCCCCACCCACACCGGCCGATATCCATCAATTTCCGCTTTGTCTCTCTCTCTCCCTCTCTCTCTCTCTCTCTCTCTCTCTCTCTCCTCTCTCCCTCTCTCTCTCTCTATCTATCTCTCTCTCTCTCTCTTTCTCTCGCCTCTCTCCTCTCAAAACTGGCTTCCCCCACAAATGATGATGATGATGATTGCTGATATTGGCCGGGCTTGGAAGGGGCAAGAAATTTGGAAATTTGCGCAATAAGTGGTCAGAAAATTGCAAATGACGTATTTTTAGCTTTGCAATACAAAAAAAGAGGGCAACCGATTACGCCATTAAAAAACTTCGATTGCGACAAGAAGGAGGCAGGCTAGCAGAACTCTTTGAAAAAGCAAAAAATTTTCAGGCGTTGGACTCGCTTACGCCAGATAAGCTAGCAGTGATTCTTTAGGACCAGCAGCAAACATGAGGGGTTATGGCAAATAATATATTTTTTATACAGTTACGCAATGTAATTAAAAAAATGCAAAAAATGCCGGGGGGGGGCTAGCAGAGATTCTTAGGGAATAAAAAGAACTCCGGAACAGAAAAAATATGATTACGCGATTGAATTGAAGGGGCTAGGAAACAGAGATTCTTTAGGAAAGAGCAGACTAGCAGAGATTCTTTAGAAAAGGCCAACGAGCAGAGATTCCTCAGGAAAACCCCCAAAATTGAGTGGTCAAAAATTCATCGATGCAACAAGCAGCAAGAGCCCCGGGGCCCCGGCAGTGGCGTCAAAAATGCATTGTGTGCCCCGGCGGGCACAAGCCTGCCGCATTTTTCCGCCTTTTTTGGGACCCACTGGGCCCCAACATAAGAAAAATGGGGCAACTTGTGTGTGCTCGGCGGGGACCCATCTATATTGGCAATAGGCCGAGAGAATGGCCCATAAAATCGAGAGAATATACATATGAAATGGGCGTGCTGCGGCTTCTTGGAGATTGTCCAGCTCTGGCTACGGGCGGAGGCTTAGGCTTAAGTAGAGATGTTTTTATTCAGATACGATATGCATCCAGATATATCGCATCTGAATAAGCCATCGGGATTCGAAAATCCTAGATGCGATATAGATAATCGTATCTGAATTGGAATCCGACCCACCGAGATACGATACTATCGGAATAACTTTTGCATATCGGATTAAGGGAAATTAGAGCGCTCGGTAGGCGATAAAATGGATGCAAATCGAGCGATCTTGTCTCGCAAACGCCTAACCGTATGCTTTTTTATGCAGACTGACCGTACGGAGCACGTATTCACGAGAATAACGGATTTTCTGCTTATTCCGATATGCAAATTTTATTCCGATATATCGTATCTGGATTGAGCCTCGCCGATCCTAGATCCGATAATCGTATCTCGATTGCCCCGGCTTCAACCTAGATACGATATGCAAATAGCCTTAAATGCAAAATTTCCCATATCGTATCTGAATAAAAACATCTCTAGGCTTAAGCTTGGCGTAGGCTTAGCTCAGTTTTCTGCTTAGGCTTGGGCTTAGGCTTAGGCTTGGCTTAGGCTTGGCTTAGGCTTGGCTTAGGCTTGGCTTAGGCTTGGCTTAGGCTTGGCTTAGGCTTCGGCTTAGGCTTCGGCTTAGGCTTAGGCTTAGGCTTATGCTTAGGCTTAGGCTTATGCTTAGGTTAGGCTTAGGCTTAGGCTTAGGCTTAGGCTTAGGCTTAGGCTTAGGCTTAGGCTTAGGCTTGGCTTAGGCTTGGCTTAGGCTTAGGCTTATCAACACGGTTACCGCAAAAAAGACTTGAGGGAAAATTGGTGCAGTGTGTAAATGAGTGTAGTGGCCGTGGAGAGCGAGAGAGAGAGAGAGAGAGAGAGAGAGAGAGAGAGGTGTCTTTTCGACTATAGAGATCGGGGGAAACGTGGACCAGCTGTGTACGGGGCCCAGTGGGTCCCACAACTGGGCCCTAAGCAGCTGTAAAAAAGTCGGAAAGTGAAACGTTGACACTTTCAGCGATTTGCACGACAAAGACCGCAGAATGTCTCCTAAAGGACCTGCCGCCGCCTGCTAGCATGCCGAAAAAAGCAGAAAAAAAACAGAAAAGCTACTATAGCCCAAAAGCAACAAAATTCCCGCCCATCCTGACCTCCCCAAACGGCTCCCCGGGGACTTTGGGAGATTATAATCGGAAGTGACAGCCAGCTCGAGAAGCAAAAATAATGTGCAGGCCGCACAAAAAACAAAGGGCAGGCTAGCGGAGATTCTTCAGGAAAGGCAAGCTAGCAGAGATTTTTGGAAATATTTTCGAGGAATTTTTTGGAAACCAGTTGAAATTGCAACCTCAAAAAAACGATAAAAATCGCTCACCTATAGAAACCTGACTAACGCATTTCGGGAATGAAAGGCGAGAATTGCAAAGGATTTTTTGGGCCAAAAAACGATCGGAAAAAAATTGGAACGGGAAATGGGTAGAATTTATGGAGTTGGACTTTCCGGTTCAGTGCATTGACCGAAAAGAACTACCGCGCATCCCCGAAAATCGATACGGTGCAGAGACCGTCCGGGGAGCAATTTCGTAAAACTTGGCCGGGCAGGCTAGCAGAGGTTCTTTAGGAAAAGCAGGCTAGCAAAAATTCCTTAGGAAAGGGCCAGCTAGCAGAGATCCTTTGCGAAAAATTGGAAATCGAGGATGGCCTGCAAATAGAACCCCGCACTCGAACGGAGCGTGAAAATCCAGAAAACGGGTGGAGGGGTGTCAATAGAATGGGAGCGGAATTGAATACCTGGGGGTTCGGGAAGGTGAAATCCGTTTTGTGTTGCAAAACGGAACTGGGGAAAGTGGGCGTTTTGATGTGCTAGCAGAAATACTTTAGGAAAGGGCAGGCTAGTGGAGGTTCTTTAGGAAATCGTAAACGAAGCGTTAAAAAGGCTATCGGCTCGAGGTTGTAAAAGTAATTTCCAGGCTCCTGCCTGCTCGCGGCTGGTCATTTCCATAAAAACAGGGAGTCGATAAGAGCGAGAGAGAGAGAGAGACAAAGAGAGAGAGAGAGAGAGAGAGAGAGAGAGAGAGAGAGCACAAAAAGCAAATAAACCGAACCCAAACAGCCGCAATGCACCTGAAATTCACAAGCGGTTCGGAAGGCATGGCAAGGACAAGCTAGCAGAGCTCATTAAAGAAAATTCAGTTTCCTCAAAAACCTCTGCTAGCTTTCCCTTGTCCGGCAGCTTTAAAGGGACCGTGAAGGCAAATCCATAGCCCGATCCTCTTGCCAATAAGCCAACCGCCTTTTTTGTGTTAGGGACGAAAAAACTGTGCCACAAGGATATTTTTGGTTTTACAAGCAGGAGTACGGTAGCAGAAGACGGCTAAGATCAAAAAAAATCACTGGCAGGCCTGTTTTGCCTTCTATAGCCCTTTAAAACGACAAAGGTCACAAGCGCAATGTCCCGCCGGTCGGCCCGAGAGACAGGATATTTGTTGGTATTTGTATGTCCGTTTGTCTGTCTCTCTGTCCGCTCCTCTTCCGCGTGATGGGTCCGCATCCATCCGGCGTGTTGACACAGCATCCGGGAGGGCCCACATGCACCAGCGCTACCACTACGCGGCGCCACGCTCTGGACGGGGGCCAGGGAGGCTAGCAGAGATTCTTTAGGAAAAGGAAGCTAGCAGAGATTCTTTAGGAAAAGGAAGCTAGCAGAGATCCTTGAGGAAAGAATAGGCTAGCAGAGGTTCTTAAGAAGAGGACAAGCTAGCAGTGATTTTTAGGAAAACAAGCTAGCAAAAATGCTTTAGGAAAAGAAACTAGCAGAGATTCTTTAGGAGAGGGCAGGCTAGCAGAGATTCTTAAGGAAAACACAAGCTAGCAGAGATTCTTCAGGAATTAATTTTGAAGTAGGAATTCTGGAGAAATTATTTGTCTTTAGGCTTTTTCAGGAACGCGCCCCGCCTCATAACCAGGGAAGAGAGAGGAAGCTTATCTGACGATCGCATCAGCCGGGGTGGATTATTTTGTTGATGTGGATGATTTTCGGAGGTTAGAGAGAGAGAGAGAGAGAGAGAGAGAGAGAACAGAAAAACACAACAAAAATTCCGCAGCTTTTACGAGGCGGGCCGAATTGCGGCGCTTAGCCCGTTTCACGACATGCACACGCATGACGATAAGTGAGTCAGTGGAGTGTGGGCGCCGTTGGCGGTGACCGTTGGGTAAACAATAATTCGCAAAATATCGCGGGCCGAGATTCCTCAAGTGATCTCTACTAGCCTGCCCTTTCCTAAAGGATCTCTGCTAGCCTGCCGTTTCCTTAGAAATCTCTGCTAGTTTCCTCTTGACAAGGGTCGCGAGCTGATGAAGAACCGCCCCCCCCCTTCCCCCAGAAAGCCCATAAATAAGGTGAAAGTATCAGGGGAGGGAGGTGCCGCGTCTTTATTCAGACAGTCTATTCACCACAGATTTCTGGTCTGAAACGAGAGGGAGAGAGAGAGAGAAAGAGAGAGAGAGAGGGAGAAAGATTTTAAAGAAAATTTCATTAGCTTAAAATTTCGCCTTTATGAGAGAGAGAGAGAGACAGAGAGAGACAGAGAGAGAGAGACTAGAGAGAGACAGAGAGAGAGAGAGAGAGAAATGAGTCAGCAGAGGTTTTTCAGAATTCCCGTTCAAAATATTTGGCAATCCGCCAGCGCTCTTCAAAACCGCCTGCGAGCGCAAAATGGTGAAAACGCGCGGCGCGCAGTAAGTGAGGGTGAAGTGTGTCGGGTGTTGTTCGACAATCTCTCTCTCTCGCTCGCTCTCTCGCTCTCTCTCTCTTTCTCGCTCACCTGTAGACCTTCAACAACTCGCGCTCGCGAGTCAATTGTTTAGCCTGAGGGCAGACGCCGAGCGGGGCGAAACCAGAAAAACCGGAAGCTAAAGATGGATGGCACCCAAGAGGGAGGTCATACTAGAATAACAAGGGCTAAAAATGAATTCGAAGTGAGGTCGTCAAAGCACGCTAGCAGAGATTCTTTAGGAAAGGGCGGGCTAGCAGAGATTCTTGGCGAATCCACAAAAACTGGAATTTCAGCATGTTCTGGTCAACGCGAGCTAATGGAGTGTTGTGTTGGTGGTCCAAGTGGGGACGAATGAGTGTTTCTCGGCTTCTCTCTCTCTCTCTCTCTCTCTCTCTTTCTTTCTCTCGTGCTCAAATCCCCCGAAAATGGACAGAAAAGCCGGTTGTGCCCTCGGGGCACAGACCTGCTTAGCCGGAATGGAACACGAACAGGAAAAGAAATAGGAAAACCTAAAGAATCTCTGCTAGCCTGCCATTATCACGTCAGCGTCTAAGGCCCTTTAAAGTAGATGTTTCGGCCTTGAAAGTGCTTGTAAGGGCGGGAGAGCCGGGCATTTCCTGGGATGGGGCTTGAAACGGGGTCAAACCGTCGAGAGTAGATGGAAATTCACGACACAGAACTGCAACAGAAGCTGGATTCTCTCTCTGTATCTCTATCTCTTTTTTCTCTCTTTCTCTCTCTCTCTCTCTCTCTCTCTCGCTCTCTCTGCACTTTGAACACGAGTTGTACAGCACCTGAGCATGACAATGTATTGAGTAACAACTTTAAGATGAAGCCAGCGAGAGATAGCGAGAGAGAGGGAGCGAGAGAGAGAGAAAACAGAGAGAGATAAAGGCTGCGAAAAACCAGGAGAGAGGTAGGGAGAAGAAAAGAAAGATAGGGAAAAATGACAGGCTAGCAGCGTTTTTTAGGGATCAGAAAGCTAGCAGGAATTCTTTAGGTAAAGGCCGGCTAGCAGCGATTCCTTGAGAATCCACCGAACACCACTGGACCCATTTGAGGCCTTTTGAGGGAGCGCGTAGGTGGTGAAAAGAGGATGAGGCCGAAGAGGAGCTCGAGGTCAAGGCAATTTCAGCCTGCAAACAAATTGGATGCGGAATTTGGCGCCCGCGGGGCGGCGCCAGACGCCAATGGTCCCCCGTTTTTAGTGTGGGAATGTTGAGAAAATGCTAGAATGCCGTTGAAATTCCTCAAGAATCTCTGCTAGCATGCCCTCGTTAAAGGGAAGGTTCAGCTTGGAGATATGGGAAAGCGGAGGCAGGCTAGCAGAGACACTTGAGGATGGGGGCTAACTTTAGGATAGGAAGCAGAAATTTTTAGTGTCGTGGGCAAACTAGCAGAGATTCCTCAGGAACAAAATTAGGCTTCTCAAGGGAAGCTAGCAGAGATTCTTTAGAAAATGGAGGCTAGCATAGATTCTTCAGGAAAGAGTAGGCTAGCAGGGATTTTTTGGGAGAGGGAAAGCTAGCAAAAACTCCTGAAAGGGGCGGGGCTTCGCCATAACTCCCTCAAAACACAAAAAATGCAGCATCGCCACTGAATGAATGGTGTGGTGGTGGTTGTGAGAGAGGGGTAAAGAGGAGCGTTGGGGAAAAGCGGATCGCATCGGCCGGTTGAAGGGGGGACGAAGTGGGAGGAGATCGATTTGAAAGGAAATGGAGTCGACCGGACCGGGACGGACGGACCGCAGGCCGCGGAAATGTGCAAAACTGCCCCGATGCCAACAGCAAAAAACAAGACCGGCGCATAATACAATTTTGGGCGCACTGTGGGACCAAAAAATCTTTCTATAGGTTTTTCGACTTTATTAATTTCTTATTTTAAGTTTATTCCTTAGGGTTGGGCTTTTCTTTGGCTTTGTTTGGGCTTCGGCTTAGGCTTAGGCTCAGGCTTAGGCTTAGGCTTAGGCTTAGGCTCAGGCTTAGGCTTAGGCTTAGGCTTAGGCTTAGGCTTAGGCTTAGGCTTGGGCTTAGGCTTAGGCCTAGGTTAGGCTTAGGCTTGGGCTCACGCCTAGGCAAGACTTTAAAGGACCATTGAAGGCAAGGGAAACGAAAAATACATAGGCGGGCTAGCAGAGATTCTTTAGGAAAACACAAAACTGAACACGGCTATTGTGTTCAGTTGAGAGCGAAGCGAGAGACGGGGGAAATCAGTATTTCGGTGGAGGGGTTTCGAGAAGCGGGGAGGCTGGGAAAACAATGGGTCCCGAGACGCCGGGCTGGGGGTCTACTTTCCCTCGGGGCACTGTTTAGACAGCACAGGCGCCTCCGATGGGGGGTCCGTTCGGAGGTTTCCGAGCGGAACGCTGACCTTTCCAAATCAAAATAAATTATTTGCATGGGGCAGACTAGCAGAGATTCTTTAGGAAAGGAGAGGCTTGCAGAGTTGCTTTAGGAAAGGGCCGTAAAAATTAATATAGTGCCCCAAAACCCCGGGTCTGAAATCAAAACCTCTCCCCGCAGCGAGAACAGCCAATTACATAGCTGCGGGCTATGCGAGTGCGCAAGAAACATTACAACCCCTCGGGGGGAGCGATCCCATTCCCGAGTCATGTCGATTTGCCACAACTGAACACATCAAAAACTGGTCGGGAGGGGATGGGTTCGAGGAGTTCTTAAAGAATCTCTGCTAGCCGCTCTTGCATAAGGAATTTCTGCTAGCCTACCCTTTCCTAAAGAATCTCCGCTAGTTGGCTCCCAGGTGGACTAGAAACGTGTAAAAACGAGTCGCTTGAAAATCAAAAGCGTAGGGAGAGAGCGCACGAGAGAGAACAAGAGAGAGAGAGAGAGAGAGAGAGAGAGAGAGAGAGAAATCGTGTCCAGGAATGGTTCTGCTTCCGAGTTTGCAGGCCATCGGGGGAATCGAGATAAGAATCGAGGGACGGAGAGCTATGCCTCATGGAATATTTACTATTTGACGGGACAGCTCTCTGACCACTCCCGCCCGGGAAACGCGCTTTTTAAGGTAAAAAAACCGGCGGGCAGGCTAGCAGAGATTCTTTAGGAAAGGGTAGGCTACCAGAGATTCTTTAGGAAAATCATTCTTCAAAGCGATTGGCCGAGATTTTCGTGGGCCACTCTCCCCTTGATCACCTTGGCAACCCGTTGGCCACCCGGCTGGACTATGTGTTTGTCCCCTGCTGCCGTTTGGCGCAGCGGAAAAAAAAAATCATTGAATATCCAGATTTTCTACTTGCTATCCCCAGAAAAATGCAATTTTCAAGAGCTAAAAAGCGAAAAATTACGCCATAAAATGATCCACATGTTTAGAAGATAGAATTTTCGGTTTTTAGCAACTTAAAACGATCGTAAAATTCTTAAGGCACCTTTATCACGGGAAAACGCCAAAATCCCGGCATACAAAATCCCGGCGACTATAATCCCGACAGCCCAAAAGCCCGAGGTCCAGAAACCCGAAAGTTTTAAAACAATTTTTCAGTAAAACCACCGCAAATATCCCATTTAGCTGTCGGGATTTTGGCTGGAATCCCTTCATCCGCCATAAAAAAATGAAAAATACATTTCAAAAAGACATCAAACGCGCCGTGGCTGCCGATAAATTGCCCCCGGCTGACCCTAGCTGGTGTCCGGTGTCCCGCATTTGGGGCGGGTGGGTAGGTGGGCTGTGTCCACCTGTGTGCCAGGATGAGCCCTCAGGGCACAAAGAGGAGAGAGAGCGAGAGAGAGAGAGAGAGAGAGAGAGGGAGAGAGAGGGCACTATGAACACAAATAGCCCCCCAACGCTAGCCAACCCTTCAGGTAAGCCCCCACCCTTCGACCCTCCCATTCAACCCTTGAAGCCCGCTATTACCCGCTCCTTTCCTAAAGAATCTCTGCTGAGACATCCCAATATATATCTTTATTAACATAAAACTCGAGATCAAAGCACATTTTGGCATTGTGTTCTGAAAATAGAAAGTGAAGGAGAAGCTTCTTTTTTGCTTGAGCTTATCATCGAGAAAGAGACAGGTTTTTGAGCAACGGCAATCGAGGGGATTTGGCAAAGAAAGTGGATGAAAAATGACGTAGATCGCTCGAAACAGAAAAAGTTTAAAATGCACGTGGACGAGAAAAACAGTGTTCAGCCGAGTCGCACCCGATCCGATTGTTTCCGATATGATACGGTGTTCCGGTCGCCGGACAGGCTTCCTAAAAGTGGGAGCTGAATGAGAATGGAGGTACAAGCAATCGCTTCTATGCTACCTGTTCTAAGCTCGAAGCCTAAGCCTAAGCCGGTTCAAAAGCCAAGCCTAAGCCGAAGTCCAAACCTATGCCTAAGCCTGAGCCTAACCTAGGCCTAAGTCTCAGCCTAAGCCCAGCCTAAGCTCAAGCTCAAGCCTAAGCATCCCTTACCATTCGCTTGAAACGACTTGAGGCTCGTGTTGCTGCCAATGGGCTTTGCGGAGAAGCTCTCCTCATCCGGCTGGTAGGCTGCGTTCTGAAAACGGTATTAAGTTAAAGCACCCCAAATCGCTTCGGGGCAGAGATCTTTTGTCCCAGAGGGCCTCTCGCAACGGCTAGTTGACAAGAGGAATCCGGCTATGGATTTGTCTTCCTAGTCCCTTGAAACCGACCAGATGGCCCTTGGTCGACAACGTCTCGACGCCGTCGGCATCTACCGTAATCGGGTTGTACATGGTGTGGACGGCGGAGCGCTTCTTGGCCAGCCCGCTCTGGATTCGTGACATGCGTGATTTTTTGCGAGACGGTGGACGAGCTGAAGATTCAGTTGTGGGATAGCAGAGATTATTTGGGGAAGGGCAGGCTAGCCGATATTCTTCAGGAAACGGCAAGCAAAGGAACACTCACGCGGTAACGGTTCCTCGAAGCGCTTCGGAAATTGCGTGGCCGTTGGTTGTTGACTTATTGGGGGTGTGATGGCCTTTACCGGCTCCATGTAGCCCTGAATTTGATGAAACAATAGCGACAATTCTCCAAGCCTCTCTGCTAGCCTGCCCTCCCTTAAAGAATCTCTGCTAGCCGGCCCCACCCACCGGTCGCTTCAACGGCGGCAGCCTCGGCTGCTCCCGGACCACGGCGTCGGCGAGGATGTCCGACGACGAGCTGGCCGGCGAGGAGGAGTCGTCTGAAAAGGGTGGGATCGTCGTCGTCCTGTGAGGGACATACACTTGGTGTTCTTCGGCGTCCGGGCCAGTGCGGCCAGGGGTGGGGAGGCGATCATGCTGCCGCTTTTTACGGTTTCGGGAATGTCGTCAAAGACTTCGGAGCTCAATTGGCTGCCGCCGAATCTGGAAGGGTGATTTTCTCCAAAAATCTCTGCTAGCCTGCGCTTTCCTTAAGCGTCTCTGCTAGCTTACCGTTTCCTAAATAATCTATGCTAGCTTGCCCTTTCCTAAATGATCTCTGCTAGCCTCCTTCCCCCCTCCCAAAAGCTCACTGATTCCCCTGCATCGTGTCAATGGAGTCGGCAGAAATCCGTGAGGGACCGGGCTGGGGCTCCTGAAAGGCACAGAATGGATTTCCAAGTCGATCCTGGCTTGTCAGTCCCTTTAAAACGACTCCACGCTACCGTACCTCGTCAATAGACGCTACATCATCGGGCCGCATCTGGAAATGATCGGCTTGCGGGGTCTTCGGAGTTTTCGGGGTCTTAGGTGTTTCCTGCTTCGCGTCGCTCGGCATCGGGTAGACGGTCTAAACATAGTTACGATATTTTCAAGGAGCTCTAACGGTAAATCCATAGCTCCTGGACCCTAGCTCCTTGCCTTGAATGGCCCTTTAAAATGTGAGATGTAATGTGAGTGACCTCAACAATTTCGTTGCGCGTGTGAAGTTCGCTCATCGTTGTCGGAGGCCGGGGCTCAGGAATTTCCCTCTTTTCTTTGGAAGTTTCTGCTTCTTCGGCTTCTTCGCGCTGGCGTCTGAAAGAGGGAGGCTAGCAAAGATTGTTTAGGAAGGGCAGGCTAGCAGAGATTCGTTAGGAAAGCCCGTAAACTTACTCCAACTCAGCCAATCTGATCTTCCTCCTCATCCGGTCCTGCTCCTGCCGCTCTTTCAACTGGAATTCATGAAATTTCATAAAAATCCATAACGCTAGCATACCCTCGCTTCGGCCTCCTGCACCTTTTCATTCAGCAACCCGTAGTCGGCGATGATCTGAAGATGGAGGATAGAGAGAGAGAGGGAAAGCGAGAGAGAGAGAGACAGAGAGAGAGAAAGAGAGAGATTTTCCCTCACCTGCCGAACCAACACGACCAACCCATCCAGAATCCCGTGCTGATGCTTTTTCGAATGCCTTGCCAAGACCGAGCGTGGAGGTTGACGGACCTTGTCGAGCTGAAAGGACGATTTGAAAGGATGATTGAAGACAAATCTAGCCCCGCTCCTTTGATTTTGGCTCCAAGCCAACCCGAGCTACAGTACCCTCCTCGCAAATCCAAAAAAATGGTCGGAGCGCGTTCTTTCGCCCCAAACGGGTCCCACAACGGCCTAGGGCTCGGTTGGCTGATTACCTAGGGTCTATGGGCTATGGATTTGCTTTCAGCGTTCCTTTAAAGCTCTCCACTCACATGTCCGTCATACTCGTCGAGGTGGACGAGGAAAAAGTGTTGGTTGTAGTCGTGGGAGAATTGTTGAAGTTGGGCCTAAAAGAGGGCTTGGGTTCCTCAAGAATCTCTGTGGGTCTTGCCTTTTCCTAAAGAAACTTTGCTAGCTTGCCCTTCCTTAAAGAATCTCGGCTAGCCCGCCCTACCTCATTCGTGAAGGTGATTTCATCAAAGTCGAAGTTCGTTCGATTCAGTACGATCAGGCAGGGCTTCCCTTTGATGTCGGGTTCGGTGAGGAGTTTCTAAAATGGCGTATGGCGAGAGAGAGAGAGAGAGAGCGAGAGAGATAGCGGGAGATAGAGAGATACAGAGGGAGAGAGGGAGAGAGGGCGAGAGAGAAAGAGAGAAAGAGAGTGAGAGAGAGCTTTGGGATAGCGAGGAGAGAGAGAGTTGAGAGAGAACGAGAGAGAAAAATGACAGGTGACCTACCTTCAGTATTGCAATGTTCTCCTGTAACCTCCCGCTTTTCGAGGTGTCGACCACGTAGATGAAGCCATGGACCTGAAAGAACCTTGACTTGCCGGGTCCTTTAAACCCTAGAAAACGCGTTTTTGAAGCTACAGGCGTGCCAGCAGAGATTCTTTGCGAAATTTTGGACCTGACTGGTCCTGTAAAAACAGAATCGGTTTTTGGCATGCTAGCAAGGGGTTCTTTGCGGATTTTTTAGCTTCCTGGCTCCTTTAATGCTATATTAAAGCCAAACCTCTGCATAATAATTCCGCCAGATGTCCCGGATCTTCTCGCCACCCCCGACGTCGTACACCTTTAATCGATACTCCCGGTCGAAGCCCATCTCCATCAGCGAGAAGCCGTTCGTCGACAGCACGTTGCGCGGCGATTCTAGCAATAGTAATTATTCACCTTGAATTTTTAAAATAAAAAACAACAAGAGTTCACTTACCTCCTTTCATCATCTTCAGCACGGTCGTCTTGCCGGCCGCGTCAAGACCGAAGCAGGCAAGGGCTATTTCGCTGAAAATGCGTTGTTTCGTTCTCTCTCTCTATTTCTCTGGCTTTCTCCCTATCTCTTTCTCCCTATCTCTCTCTCTCTTTCTCTCCATATCTCTCTTCTCTCTCGCTATCTCGCTCGCACTCTGGCTCCCTCTCTCTCGCGCGCGCTCTCTCTCTCTCTCTCTCTCAAAGAATTTTTTAGGCAAGGGCAGGCTAGCAAAGATTCTTTAGGAAGAACCGACTCACCGCGTCGGCTGCACCTTCCTTGTGCCACAACAATTGCCCATCGGACATCACTTGGGATGGCCGCGCTGGGGGGAGGGCTTCTATGCTAAAAATGATTCAAGATCGAAAATACATTTTAATCAAATAAAAAGCACACTGTACAAATTAAAAAATAAAGCCTTGAATGGCTAAGACACCGAAAACCGAAATAATGACACTTGTTGAACTCGAAAATAAAGCTCACGCGTTTAGAAAATCAAGTTTTACGAGACCTTAATCTGCAAGATTTACAATCTAAAACATTCAAAAATCATACTAAGAATCAAAAACGACGGATAAAGCCCTATATGCGAATCGCAAAGGGGCGTTCGGCTGGGGGGCAAAAGGGCGGCCCCATCCGCCTTCTAGGGAGGCTGAATCGTCATGGCAACAACACTGACAACTCGAATATGTTCCTTTCGCGCGCACTCTCTCTATCTCTCTCTATCTCTATCTCTCTCTATCTCTCTCTCTCTCTCTCTCTCTCGCTCTCTCTCTTCTCTCTCTCTCTTCTCCGTCTGTCCATATCTGCCCAATTAATTTGGCAATCTGCCCTCCGCGCAATTAACTTCACAACCTGCCAAAATTAAGTGACTAGAAGGAGACCAGGATAAGCCAAAGGGTAGCGGGAGAAAGAGAGAGAAAACAGAGAAAGAGCGAGAGACCGAGAGAGAGCGAGAGAGAGAGAGACAGAGAGTGACAGGGAGAGAAAGGACGATATCTGACGTTCTCCGCAATAACCCGTTTATTCCACAAGACACCAAATAACATGTACACGTTTCATCAAACAATTCGGAATCGCAATTTGTAATGCTTCTTTAAAAATTAAGGGCAGTCATTAAAGCGTTGAGCAGGCGTTGAAGTTGGTAGAGGGAGGGGGCAGCTAGCAGAGATGGTTGGTGGAGCCTGGAAAAGGTGAATTTGATGAACTTTATAGGTTAGATGAAACTTTAGGAAATGGCAGGCTGGCAGTGGCGCCATGACAGCCGTCGTTTCTTCGCTGAAAACCTGCCGGGTCGCGTCAAAACAAGAATAGATTATCGTCTCGGCTCGACAGTCGCATCGTCGACGACCAGCTAGAACAGCAAAATCAAAGTGTTCCAGAAAGCAAAAAACCCACTTGCTAATAAATTCGAGGTGGTCGTTCGGGACTTCGCCGTAGCGCTCCCAAAAATATAGCTGCATCACCCCGCAGCAGAAGATGAACTGCTCCATGGTCTGAAAGCTTGCCAAATAGGAGCCTATGCATAAGCTTTAGCCTAAGCCCAAGTCTAAATCTATACCTAAACCAAAGACTAAACGTCAACCTAAGCCTCAGCCAAGCCTAAGCTTACGCCTACGCCTAAGGCTAATACCAAGCCGGGCCTAAGCCTAAGCCTATACACTTAAGCCGACGCCCCCAGCTCACCCTGACAGCGCCGTCGCGGCAGGCACGCAACCGTTCAAGCGTCTCGCGCTTCATCGCTTCGAGTTCAGTACGCTCCCCACGCGTGTCCATATGGGCGATCATCGTGGCGAGGAGCACCACGGTATCCGATCGACCCGTGTACGGTTCGTCGTGGAGCAGCAGCGTTCTGAAGGATCGGTTTTTCCCTCCTTGAATTCTGCTAGTCTGCCCGTTCTGAAAGAGTCGCTGCTCGCCTGCCCATTCTCGGAAAGTCGCACCTGACCGACTTGACGTCCCGCAGGTAGATGAGCAACTCGCACAGCGCCAGTTCCACGGCTGGACAGTCGTCTTTTGGCCAGTTGAGCACCTGTAGTGAATTGCAAGGTTTACGAGGTTCGTTACGAGGAGGTGCGTGACTTCTAGCGGCTCGCCACCACCATCTTTCGTCACCAGCAGATGACGGGCCGCTACCTCCAGGTGCTCCCGACGCTGCGCATAATTGAACTGGAATTGTTAATCTTCTTTATTGAACCTAAAGAATCTCTGCTAGACTGCCGTTTTTTCAGAATCTCTGCTAGACTGCCCTTTCCTAAGGAATCTCTGCTAGCCCACCTTTCCCGTCGCCGCGTTGCTGATCGTATACGCCCCAAAGAATTTCATCTCCCCTTCCACTTCCGGGTAGTTCCGCTTCCATTCGTCTTTTTCCGCTTCGCGCCGGATCAGCATGATGCCCTAAAGGCGGAGGGAAGGTGGGTTCTTTCGCATTAACGGGGGGACCAACTTTATTTAGGATAGAATTTTACAAATAGCTAGTGGAAGTGGGAAGTGTTTACAAATGGTTTTTACTATTTTTAGATGTGAAAACTTTCAAGATTTGCTCAAAAAATGTCACAAAATTTCCGGCCAAAACGGGGTCGATTTTGTACAGAAATTTTGACGTTTTCAAAATTTTCAAAAGTTCATGACTATTTCTTCTAGTCAAAATACAGCTATCTTTGCTAAAAACCATTAAAAAATTGTTATTAAGCTAGTAGACATTTCTAGACTGACACAAAAAAAATTTCGGTTCCCCCCGATAATGCAAAAGCACCGGGAAGGTGAAATACCTACCGTAACCTTTTCCTGGAATACCATAGCCCAGAAATCTTCGGAATTGGTTTGATTCGGGCTTTGCGCCAAGATATATTGCTGATCGGAATTGGGTGGACGGATCCAGTTGGCGTGGTAGAAGCCGTCAGGGTTGTTCGCCTCTTTCACATGGACACGCGTCGCATCCAGGCAAGGGATCGTCTGGCAGAGAGCATTTAGGAACGGGCAGGCTAACAGTGATCCTTTAGGAAAAGAAACCGTACCGAGTAGGGTTTGTGCAGTCTATCTTTGTATTTCGCCCATACTACGGCCTTTTCTGGAGCTGGGTCCGCAGGCTCACGCCAGGCATGCCTTGCCGCCTAAAGTGTGCTTCTAAAGGACCGTTGAAATCTAGCCTTGACTGTGCTTTTTTATCACACAGCGATACCAGATACGGGCCGTCGCGAATTAACTAAGCCTAAGCCTAAGCCTAAGCCTAAGCCTCGACGCACAGTGCGGTCGTCAGACGGTTAAAAAGTTAAACTTTTACAATTTACAGTTTAACTTTAAAAATCGAAAAAACTTTTTAAAAAGTTAGAAAAACGCTTGAAAAAGTCGAAAATTTGGGCATTTTTGGGCCGAAAAAAATGATTTTCGCCCTAAAATTAAATTTTTTTAATTAAATTTTGTAACTTTTTTATGTTTAGGAACAGCTATAAACAATTTAGAAACACTTCCACTATTTATGTAAAAAATATAGGCGTGGGCGGAAAAAAGTTCGGTCCTCCCCCCCGGAATACCTGAATGCCTATCAAAATCCAGAGAAAATATCCAGCAAAAGACCAAATTTCGCTTTCGAACGCGCTATCCCACACCAATCTTTCCAAAGTTTCCGGAAAACAGACCCTGGAACGAACGAAATCGGTGGGCCAGCCGGTACAAATTGCTCAAAAATCTGGAAAAATTATCGTATGGTACCCATCTGTCTGCCTGTCCGGGGGATATCTCAAGAAGGGACGGGTACAGGGGCGTAGCCAGAAAAAAATTTCGGGGGGGGGGCCCCCAAAAAAATTTTCCAAAAAAGTCAAAAGATGAACGAGAAAACAGCGCCGCAGGCAAAAATTTTTGAAAAAAGGTTGCATAGCTCCACAAATCGCCGTAAAAACGTAAAAAAAATAGCGCCGCAGGTAGCAAAATTTTTGAGAAACTGAAAATCATAAGGGTCCCCCCTTATGAAATTTTCGGGCCCCGGCCGATTTCGGGGGGGGCCCCGGGCCCCCGGGGCCGGTATTACGCTACGTCCCTGGACGGGTATTAGGCTACGTATGATTCGTCATTAGGTGCGTAATGGTCTAGTGATGACTGCACACATATCAGATTTTTTAAAAATTAGCCATTTTCGCTATTAAATTTAGGTTTTTTGTAAAAACCTCTTTGTTAGGAATAATTAGCATAGACTGGAAGTGGGCGGTCGCCTATATAAAGAGGCGGAAAGGGTTGTTTTTCATTTTTTTTTGTCCTGAATGGAGGACAATTATGCAAAGGAAAGAATAGTATGGGGTCCGAGACGGGGCCAGGGTTGAAAAGTCGCGAAGCGGTTGATCCTACGCTCAATTCCGTGCCCGCGACATCTTTTCCCCAGTCGACGGTCCAGATACGTCGGGGGCTCAAGCTGAAAAACAGCTAGTTTGACTGGCCTGCCTCCTCGGATCGTGGCGGAGGAGCTAGTTTTCGGGTTCTTTCGCATTATCGGGGGGAGACGGCAAAATTTTTTTATACGCGTCTAGAAATGCTAATGGGAAGCTTTCTATTAATGCCTTTAACCAAACAAAATTGTATCTAAAGTAGCAAACTGTCTAAAAAATCTCAAATTGCGCAAAAATGGCGATTTTTGGTCGAAATCGATATTTTTTTAGTAAAATTGGTAAGAGTCTAGAAAACCCCCCCCCAGCCGGCACCAACTTTTGTATCTCGGCCCCCCTTTGTGCTAGCGAGCTCTAAAGTATACCAAAATGTTCGCCGTAGGCTAATTAGTAAGACTACATTGCAGTTCAGTCGGAAAAAGTAGAGAAAAATAAAAATAAGGAAGGTAGAAAAGTTGAAAAGTCGGCTGGGGGGGGGTTTCCTAGACTTGAACCGTAAAATTTTGTAAAATTGTGTTTCAGGAACAGTAAAAAGCAGTTTAAAAACACTTTCGCGATTCAAATTGAAAATATGAAAGTAAAAGGAAAAAATCTGGTCCCCCCCCCGATAACGCGATAGAACCAGATAGAAAATTTCAAAGGATTTGGCTCCCTGCTGCCAGCTATCAAGACCCACGGGCGATTCTTGTCACGATTTCGCCGGCGCTTCGGCGGCGGGGTGAAGGGCGGTGGCGCCGGCGCGGGCACGGGCGCAGGTGCAGCCGGGGGTGCTTCGGCAGGCTTCTTCTTGAACCGGCAGCAGCTCCGCTGCGTAGTCGTCGACCTAGGCGGACAGCTGCAGGGCATGCTAGCGTAGATCGTTAGGTAGGACTGCAGACCCCCCCCCCCCGCACCGCAGACCCCCCCGACCTGCATTTTTTGGTCACCAACTCTTACGTGCTCCGGGTCTTCGGCTGCTTCACCGCCTCGCTGCCGCCAAGCTGCGGGGTCGTTGACCTGAAAGAATCGGCCTAGAGTAGACTAACAGGCAATTTTTTTGCTGCCTTGGCTGCAACTTACGCTTTGGCGGGCTTTGGTGGCTTCTTCGACTTGCAGCAGACCATCCAATCGGAAAGCTACCGTCAAAGTAGCTTTTCCGGCCAAAAATTTATTGTCTTGCATTCCAAATTGCGAATGCAGAACAAGAGGCTCAAAGAGAGTGCGAGAAAGAGAGAGGGCGAGAGAGAGAGTGAGAGTGAAAGAGATTATTTAGCTTTTTTGGACATTCCTTGAGGAAGTTTGAGGAAGTTTTTCTTGGACATCCCACTCGACGACGCCAAAATCCGCTTCAAAACCATCAAAAAAAAAATCTGAGACCCTCAATCTCTCTGGTTCTCTCGTTCTTTCTCGCTCTCCCTTTCTCTCTCTCTCTACCCCTCCCTCTCTCTCTCTCTCTCTCTCTCGCCACAACTCGATCCGCATCCGGAAAACCAGGTCCAGCTCCAGTTTTTCGTATAGTCATTTCTTCGCCCTCCATTTTCCAATTTGGCAGTTCCCAGACCACGAAAAATTTCCCCTAAAAGTGCACCGAATTGGCCCGCTTGGATCGTAGCCCCGAAGCGGAGCCATATTCCCAGGAAATTACCTCCAACGGAGTTGCCATAGTGTTCGCTTCGACAATCCAGACGCCTCTATTTTTGGGGATTGATACGGTTTTAAGGCAGGTTTTGAGCGTTTCTCAACGAATCTCTGCTAGCCTGCCCTTACCTGAAGAATTTCTGCTAGCGTGCCCTTTCCTCGGAAATTCCTGCTAGCCTGACAGCCCCCCAAATCCCTCGTTGGCCTCGATTTTCAGACCCAAAAGGAGTCATAGAAACCCCGTGGGCAACAACACGCTCATTAGCATATTCCACCTGGCGCCTGGCGCCGCGCGGGGCCAAAAAATGCAGGTGGAAAGCGGGTAGATGGCAATGTCGCGGCTGTTTTTCACTTTTTTGGCATTTTTGTATTAGTGTTCGTTTGGTTACGGTAGTTTTGATGAGTGAAGAGAGAGAGAGAGGGTGAGAGAGTGAGAGTGAGGGATAGAGAGGGCGAGAGAGTGAGAGAGTGAAAGAGAGTGAGAGCGAGAGAGAGACACACAGAAAAAGAGAGCCCCATGTTTTCGAATTTTGATGCTATTCTCTGGTTTGGCATCGGTGTTTTCTATTTTTCGCATCGGCATACGGTATCCGTGGCTACAGCTCGGGATTTATGGCTTCGCCGCGGGTTTTTGGGGTTTCATCATGACGAGAGTGAGAGATAGACTAAGGGCAAGAGTGAGAGAGTGAGAGCGAGAGAGAGTGAGGGCGAGAGGAGAGAGAGCGTCAAAAAACCCAGCCGACCACGGGGTTTCCCCTGGTAGTGGAAGTCGACGGTTGCTGCCGAGCAACCCGATTTCGGGGGCCCAAACACACCAGAAATCCGGGCTGGACCCAGGTCCAGAAACACTTCAAGACGGACTTCAGCTAGGGTGCTATATAATGCGCGTCAACGGACTTTGGTGTCGGGCGTTCGGGGTTTTTCATGGTATCTACCGTATCCAAGAATTTTCCGTCGCAGAATCTCTGCTGTCATCTCTTTCCTAAAGAACTTTGCTAGCCGGTATTTTCCTAAGGAATCTTCGCTAGCCTCCGATTTCCTGAAGCGTCTCTGCTGGCCTGCCCTTGCCTAAGGAATCTCTGCTAGCCTGCTCTGTCCTAAAGATTCTCTGCTCGTTCCTTGAGCTACAGTATGCCCGAAGTTGTCGAGTTCGCAGAACTTCTACCAGCCTGCCGTGTGCTCTACCGTTTTTTGCCTTCCAGGTCCCTTTAAAAAGCTTTGATGCCAGGGCAAACTGGCAGGGGTTCTTGGGCGATTTCATGGCTTTTAGCTCTCAATAGTACTATCGAAACTTCTCCTCTAGCCCCGGAAAAAGTTATTAGCAATTACGAGGTTACTCATATCCTGGGAGGCCAGCGAGGTCGAGACTCGTAAATCGGAGTAATTAGTAGCACTACGGAGAGAGAGAGAGAGAGAGAGAGAGAGAGAGAGAGAGAGAGAGAGGGAGACAGCGCGCGTTACTTTTCCGGAAGAAGGGAACCAATCAGCTCGCTGGGGCCACACCCCCAGATAGTTGAAGCCCCACTCGGATACCTGGGAAAATCCGGAGCGCCCAGACCTAATTTCGTAGCCCCACATCGGCTATACACTTTTTCAGTGCGTTTTTTTTACTTTTTACGACCCTGGCCTTATTGGTTTTCTGGGGAACCGATCGCCGAGAACTCGCCGATCAGCCGGGCCGTTCCTCGGGGTTTCAAGAGAGCGAGACAGGAAGCAAAGAATCTTCGCTAGCTTGCCGTTTCCTAAAGAATATTTGCTAGCTTTCCCAGACAATCGTAGCCTGCTCGAAACCTAAACATCTTCAAGGCGCAGGATATCAGCAGAGGATCCAGTTTCTCCAAGGATTTCTGCTGGCCGGCCCTATTAGACTTGCCGATTTTTCAAAATTTACCTCATGGCCCCTTTAAACCCAAGGTGAGCGCTCGAAGGCCCGAAGTCTGAATATCGCCTCTCAGGGCCCTTTAGCCTTAGCCTAAGCCCAAGCCTATGCCTAAGCCCAAAGTCTAAGCCCAGGCCTAAGGCTAAGCCGAAGCTTAAACTAAAGCCTAAACCCGAGCCTAAACCCAAGTCTAAGCTAAGCCTCGGCTTAAGCGTCCGCTGATCACTAAGCCTAAGCCTGAGTCGAAACCTGAGCCAAAGCCTGAGCCGCCTACGCCGCATAAGCATAAACCTAAGCTATAACTAGACGAAAAACTTAAGCCTAAACCGAAGCTTAAGCCTAACCTAGACCTTAACTCAAGAAAACCGAAACCAAAGTCCAGAACTTTCACCTGCTGCCGTTTTTCGGGGCGGCAGCCACCGCGAAACCCTAGCGGAAATCACGAGGCCGGCCCCCGATTTCGCACGCAAATATATTTCTTGGCGTCGACTCCCGGTAGCCAATTTTCCATGGTAACACCACGGGCCTATGAAAGCTAAGGGGGTATCCGCCGCGTTTTTGCCGGGCTTCATTTATTTCAGCGGGGCTTCAATACCACCGGGGCGGGTCAGTTTTTTGGTCGGTGAGCGGGGATATTTTTAGGGGGATTTTCGGGTAAAGGAAAAATTACGCATGGTTTGGGAGTCCAATGATCTCTGCTAGCATGCCCTCAAAAAGAAGACGACGCCGGCCTTTTAAAGGGATATGGAAGTTTCAAAACGCTGTCGGAAGGATGCTTAGACTTAGGCTTAGGCTCGGATTCGGGGGTTTATTATTTTTTTGGGTGGTGCCCCCCGAAATCTCGGCTCCGTACGGGCCTGGGTATACTTCACAGCTATGTAGGTCGATTGGGGCTCGGTATCTCAAAAACGTTAGCTACCCGCACTAAACGGACCCAAAATTCGGACCCAGCACAAAAAACTGGTCTAGAAAAAGCAAAACTCTATTCACGCCCGCCTTGCTGACTCGTGAAGTTCCCGTGGCCACAGGAACGACTGGTACAGCTTACCTTGCATCACCGGCCTGCCCTATCCCTCGCACGTCACCTCAAGGGTGGGTGGTCTGAGATTCGGACAGAAGAGTTCCCGACAGTGAGAACCGCCGTACCGGAGCGCCTTACACAGCTTACGCCCGCCCGACCGAATACGCACCCCTACGCATAGGTCGGGACAAGCCAGCTGCTGTTGTGGGACATAGATGAGCGGCGCATCCCTTCCTTTGGGGGAAGGACCTGGAATAGTCTCCTGATTCCGGGATGCCGTACCCCTCATCAACCGCTCTCAGGCTTGTCGGTGACTCGGGGAGGACACATGCGCGGGCGAGGGTGTGGCCAATCTTTCTTAAATACCCCCCTCCCACGGGGTGGGCCAGGTGGGGGGCGTTTCGGGGACAAGGGGATGGCATCTGGTACAAGCCCTCTAAAATGGCTGTATTTCGCTCGATTTTTCTGAAATTTTCATCACGGATCCGGAACGTCAACAGCTATCCCTCCTATAAGTTCAGAGCCAAAAACTGGAAGCCGAGGGCTGTTAGATCGATTAAACTTCGCATTGAAAAATGGCCGCATAACCCTTTCCAGCGACTTATTTTCAAAATGTGGAAAAGCATAATGTCGAAATTTCATAATTTCGAAATTTCATAATTTCGAGTGATACAGCATTTCCGAAAAATCAGCATTTACATCCGAAAAATTAGGATCAACGCTAGGGTTATGGGGGTCCGGGCAGCAACACCCGAAAAAGTAGGCGCGCTGCCACGCTCTATACAATTTTCTATTATTACCAGGGTTGAAAAGCCGCTTCGCGACTTTTCAACCCTGCCCCCCCCGTCTAACCCCCATGCTGCACTTTGCATAAACTCCTGAATTCCTGTGCAAAAAATGAAAAGCTCCTCTACGCCATTATATAGGCTTCCCCCACTTCCGGTTCATGCTAATTGATTCTTAACAAAGAGGCCGAGCGAGATTTTCACAAAAACTTAATTTTAATATCGAAAACAGCTGATTTTTAAAAATCTCATATGCGTGCAGTCGTGTCATGACCATTACTCACCTAATGACGTATCATACATACCCTTAACTTCCTCCCCTATTGAGATACGACTGGAACATACAGACGGAAGTTGTATTCAAATGCACACACACACACAAACACTATTTTTTTATATATAGTAGGATTTCTTTATTTCTCGATTCGCCTTCAAATTACAATTTTCATAATCTTAATAAATTTTAAAAGTCAAATTTTAGCCTCAAAAACAGTCTTGTCTCCCGATTCCACGATGCACCGATGGACAGCGCTCGCGGCCGTTATGGTCACCATCTTCGCAGTCGCTTCCGGCCAGACGATTCAGTGCTTGAAGGGAGAGGTGGCTGGAGCCATCACGACCTCGCAGATTGTGGGTTTTTCAAGAAAATGGGCAAGCAAGCAGAGATCATTTAAGAGGTAGGTTAGCAGAAAACATTCACCAATTCCAGGCCGCAGCCGTACTATGCGGAAACTGCGCCTACTGCCTGAAGCTGGACGGTCAGCGAGGAGGCCAGACCTACCAGTACCGAGACTGCGGCTGCCTTAACCAGTACCAGTACACCTGCTCGGTAAGGAGCTTCGCTCTTCTCTCTCTCTCTCTCTCTCTCTCTCTCTCTCTCTCTCTCTCTCTCTCTCTCTTTCTTTCTCTTTCTCTTTCTCTCGCTCTCTCTCTCTCTTTCTCTCTTTCTCGCTTTCTCTCTCTCTTGCTCTCTCTATCTTACTTTCTCTCTCTATCGCTTTCTCTCTTCCTCTCTCTTTCTTTCTTTCTCTCTCTCGCTCTCTCTCTCTCGCTCTCTCTCGCTCTAATCCACCTTTTTTAGTCCACCGCTACCATCCAAAACCCCAGCGTCAGCGGCTTCACCGGAAGCGCTTATTGCTGCAATGGTGGGTGAAGCCTAAATTTTGCTTTAGAATCCCTGTTAGCCTGCCTTTCCTAAAGAATCTCCACTAACCACGATTTCCAGGAAACTCCTGCAACTCGGGCTCCTCGATGTCGGTGATGCTCGGCCTAGTTGGAGTCGGGCTCACCGCGCTTTTCAGATAAAAACAAGGCTCCACCTCCAAACTCCTGTTTTAAAAAAAGCGCTCAACCCTAACCCCGAGAAAAAAGTCTCCGTTTCTCTAACCCCTCCCAATCCCTGGCTCTGACTTCCAAGTCCCTTTAAACATACCACCTACAGTAACCCGATCTCTTTTCATCAAAACCTGTGATTTTCAAATCTTTCAACTTCCCAGCTACATCGGTTTTTAGCATGAATTCCCCCAAAAAAACCCACATTTCCGTTGGATATATGCAAATTTGGTGACAACAATTGGTGAATAAACTTTTTAAGATCTTTCCCAAAGAATCTCTGTTAGCCTGCCCTTACTAAAGAATCTCGGCTCGCCTGCTTCAACCTTATTCGATTTTCGCTTGTCATTTAAATTAATTTTATTCACAGCATTAAATAAGACACCGGGTTTCAAAAATGGGGGGTGCAAAATCGTGGTCCAAATCACAATGCTTGGGTACAGGCTTAGGCTTAGGCTTAGGCTTAGGCTTAGGCTTAGGCTTAGGCTTAGGCTTAGGCTTAGGCTTAGGCTTAGGCTTAGGCTTAGGCTTAGGCTTAGGCTTAGGCTTAGGCTAGGCTTAGGCTTAGGTTAGGCTTAGGCTTAGGCTTAGGCTTAGGCTTAGGCTTAGGCTTAGGCTCAGGCTTAGGCTTAGGCTTAGGCTAGGCTTAGGCTGGGTAGGCAGGCTTAGGCTTAGGCTTAGGCTTAGGCTTAGGCTTAGGCTTAGGCTTAGGCTTAGGCTTAGGCTTAGGCTTAGGCTTAGGCTAGGCTTAGGCTTAGGTTGGGCTTAGGCTTAGGCTTAGGCCTAGGCTTAGGCTTAGGCTTAGGCTTAGGCTTGGGCTTAGGCGTAGACTTTGGCTTCGGCCAAGGGATGGTTTTGGGTTAGTGAGAATAATTTTTGGTCAGAAAATCGGGGGAGCGGGAGGTGAATTTGCATAATTTTAGACGTAATACCTTGTTGAGCAAGTTTTCGGGGGAGTTGGCAAATTGGTGAGGGATGAAGGTGGGGCTATTTTTCAGTGGTCAAAGGCATTTAGCGAGTGTGGAGGGCCAAAATCGAGCCATCGTGCTCGCGCTGAACTGCTTGCCGACTCCGCTACAGATCGGTGGTGGGGGCGCCGCCGGTGGCCTTCCACAGCTGATGGCAGGGGCGGCAGAGGAGATGACCATTGAGGGGGTGGCACTGCTCGTTGTGGTCGTCGCCGAGTTGTTTGCCGCAGCCCTGAAAAGTTACGTGTGCTTTTAAAGGAAACTGGAATGCGCTTTCCTAAAGAATCCCTGCTAGTTTGCGTTTTCCTAAGGAAGCTTTGCTATTTGCCTACCTCACACGAGTAGCACTCCAGATGATAGTCATTTCCGAGGGCGACAACTCGCACAGTCTCCCCAGTTCCCTAAAAAATCGCATTAGTTTTGTACTTTGATCGCTCTCTATCCCGCTCTTTCTCTCTCTCCCTCTCTTTCTCGCTCTCACGCACTCTCTCTCTATCTCTCTCTCGCTCTCTCTGCATCTCTGTCGCTTTCTCTCGCTCTCTCTGTCTCTCTCTTGCTCTCTCTCTCTCCTCTCTCTTTCTCTCTCTCGTTCTCTCTTTCTCCTACCTTTTTCGGCATTATCGGCTTTCGACAAGAATGGCATCTCGGCGCGTACCGCTCATAGTAGTCGTCCGTACAAAAAATCTCAAACCGCGTTTTGAAGGGAGCATGACAACCGCAAGCTACCTTGTCCTGTTCATCTACCGCGAACTGAACCCCATCCAGGCACTTTCCGCATACCGAGCAGTTGAAGCAACCCGGGTGGAAGGACTTGCCGACGGCTTGCAGCACCTGGAATAGGGTAGGCTAGCAGAGATTATTGAGGAAATTTGGGGATAACGAGCTGAGATCTTTGAAAGTTACATACCATTTCGACGATTGGTTTGTGGCAGACGGCGCATTTGTCGGCCTTCTTGTGCAGCTCGGCGAGGAGGAAGTCTTCTTGGCACAGGAATTTGTCGTCGATGAAGTAGAATTTGAGGTCCCTGAAGAATGGCAAGCTATCAGAGATTCTTTAGGAAAAGCAGGCTAGCAGAGAATTTTTAGGAAGAACAGCTTAGCAGGGATTTTTCGGGGTGGGTAGGCTAGCAGAAATTTTTTAGGAAAGGGCAGGCTAGCAGCGTTCTTTGAGGAGCTTACTTCAGGTTCCGCTCGCACTGCTGGCACTTGAAGCAACCCGGATGATACTTTCTGTCCATCGCCACCGTAGCCTCGTCACCGTAGTACATCGCGTCCTTGCAACCGAAGCAGTTTCCTGAAATTTACAATTGATTTCCTGAAGTTTAAAGGGCCGTTGAAGGCAAGGCCAGCCCCTCGAGTTTTGGCAGCCAGCTAACCCCAGCTACAGTAACCCTCTTTGTAAATCTTAAAAAGTGCCCCGGGGACCGCTGTTTTGCCCAAACGGATCCCAGAACGGCTAAAGGGGTCGATTGGCTGATTACCAAGTGACCAAAGCTCACTTGCAGGGCCCTTTAAATCTCCGTCACTCACCGATCTTCTGCGCGTCCACCCGCATCCTATTGACGTCCTCGCGAATCTGGGCCGATAGACGCCCAAACTTCTCGTCCTGCTTGGCGAGGGCGGCGTCCATCTCTTTCCAGCGGTTGAGGCGATCCTCGCTGCTGAGGTGTGGCCTGGAAATGGGGGATAAGCTTGGGCTTAGACTTGGCTTAGGCTGATGCTTAGGCTTAGGCTTAGGCTCGGGCTTAGGCTTAGGCTCAGGGCTTAGGTTTAGGTTTGGGCTTAGGTTAGGCGCTTACCTTAGGCTTAGGCTTAGGTTGGAATTAGCTTAGGCTTAGGTTGGGCTTAGGCTTAGGCTTACTTCGGGCTCGGCTCCGCGGGTCCGATCTGCTTCTCACGCCCGTACTCCGGGTAGCTAATCCCGTTTTTCGGCAGACGATTTCCGGTCGAGCCACGTTCGGAGTACTCGCTCGTACTTGGCGAAGATGAGGTGTAGCGGGTGGGCGGACTGTTGAGGACGTCAACCTGAAAACGGGAGCATGAGCGTCCAGCAGAGATTCTTTAGGAAAGGGCAGTCTAGCAGAGCTTTTTGAAAATCTTGAATTTTTGCTTACCTTCGGGAAATTAGTGGCCTTCTGCTGGGTGGGCGTCTTCGGCGAGATCACCCCGTACGAAAACGTCTTGCCGACCATTTTTTGCTCTTCATCCACGCCACCGTAGCGCTCGGGCTCGGCGCCGTGACCGGGCTTGTAGTTGGGGGAGGCGGTCACTGAATTTATCGGGGTTAGAGGGCAAGCTAGCAAAGATTCTTTGGGAAAGAGCATGATCTCAGACTCACGAATCGTGGGCGGGTAGCTGGGCCTGGAGTACGAGTTGACTTCGTATTTTGGAGTGTGGCGATCGCTGTCCTTGGAATTCCGGAGAGTGGAGGGAGGGGATGGGGATTTTTGGGAAGAACCGGAGGAGTAGTCGCTAAATATTGGGCTTAAAGGGCCTGAGAAGGCAGAATCCAAAGGAATCTCTGCTAGCTCGATTTTCCTGAAAAATCTGTGCTAGCCTGCCTTTTCCTAAAGGATCTCTGCTAGCCTGTTGACTACACTACACTCCTCTTTACAAACCTGTAATTCCCATTCGAATATGCCGTATTCTGAGGTGACGGCAAGCTGGAGGCAGTGGCTGTGGAGCCACGCTAAAAATTATCTTTTAAAGGGCCGCTGAAGTCAAATTCCCACCGACGAGGGGCGATGGGGCTGTTGAGCTAGCGTCGTTTGCGCCACCTCCCTGGCGTAGGCTCTGAAGATTAGCGTTTTTAGATATTGGGAAGCTCGGTTTCTCTCGCTCTCTTTTTCTTTTTCTCTCTCTCTCTCTCTCTCTCTCTCTTTCTCTTTCTCTCTCTCTGCCTCTTACCTTCCCGAATCCACCGAGCTGTTCTCCTGGGCGCTCCACTGATTTTTCGGCCGTGACGCGGAGAGGACCTAGGAAAAAATTAGTTATTTGGCCCTTGAAAGGGTCACTGAAGGGAGGGAATAGTTTGGCCGATTCCCATGGGGTCTAGAGGCTGTGGATTTGACTTCCCGGTCCCTTTAAATGCCAACCAACCATTTGTCGGAGACCGGAAGCTTCTTCTCGGGATATTTCCTCCTTGGTGGCGGCGTTCATCTTCTTGCCCAACGACAGCATGCCGTTTTCGCTCGGCGGAACCGGGCCGGTGCGCATTTTCTGGAAAATGATGGTAATGGAAATTGGCTGCTAGCAGTGATTCTTTAGGAAAGGACAGGCTAGCAGCGATGCGTAGGTAAAGGGCAGGCTAGCAGGGATTCTTTGAGAAAGGGCAAGTTGGGCGAATCGGAAAATAGACGCAAAATTTCTTCGAGGTGCGCACTTGGTACTCTTACGGTTTTCGCTCCACTCTCTCTCTCGCTCTCTCTCTCTCTCTCTCTCTCTTCGCAAATATGCAAATTTACACACCGAGACTCTTGAGGGCGGGCGGCCCTTGTCCATATTCGGGGAGGAGGGCTGTGCATAGTCACGCTTCGGGGAGAATACTTGGAGGGAAAACCAACAGACAGACCGGATATCTCCGGTTGGTCCCCAATGGGGAATTCGGGTGCCCGCGATTTTTATGCGTTTTTGAATTCTGACTGACAGGGTCAAATTGGAGGAGGGAAGAGCAGAGAGGGCGAGAGAGAGTGAGTGAGAGAGAGAAACGGGAAGAAAGCGAGGGAGAGACATGCAGAACGAGAAAATCAGTGAGATTGAGAGAGAAACCGATAGAACAGTGAGAGCGAGGGAGAGAGAGAGAGATACAGAGAGACAAACATACAGACAATTTTTCACGAGTTGTTTCAAAGCATGGATTTTCCGTTTTAAAGGAATCGTGAAGCCAGGTCATGTCTTGGATTTCCTTTTTCTCTGCTAAATCGCCTTAAAATACCGCTTTCCTTTTCCGCCATTTTCCACCACTTTTTGTTCGCAGGGTCATGCCGGCAAAGGTTGCGCTTTGAAACAAAAGGCAGAAACAGAAAGAGGAAACAGGGAAAAGAGGCAGCGGATCGACGTGGAAAAAATGGTCTTCTGCGCCAGGCGCGGAAAGGGAAAAACTGGGGCTGCCCGTGAACACCTGGGCCCTTGTCTGGGGGGATGGATCGGGCGGAGACGATCTCTCGAGTCCAAAAACTGGTTTTTTTTGTAGCCGACATTGGGACCGGAATTTGGTAGAGCGTAAAACTGCGTAAAGGCGCAAACGTTGAAAAGCATTCCAGGGAGAAAAACAAGCAAAGATTGTTGAGGAAGTTCCATTACATCAAGGCAGGTTAGCAGAGACCATTTAGGAGGATTCGAAACAATTAAATAACAAAGTAAGTATAACATAGTAAAAATAGAAAGGGCATGCTAGCAGAGATTCTTTAGGAAAGGGCAGACCAATAGAGATTCTTTTGGAGATCTGACAAAAACTGGACATCCCTCGCACCGAATGTTTGCATAAAACTTTCAAAAAAACTGCCTGGAAAACTTAAGTTCCGGCTGAGTCATGGCCAGGCTGATAAGCGCGTCGACGAGAAGTAGAAGTTTGAAAAGTCGCAGCGCAAAAATCGTAAAATGATGGCGAGCTAACAGAGATTCTTGAGGAAAGGGCAGGGAGCAGAGATTTTTTAGGAAGGCGCCGGCTTACTTTTTGCTTCTCCAAGTTCAGCGCGTTTAGCTTGGTGACGATCTCGCTGGTGGAGGGGGAGCTTTCGGCGGGTTTTCCTGAAGACAAATTCATTTTTGTAAAATAGGAATGAAAAACTAACTAAATAAAGTTTAACAAGGCCTACCGAGCTGTCTTGGAGGTGGAGGCCTGCCGAACGACTCGAGCTCGTCGAGAAAGGCGACCGGATTGAAGTCGGCGGCCATGCTGAAATGGATCATTGCTGTTTAAGACTTGGAAACAAAAGGATGGAAATAAAAACAAAGCAAGGCACTGAGAGAAGATGCTTGAGGAATTTTTGGCGGCAGGCTAGCAGAAATTCTTTAGGAAAGGGCAGGCTAGCACAGACGCTTGAGGAATGGTTTGGCTGGGTGTGCAGGGCAAACAGGCTGGCGACAACACGTACGCCCCCTTTTGGGGCCAACCATGGTTCTGCAATCCCCCTCAACACAAACAAAAGACACGCCAACTGACACGGTAAACAGGAGAGAGAGACAGAGTCAGTGGGAGAGAGAGAGCGAGAGAGAGAGAGAGAGAGAGAGAGAGAGAGAGGGAGAGATAGAGAGAAATGGGAAGACAAACCCTAGTAGGGGCAACCAGCTTGCACCATTTGTGGTTGTGGTATGGAATGACGGGGTCAAACAAGGCAGGCTAGCAGGGTTTCTTAAGGAAAGGGCAAACTAGCAGAGATTCTTGAAAAACTCCTTGGCAACCGAAACATAATCGATTCGTCAAAAATCTACCCCGATGCATTTCGGAAAAATGCGCTCCGGGTGTCCTTATCAGGGGCGCCGGCCGCGCCGCGAATTTTACGACTCGAAGAATGCTGGTCGAAGCGGGGGGAAGAAAAGAGAGAAGAAGGGTTATGACCCCCCGGGTCGAGCAGGGCGGCTTGAAGAATTTTTCGGAAAATATTTTTTTTGTTTCTTGGGGCGCCACGGGGCTTTGCCGGGCACAAAAATGATGCATAAAAAGATGATAAAAATATTCGGGATGAGTCACAGGCCCGGAAACTATGCCAGAAATGCGATTCACAGGGGTGAGTAGCGAAAAATACGAAATTTTGGGGGTCTTGAAATTGGGCTTGTTCTTTTCCTCGCTCTCTGGCTCTCTCTCGCTGTCTCTATATGCCTCTCTCTCTCGCTCTCTCTCTACGCCTCTCTCTAGCATTCTCTCGCTCACTCTCTCGTTCTCTCTTCTCTCGCTCTCTCGCGCTCTTCCTGGTACGCTAGCAGAGATTCTTAAGGAACTCGACGTCAAGTCAATCTAACAAAAATCTTTAAAGAATTCAGCCCGGGGGCAATCTAGCAGAGATTCTTGAGGAAAAGGCAGGCTAGCAGAGACCATTGCAGCATTTGACCTTAACAAGCCCAAAAAAAGCCTCTAGGACAGCGGGGTTGTCGCAAAAAACTGGCGAACATGCCACACCCCATGTCAACCAACCAGAGCGAGAGACAGAGAGAAAGCGAGAGAAAGAGAGAGAGAGAGAGAGAGAGAGAGAGAGAGAGCCCGAAACAAAGGGCAGAAATTGGCGGGAGAACGGGTTTCATGACGGGTGGTCGCGCAGGGGCTGGCAGGATGTGACGGACACGAAGTAGCGAGTTTGAAATGTTATTTGGGTATTTAGAGGCGCTAAGACAGGGCAGGCTAGCAGAGATTCTTAAGGAAAGAGCCGGCTAGCAGATATCCTTCAGGAATTGATTTCAAAAACCTTGACCTCTGATGAATTTATTCAGTCAGTCACCCCGATTTTGCATAGAAACCCGCGGGGTAATATTTTACAGTATGAATGGTGTCTCGGGTGGAATTGGATGGGGCACCGTTCCCAAGCGCGTCCCGTAAAAAGGCGTGGAGCGGAGGGGAGAGAGAGTGAGAGAGAGAAAGAGAGAGAGAAAACACCCTGAAAAAGGCCCTTCACGGGTCGGGATGCAAATTGGTGCGGCCCGGCCGGCTCGCCGACGCATCGGCACCTTTTGAATGGGGATGGGAACGAGGGCTAGTTGCAGAGATTGGATTTTGTAACGATTTACCATTTTCCTAAAGAACCTCTGCTAGCCTGTCCTTGCCAAAAGAATCTTTGCTAGCTTGCCCTTTCCTATAAAAATAGAGCGCATCCCCAGAGGGTGACAAAACCAGCGAGAGAGACAGAGCAAAAAGCGAGAGAGAGCGTGAGAGGGAGAGAAGCGAATCTCCTCCGTTTTTTGAACTTTGAGACGTGTTTTCCGATGCAAACTGGCCGGGGCACTTGGACCCCCGAAATTAGCTGAAATTTTTTGGGGAGGCCAGAGTGTCGCGTGAGCGTTCAGTACTTCGACCTCCCCAAAAACGTGCAAACATCTCGTTGTTTTATGGAGAAAGCGAGAGAGAGAGAGAGAGAGAGTGAGAGAGGGAGAGAGAGAGAGAGAGAGAGAGAGAGAGAGACAGAGAGAGACAGAGACAAAGACATCGATCAAACGAACGCCAACATAAACTGATGACGCCTTGTCGATAAACTATGGGCGAAAGCTGCCGCGCAATTCCAGCCATAGCAATTTTTTGGCCTAGCAGAGATCCTTTAGGAATCTGACCTTGGTCGGGGAATCGGGGCCGGGAATTGGAGGGTGGGAGTGTTTTTCTGGCTCACATAATTTGCCCCGATCCCCCCACAACCTGAGGCTCGGCTCTCGTTTTTCTGGGGGTCATTTCCGGGCTATGGGGTGAGCATGAGAGGAGGCTGGTTATGCTGGAATATATCCTAGCAGAGATTCTTTAGGATGGCATGCTAGCAGAGATTCTTTAGGATGGCATGCTAGCAAAGATTCTTTAGGAAATTTTCTGATGTTCTGTGTTGTTTGGTAGTTGGCATTGGTAGGTGAATGAGTGAGTGTCTGTCTGTGTGCCCTTGAGCGGACAATCGGCGAGGGCTGCCTAAAAATCGTGGTCGAGAAAGTTCGTGCTCCCCTCTTTTGGGGGGTCGAGGAGGACGAGTCGTGCCCCGAGGCTACACCAAATTTTTGGCGCCCGTCATTAGGAATCGAGGGGAGTTAAGTGGTCGTTTTGTGGTTTCTTGGGTAGCGGAGATTCTTAAGGAAAGGGCAGGCTAGCAGGGATTTTTTAGGAAATCGCAAGCTAGCAGAGTTTCTTAAGTAGAGGGCAACTAGCAGAGATTCTTTGGGAAAAAAACAGGCTAGCAGAGATCCTTTAAAACTCCAAAAAACCACCTAGAAACTGGGCAATTCGTCAAAAGCCCCCAGCATTTTAATTATTTACTGGCCAGCCGTGGTCCCGGGGGGATTCCAGAATTGGAACGGGCCAGAAAAAGCAAAGGTCAGCAGCCCCCGTCAACAGTAGCAAAACGTAATTGGATGCCGGGTTCCGGGTTTGGGACAAATTTGGGAAATTTGCCTGGCAGAGGCCATTTGGGAAATCGGGGCATTTGCGTGACCGGGCCTGATTTGCATACGGGACAAGCTCTGCACCTTCGCCAGCTCATTTGCATAATTGCTCAGAATTTTTTATGGTTTTTGGTCAGCTTGAAACTCTTGGAAAAACGGTACCGAGACTACGGTAGCCAGATTGATGCAAGCGGCTTGTACCAAAACGGAATTTTAAATGCGCATTTTCAAGGTGAATAGCGCCGGAGTCAGTAGTACTTTTTCGTACAGTATACAGTGTTGGAATTTGCGTATATTGACGTAAAACTAGGCGGAATCAGCCTAGGCCTGATCCTAAGCTAAGTCGAAACCTAAGACGAAGCCTAAGCCTAAGCCCAAGCCTAAGCTAAGCCGAAGCCAAAGCCTAGGCTAAGCCTAAGCCTAAGCCTAAGCTAAGCCTAAGCTAAGCCTAAGCTAAGCCTAAGCCTAAGCCCAAGCCTAAGCTAAGCCGAAGCCAAAGCCTAGGCTAAGCCTAAGCCTAAGCTAAGCCTAAGTTAAGCCTAAGCATAAGCCTAGATTTAAGCCCAAAAACACCAAAAACATCCCAAAAATCTGGCATATGCAAATGCAATGCGGGGGCGCGGGGTCAGCCCCGGGCGGCGGCTGGTGCAAAGAGGAGCGGGGCGGAGTGACGAATCTGTCAGTCGCCTCGGCCAGCTCAAGCCTCTCCCCCATGTCCATACGATGCATTCCTATGTACAGGCCGAAAGGGGAGGTGACTCATAACTGGGAGGGAGGGCTGCTTGAGGCGTTCACAAGCCGAGGGCGCGCTGTATGCAAATATAGCACCGACCGGATGAGTCATGGCCCTAAATAATGGGATTGTTCGAATTTTCTATTGGTGTCGATGGGCAGAAGGCCGAAAAACGGACTGTCAAAAAATCAAAATATCGATTCTGACGTCGTGACACGAGGAGTCAAAGCGCCGACGTGCTAAATTGTCGAAATGTCGCAAATATCGGAAGATCGGAATTTCTAGAAACAGATTGTCGAAAATCAGAATATTGGAAAGTCATAATATCGCAATAGCAGAATGCCGACAATCGCGCCCGATTAATGCCAAAATATCGGAATAAATGTCAAAAACCAGAAGACCGAAAATCAGCAGGTCGAAATGCCACAATACCGAAAGCACAGGTTGTCGAAAAAGAAAAATGTTGACACTACGAAATTTTCACGTTTGTTCGGCATTTTTTGGCAAAATCCCGAATGCCGAATGAGACGAATGCTGAACAATTCCTTCCGAAAGACTCCCCGACAACAACGTCAATCCCGCCAGCCAAAATCCCGACAAGTAGAAAAAGGATTTTGTTTTGTCGGGATTCTGACTATCGGTATTTTTTGCAAGTTGCGGGTTTATTCTTGTCGGGATTTTTCGAAGTGGTATTCTATCTTTTTGAGATACGGTTGTCGGTATTTTGAATTGAGTTTTAAGATTTTGCATGTCAGAATTACGGCCAGGGTTAAAGAAATTTCATTGTGCTGCCTCGGCCAATATTTGGACTTGCGCTGTTTTTTTGAGGGAGTTCCGCTTGACGGCTATAGCCGCCTGGCGTAACCCCTCGCAAAAGGCGATAACCTGTTTTCAAGCCCGGGGTCCAAACTTGTACGGAACACACCCATACACAGCCATACACACACTGGCCCCCCGCGATAAAATCGGCGCGCCTGATCGGGCGGAACGTTTGGTGGGGGGAGCTGCAAAAAAAAGCGTGTTCGCCCAGGATTCCAGCGGAACCATGGGAGCCCGGATATTGGGGATGGGAGACTGTAAAAGGCAAGCTAGCAGAGAT